GTTTTGTTATGGAGAAATATCGAATGCAGACAAAAATCACATATAAAGATGTGTCATATTTACATCCAAAAGTTTAAAATTGTGCTATAAAAGTTGTACTCGAACTTACTTGTATCCATTGTCATTACATATTACAAAGGATACAAGTAAGTAAGTAAAAAAGTAAAGTAAAAAAAAAATGAATTTACAAAATCAAATCAATATAAAATTTCACAGTAAGTTGTGTGAGTGTGTCCTTAAGCGTAATGTGGCAGCCATTAAAAGTCCACGCATTAGAAAATTGCATAATTACATTGTATGCCTTCGTCACGCCCTTCCCACAAGCCCGTGACTTCACAATATAATCGGACCCTTATATTTAGGCCAGGCCAACGATGCGCCCCAGTTTTTCAAGAGCCGTATCGAACAGCTGTTTTGATGGATTTTTCCACCAAAATTTTATAATAAATATAATCTGTCAAGGGGACCAGGAAAATTGTTACCTACCAAAATGAAATATAAAAATGCTGCTAGAAGTTGTTATACCGCGCGAATGAACCCTTCTTATCCTATTGAATGTATCGAAATCCTTTTATATCATATTCAAAACAGACCCTTTTTATCCATTGTTTGGCCCTCGACTAAATACATGCGTAGTCAAATTCGGGCATTGTCTGTACGTATCAGTACAGAAAAACCTCTAAATAAATGATACGTAGATTGTATTAAGCCGATATCCGCAACCAGATCATAAACAATTTTGCTACCGCTCGTCCCGCCGCGTTCGCGCGCCTATCAACTGTCAAAATCCCGCCATTATCGTATCGATGCACATTTATGACGTAAAATGTTACTGAAAATGGCGTCACGTTCGTTGTAGCGTATTAACCAGCTGTGTTGTCTGTTTATAGTTATTGGGAGTTATTGTAACGCCTTGTGCTGCTTGCCAGGCGGACTTGACATTAAGTAGAACGTATAGGCTGGCCCCCAGCAGCAAGGTTACTGCAAAATGTAGGTTAAATGTGATGTTATGGCCGTATAGGATTTGTCTTTACATGTTTACGGGACATGAGAAGACGGAAAACACAAAGTAATGAAATGTAATAGAGTTTTACCTATTGTAGTAAACAAATAAAATTTATAATTATGTATTGGCATAGATACACACACTGTCACTTGCAAGAGAGTAGCACCGGGATATTGAACCGTAAAGCGATAATATATCAAACCGCGATCACCAACGCCCCTAAAGCCATTCGTTATGGCAGTTATGGCTTCTTTATGCGAGGCCTACTTTCTTCGTAACACTTGGTATTTTATATATTCATTCTTCCAACGCCGAGTCAAAAAGCCTCGTAAAAAAACGTTTCGCATTCAAATGACTCCAGTGCTAGGTTACTATTACGCTATAACTTAGGTAGCTATTGTACCTATATAATAGAAAGTGCTGTCACTCGAATGACTAGGTATAATATTCTAACATATTTTAAGTATATATGACATAACTAGAAGCGTTATTAAGTAGGTAGTTTTTATAGATTTATTAGATAACCAGATCGCACGAATCTCGTTAATGTTTTGCATGAAATACCAAAATCAGTTCAATTCTTAAAATTGAAATAATGATTACACTGCGATTTTTTGTGCACACTTCGTGTGATCCAAAAATTGGTATTTTTGCGAGGCCAAAATAATTTATGCGTTATTCTCATAAATTTTTACACAGAAATAAAGATATTACATGTATCTAAACGAACTTCTGACACTGACTGGCCACATTACGCCCAAAAACTTGTGCTACGCCATTAGAATTTATTTTCAATTATATTTCTTTTAAATTTTCAACAGCTTTTTTGTAATGTTGTGTTTATTTAGCCAGGTTCTTCTATTTTATAAATGGAACCTGTATGGAGGTTTTCTTGCATTTTCATGTAGGTTTATTGTAAAACGATAAACGATAATTAATTAAATAAAAACGGGCATGTGCCTGTTACATTTTATAGGTACTCGTATCTAAAGGATGATACAATCTATTTGTTAGTCGAAATATATTAATTAAGTCCACTATTGAATCCTTATTGTTTCTAGACCACAAATAGTTAATGGCAGGCATTGTTTTCTTGATTATATTTAGCCCTGAATAGAAGGTAGTTAACTGAAGGATTTACTTTGTTTTTGTTAAGTTACTGTGGTTAATCTAAGGGTGGATGTTTATTAGGTTGGATATTTTAGTTCTTACTTACGTATTTATTTTATTTTAATACCAGTTGAATTGATATTGCTATGTAAGCTGCCTTAATTACAATGCTTTATTTTTGGCTTGTGATATTCATAGGTATTTAATGTTTTGAATTGGTATTTTTCTTTCATAACATGCGAGTAACATAATTAGTAGTAGTAAAAGATTGGCATTTAGTAAAATTGGCCTAGGAAAAAAAATACTACATTGAAATTAATTTTAAAATTTAATATACGAAGGTATACCTAAATATTAAGTTATTTTAGCAGTAAGTAGGTACTAAGCGTAATCTTTTCACCAACTTTGATTTTAAACACAAGTTGTTCGCTGAAATGAGTCTGAATGGAGTTAAACAACTCATAAATAAACTCTGTTCACATAAAATTGTTTAATGTTGCGGGAAACGTTATATTTATTTCAATTTTTGAGGACCATTCTGAGTAACGTTTCTCATATTATTAAATAATAGCGTGTATAATATTCATAACGTTTTATTAGTCCTGCCATTGAAAGAAAGTAATCAAATATTCATAGAAAATGAGATTAAATTCAATAAGTGTACGATGAGTAGGAAAACGTTACCAAAATTGTTTTTTATTTGATTTTGATACGTAAGTACTTACAGGTCGTTGACCCGAACCGAATTCTCATTAGTCTTGATTACTTGCCACCGCCTGGCAACTGACCAATAGGTACCAACCTATGTCGACTCAAATGGAACGTCTGCCTTAAAATGTGAGGTAGCCATTTTAGAACGAACATTAGGAAAATTAAATCTGCCAATCAAGTTACGTTATAAGATTTGTAGATGGATTGTAAGAAGCTATTCGGACAATAAGCGAGTGAATAAACTTTTTGGTGTCATGTTTAAATTGCAGTCTAATATTTCTAGATGTAAAGAAATAAGACGTAAAGTTATAATCGCAAATATTTTCTTCTTCTTACAAAATATTCTTTCATTCCATGTTAATTGTGAGGTTACGCTAAGAAGGTTAGAAACACACAAACACGATTGTAACTCCTCTCGCATTATGAGGGCCCAGTACCCATAGACAGCGCTGATCACTAACCTGATTGCTGAGCTGCCGGATAGTAAATGACAAATTTGCACTCGGTGATCCGTCAGCTCAACAAAACTAACTATTTGAAAATGATTTATTTCTTATTAATGGATGTAATTTGTGACATACAACTTCTAAATATAAGTTTGAAGTCGCCAATCCACCTTGAGCAAGCTTGGCGATTAATGCTCAAACCTTCTCCATGTGAGAAAAGGCCTTTGCTTTGCAGTGGGCACTTATTGGCCGATGATGTGTTTAAAATCCCTACTATCATAATTAAAACCTTACTTTATACTTATTGCACTCTTTATATTATCATTTTGAATAGAATAAACAAACAAATCTATATTTTTTAAAAGCTTCTCATTTCCTATTTACCTACATAAGTATATACACTACTGTATATATCAACTTAATCAAAAAGCCAATTAATCTCGACCTGCACCGCGTCGAATATGAAGTTTTAATAGCATTTCGTGTTACTATTAACTACGTATGCGACCAGGTTTGTTTTATAAATAATTCTAATTTAATCCTAAGGTTTTTTAGGTACGGGGAAACCTAAGCTCTATTTTGTATAAAATTAGGTCGACAATAAAAAATATTTGGAACTATCTTATACATTCTGTTTGGAAAAATTAATTGCTTGGTAGAGATAAAACGAGAACGAAGATATTAGGTTATACTATAGAAAATTATTTCAATAGGCAAGAGATAAGAATATATTTAACAAAAAATAATACCTATAAGTATTAAATCTCCTTAAAAAGAACTCGAGTTAGAGAACTTATAATAGTTCTAACAAAAGTATTCAAAATAGTTTTAATATGAGTATGTTTATCGTATACCAATAAACTGGTATTTACCATAAAATTACGTGTCATACATACTCATATATCGATAATACAAATTTTTGAAACTCTCGAAACTTCCAAACAGTCTTCATCCACTTGATTGAATTTTTCCATTCCTATCATCCAATTGGAAAACTTCGCAGTCTCAGGGATCAAGTAACCAAAATAGGATCGAAATTTTGCGGAAAGTTTTAATTTTCTTTGCTTAAATATTTATATTCAGGTTAACATAAAAGTGCCTTCTACCTGTTCACTTTTTTCTTTTGTTCGCTTCCTTTTGTTTTGAAATGGTAGGTAGGTAAATGTTGGTAAAATAAACGTATGTAGCTGGAACTGTGTTTCCAGTAACTCATTGTTTTCTTTCTTCTAACGACTACTTTTCGCCGTCTACGTGCAGTTAATTTATTTTTCATTAATAATTAATTATTGGAAATCAAATAAAATGGTATAGGAAAATGAAACCAAAATGAGCTAAAACCTTTTTTCTTCTTGAGTTGAACTAATAAATAAACAATACGTAGGTACTGGCCAGAATTACACTTTTTGCATTTGGAAAAGTTAAAAAGACGCAAAATTTTAGCAAGAATTAAAAAAATATTTGGTATAGATTTTTTTTTACTGAATTCTACTGCTACTACTAAACCGGTAACAGTTATTAGTTATTTCTTGAATATATTTGCCTTAGAAATAGAAAGACAAATTTAACACAAGTTTGTCTTGCAAAATTACATTATAAGCCCGTTCATTACATTCAATAGCCGTCCACGGGCTGACATGAGTCGACAAGAAGTTAAACTTTCATTAGTTTCCCACCCTTTGTGAATGATTAAAAGTGTCAGTCATTAACGAGGATGGTTTGTTTTGCAGCTGTCAGCGTCCGGCGACCCGGGTGCCTTGGATGCGGTGGCGCGCCGCTATCGCCTCGAAAATGGCAACTCGCTGGGGGAAAAGGATGAGGTAAGCATTTTCATAAACATTTTACTACTAGCATAAGTATCTTTTTCTAAAGGTAAACCATTGTAAGTAAGATTCTTGTTGACGGCGAAATTTTTCACTCTGGCCATTTTTTTCTCAGTACCTCATAACCAAGTTGCAATATTATAGAGCAGTTCTCCTTATTTATCGCATTAATAAAGAGGGCGAGAGTTTATACTCTTTCCCTTCGTCATAAACCTCTGTTTTTCCCTGTTGGAAAATAAACAAAAAGTATAATAAATAATGTAAAAAGTACCTACTTACCAAAGAGAAATATGACACAAAAATAAGAGTAGGCCACTATCTAATTCCAAAAAAAATCAACGATTACACTTTCCCTTGGGGCAACTGATCCATTTAGTAATAGTTTCCCTTCAAGCTTTTACAGCAAATCATTTCTATGACCATCATTACTCATTCTGCTTATGTGTGTGAAGATATCTAACGGAAACGTGGCTAAAGTTAAGAAATAGAGTGGCAACTATTATTATCGGAATTATAAGTTGCACAACTGAGTTTTATAAGTCTGTGCAAGTATCTTCTGAGTTATTATTAATCCTAACGAAAAAAACTCCTTTACAACGTGGCCATATTTAAAAAATAGACTCACTCCTGTTATAATATAAATTGCCAAACTAAGTCTTTTAGGTATTTTCTAGTATCTACAGAGCTATTAAACCTAGCAAAAACCCGCTTAAAATACCTCTGAAAGGCATAGATATGAAATATCAGCGTAAATGTTGAATAACAGTATGGGTGTGCGCGAAAAATCATTGTGTGCCTTTGTCAAAAGTTTATTGGGAAATATCCGGGCAACCCTACGCTCGTATAATGTATGTTCAGGAATCTGAGTATGGTATCCATCACACATGATTGCATGTACACGCGTACTATATACTTGTATGTATCGTGCTGTCCCGGTATATGCAGAGCAGGAAATTACATATGAATAATACGTGTGGACTATTATTAGATATATGATGGATGCGTGTGCATCTACCTATAGATGAGCGTCTAAAATAGTTGTGTTGTTATTTTTATATTGCATAAGTTATATAGACATTCTTGTTTGAAATACCTAATGATGATAAAGTGTAGAGTTATTTTCGTTTGTGGAAGAAAAAATTAACAAATTTTCTATAGGCCCGTGGCTTTTTTAGTATATACTTCTGTACTAATATTATAAATGCGAAAGTTCACGCCTAAACTACTCAACCGATTTCTGTGAAATCTGGTACAGACATAGTTTGGAACTTGAGAAAGGACATAGGATAGTTTTTATACCAAAAATCTGCAGAAAGTCACTATTCCACGCGAACGGAGACGCGAGCAAAATACAATGTAATTAATAAAGTGTCAAATCAATATCACGCTTAGTATGTAGGTATGGTTTTTCTTTAACGTTTATTTCCAATGAAAGACTATTAAAAGTACTTTTACCATGTAAAATAAATCTATTAACACCTGTCAGCGTATTTGACGAGAACCGTTCTAAAGTTATTTCTATAGAGCAATATTCTAGCTCGTAGTTCGGTAGGAATTTTATTGAAAAGTTTGTTTTTTACGTATGGCAACTAACTGAAAGCAAGGTTCGGTGAAAAGAAGAGAATTTTAATCGAAATTCTGACCTTTTACGTTTTATAAAATGTAATATTGAATATAAAACGATATTTGTTATTTACTGAATATTATATTTTACTTAACTCTTATACCTCTAGCCTTAGTAATTCAATTTGCTAGAACTTAAAAAGCGACCGTTTGATCGGATCTAGATTTGATCATCGTAGTTTTAGTACAAATATTTTTTTATCAATATTCTTTGAAATACGTTGGTTTCCAACTAGTCAAATTCAATACTTTTATCCAAATGTCAAAAACTATACTTTTCAGTTATAATGTCATAGTATTTTGGCGTCAAATAGCGTACTTATTTCTTAAAGATATCTAAAATTTAGTGTATCAATTTATCGATGATTAAAAGTATAGTTATTTTTCGATATTTCATTGTATTGAAACGACGAATTAATTTATTTTTGACCTAGGAAACTACCAAATTGTTGCTATCGATGTATGTCGGTAGGAATGGCGAGTGCAATCGAAATAATGTAACAAGGACTTGGCCCGAAGCAGGAGAAGGAACGGAGTGGTTTTTAGACAGTAAGTGACTGACAATCCCATAGCAGGAGGAGTAATTGATAAAAAAAAGATGTCTGTAGGCACAACAATTATTTTTCGGTGTAATGCCATGCTCTAAAATTTCCATCTTCAGATACAAATCAGAGCTTGTATGAAAATGTGCGTTTAGTAAAGGATAGGGAAACCCGTAGGTTGCAGACATATGAGCAATCACAACTTTATGTGATCCCAACCCAAGCGCAAACCATCTGTGGCCCAAGGATGGCTATTTAGCGTAATTTGTCATTGTGACACTACACACTTAAATGATACCTTTAATGAAGTTGTAATGACAGCTTTTAAGTACTCAGTATGAGTGTGATTGGTCTCAGTTTAATTTTGGCGGATTGAACATAAATGACACATTTATTTTTAAGTAGGTATTATATTATAAAGATAAGATTGTTTGTTAGTTTAAATCGAATAACCTCTGAAACTATTTGTGGGATTAGAAAAATTCTCTCAATATTCGGAACCTCAACTATGCCCGTGAACACAAGCTATAATAATACCACAGCCAAGACCAAGGTCACAGCTAGTTTTAAATAAATTAAATACAAGTTCTTTCTTACATAGGTTTTTTTTGTGAGGGGAAAATCATCAAATGACTTCTCCCGCCCAGGGTCGGGTGGGAGGGAGTGTCAGACTCTTACTCACTAGACCCCCCCTCTGTTCCTTCTCCTGCTCTGAGCCGAGGCCGCGGTGCCTCACTGGACTTGTCCCGCAACCCCAACATAGGAAAGTTAATGATTGATATGTTTTATGTGGTATACACAGGCACTATATCCTACTTTTAATAAAAATAAAATTGTTATTTTCTAAGAAATAGTTTAAACAATCGTTTAATATCTCTGAGTATTCAGCATTTCACCTTTCGCTAAATGTAAAATTAAATTTTGTAAAGCGGCAATTACAACATCGTTTAATATTAATTATTTTTTACAGTTATTCGGACCGCCGAGCGCGCCTGTACTCGAAAATCCAGAGTTTCAAACGCGATGGTACTTCAAATATTTCCTCGGGAAAAGTAAGTATTGTTATACAAGTGTTTACTTAAGCATTTTTCAAGAAATTTTGTTTATTTTGAAACTATTTTTAACTGTCTAAGACGTCTTACTCGAGGAAATCATGTATTCTTAGACTGTGAAATGTGCTCAATATTTATGGATGTACAGAAAACTGGTAAAGTAGTGTACCTACTTCTCTACTCTCCATAAGGGAGAAAATCACATTGCTTTTTTTTAAAAAAATTGGTAGGTTTCTATATGCAACACATCTAAATATAAATATAAAATAGTATTTATTATAAACCGCTAAGCAATAAATACAGTAATAATAGTGAAAAGCCGTTATTCACTTCGCTGAGAACGTAAAGGAAATGAGAAAATTATTTTAATATTCTTTTGAGCCTTTCACAAACAAAGTACAGTTCAGTGAATGAAATTGAAACAGCTGAGTTATTCTTTTCCTTCTTGTGAAATTTTTGTTAAATTATAATAAATGAACATTTTTATGGCGTTGGGTTAGCATTAAATCACATTTCCGTAAAACACATGTACAATACCGCCAACATATCTTGGCCAATCTGAAGTTAGCCGATTACACAATTTTGTTCCTAAAAAAAACCATTGCGCAGACAAACGGCTAACTTCAGGCTCGCCAAGATACGTCGGCCGTATTGTACCTACCTGGTTCCATGCTATATAGGTAGAAAAAAATATTTTGTACCCAATACCAATACACAAAGAGTTCAAACTTGTTTCCAATACTCACTTGAGAAACGAGCACTTTTGCCCAACAGGGCCAATGTTTAGCCGGGGTCGCGGGCCAAGCGCAATAACGTACCGCGGCCTTGGCCTGGAGCAGGCAAAGGAACGGGGACGGTTTGAGTCAGTAAGAGTTTCTCACTCCCTCTCTCCATACGCTGGGCAACGCAAAAAGTCATTTCATGATTGCCCCTCCTCAAAAATGGGTAACGTTTTTAGCTATGGATAAATAGAAACCAAGTTTTTAGATTTTTATTATAACTTTCGTGAGACATTCTAAGTTATTTATTATGTTTTCGGCTTACTCACGTAATAATTTGACGAGATTATGATTTGATAATGAGACAGTAGCAGCGCGACAGTCGCCGAGTCGCGTGTCGCGGAATGCTGCTCATGAATATGGGCCTCTAGCATGGCTTGAAACTAATCGAGTAACTCGTCAAATTATTACAAGTTTTTAGATGTTACTACAAGTTCATCTAAGTATCCGACAACCTAAATTTACTCGCCTCTACCGACAAGCTAAAAATAGAAAATTAATGGTTCGTGAGGAGCGACGATTCAATAGTCTCTTGCTGAAAACTTTCCCGGTTAGAGTAAATAAACTTCGATCGTGAGAGACTTTGAAAGTACTCTTACTAACAATAAGTACCCGCTTTTAAGGTGGAGTTCGTCCAAGCGGTCATAATAATTAATAGAACACAAAAATTCTAGTGTTATTTTTGTTACTATGGGAGCCATTGGGCGCTTTACAGAATAATCAATGTAATATTTCTACCGTGCAATGCCAAAAACCCAGTTTTTAGTTATTTATTGATTTTACGATTCTCGATCTCTTATTTATTATTCGTATTTATTTAATTAAATTTCAAGATATTTATATTGACAATTCGAAAAAAGTTTCAATTAAAATTGTAATCAAGTAAGAACAGACTCTCTATTTCGAAGGCTTAAAATTTTATCCGTAGCTTGGCAATGAAAAATAAACAAATTACCAACATGATAAAATAATTGAACACTTTCAAAAACAATTTTTCTTTCAATTTTGACGTCATTTTTGTTTTTTTTTTTTGGAGTTTATGGCCTGGGTACACGTCCTTTAAGCCAACATTTTTGACGTAATAGCAATAAATATGTTTTGAATTGTCTTAAAAAAAAGAGTAACATTAACTATAATTGTAAAATTAATGAGTGAAGGTGTGATTTTTTTTCGTTCTGTTTATGGTTTTATATGTTGACATATTTTATATTATTTAAGACCTCACCTTTTTGCTCTGCTCACCTTCACGATAACAGACACTCACATTCCCTGAAAATATAACAAGTACTACGTAACTCTTTAAATTTCTTTGAATACGTTTTACTGAAATAATTTAATCCTTGAATATCATTCGTGGTAATTGTTTTAAATTGGTACACGCGAAAATTTCACATAAACGAATGAGTATTTTGCTGTGAAATACTCATTAGTTTAATCATTCATTTATAACAGAATCTGCTTAACATAATATTCATCTTAAAATGTAATTAAATTTTCAACCAGTCTTTGGAAATAATGAAAATACATTGTTAATGTGTAGTCTATCTACTTACAAATAGAATCAAAGTAATTATCAATATATATGCGCTTAAGGTGTTAGAAAAAACTGAAGGTTGAAGACGTTTTCATGTCAATAAACTCAATCAGTATTCAATGTATGTGCTTTACAAGTACTCCGGAGAGATAATACAGTGCAGGTTTTTACAAATCAATTGTAAATTTACCACCATCGCATCGGCCGGTATTGTGGGTTTTTTTTTGTGAGGGGAAAATCATCAAATGACTTCTCAGGAAGAAACAGGGCAGGGAGCAGGAAAAGGAACAGGGTTTTTTGTATAGTAAGAGTCTTACTTTCCCTCTAGCCCGAATCAGGGCGGAAAAAGTCACTTAAGCCTTTCTCCAGTAAAAAAAAAACCCTTTTCTGTTTTAATCACAAACACCGACATACCTTCGAGAAGGACGAGTAACTTCATAACATCTACATAACAAAATATCAAATAATTTCATGGTATTTGAAAGCAGTACATTACTCATGAAGGTAATTAAGTTGTTATACTGTTATTGCGCCAGTTGATTCAAGTATGAATTCCGTTACGTACAACAATAGCGAGTCGTTCCGAACAGATGTTTGTGACAGGACCTACCTATTGTCACCCTGAACATTATTTATTACTGTTAACGATAATGTTGCGGTAGCGACACACTTCTGGGGTTAATAACTATAAATTTATTATAATGACTGCCCTACCTAGTTCCAACCAAGTTCCTAAAGGTAAGCACTTACAACAAGGATTTGTAACAACGTTGTTCTGTTTTTAACATCTTTTCTTGGTGTAATCTATCAGATGGACTGTTACAAAACCCTCGGATGTTTCACCACAAAATCTCTGTCCACGTTCTACGTGAAAAATTGCTATTCCCGTTTTCGACGTGTAATGGTGAGGACTCAATCAATGTCCCGGTGGACATTTACAGATACATTTATTCGATAAATTACCTCATTTGTTACTACCGAAATGATACTTAAGGGAACACATTGTTTTAGAAATATACATAGTCAAAAATAAAAGTCTATTTCCAAGAAACACAAGTCCTAATCCCATCGGTCTTCTCCCAAAATAGAAATGTGGCATCCCCACTGCACTTCAAGTCAAGATTGTATAACTTGTATGATATATGTGAGCCTAAATTGAGAATTTCCTTCATTTTGAGAGTCCAATTTAGTGTGGTGTGCGTCGCTGTATCATACATATTAGATATGACAGCGGGATGCTTCGCTGTGAGATTATTTAGGGCTATTTTGGAAGTCGTTATGATAAATTTTTCTGCCAAAATTTAAACTTACTACTCGGTATTATTGCTATACATAGAACGACAAACTTGAGTATTAAAAAAACTGTACAAGTTTGTTAAACGCGGAAATAACATAAATTGGGTTGTTTTTCATCACCAAAAATATGCTAAAAGCATAGGTGCGTGACTTAATCCAGCCGTCGCAGAACGCTGTAACTTATATCTTTATAGCTTTATTATCTTCACCTTGTATCTTTCAGCGAACGGCGCTCGTAATACTAGGTACAGTACTAAAATTAATTTCAACAAAAGAACCTCATTTGGGGGTAACGACACGTAGGTACATCCAAGCCGTTATTTAGCAAACTTTGTAACACTAACAAGAGCTGAAATAGTTATTAGCATGCGGGCTTTAACAGTCAATTGTAACTCTTATCTCGAAGTCTATTTCAACGACACAAACATCCTTCGTTGTCAGAGTTCGATGTTCTAACAATGCTAATTCTAAACAAGTTACCTATCTATTTAATTGCTGTCATAAAAAGACTTAGTTAAAAAGATGAGGCTATGAGCATGAGCCTTTTATGAAATACCTTAGAAATTTTAATATTACCTATTTGTGATTTGTTTTTACATATTTTATTAAAAAAACTAGACAAATTTTAAGAAGCAACCGCTTATGAAAATCATCACTCGTTGACTTGACCTTTTAAAACTAAAGTAAAGGTCTTGCGTATCATTGATAGACACTAGTTATTGATTGATATATTTTTTATAAGCGTTTTATGTAATGTGAAGACAATAACAATGGAACTGGATTCTACCTATCAAAATAAAGACTGTCAACGACAGGTATCAAACAAGCCTGAACAACGTAATACATTTCCTCCTAAAATATAAATGAAACTTTAAATTGTTTTTTAGCTATTTGTTACAATTATTATTTAGTGCTTAGTAAAGGCTTTGACAGTATGGCAGGTTAATATCACATTGGCATGTGACGTCATCAGATTTGAGTAAATTAATTATCAGTTTAGTCCTTTGTCAACAATATCAGTTAAGCTAACTATTACTTACCTACACAATTATACTCAGTTCAATAACTATACATAACTCAATACATCCATAATCAACATAATCAACAAGTTTTAGTTGCACTAACAACATCTGAACATAATTAAACGACACCATAATGTGAGACAGATTAGAGAGATCAGTTTTAAGGCGTCTCAAAAATCTGATCAATTGGCGCAAACACATGTACATATTATTAACAGACGTAATAAGCTTAAGATACCAAATAAATAGTTTGGTAAATTAAAAAAAGCATGGCTGTGCTAGATATATATTTTTTCGGAAGTGGAATATTTTTACCCTGCATTTCATAAAAATGGCGTATTGTTGACATATTCGCGTGGATCGCAATATTCGGTTGCGACGAACTAACTTTATGCCAACATGTATACACGAAGTAAGTACCTACATGTTATATTTAGGGTACTCACAATGGAAATAAAAGGCGTATTTGATCTCAAGCTCTAAGCCAGCATAAAGGCTCCAAGTTATTGAATTCCTTTATCAAATAGAAGTTTCAAACGCGCGATAACGTAGGTATATGGGCAACTTTTATTGTTCTCAAAACAAATAACTAATATTTATGCGAACATATATTTGTGATTTGTAATATGATTCTTGATGTAGGCACCTAAATATTAGACTATGAACTGCGACTCTCCATAACCTAATGACTAGTCAAAACCCTGGTGTTAGTCTTTCACCATATAAAATGACATAGATACGTTCTCGTGCACTATAAACTAAAAACTTTGTAACGAGAAACCTCAACCTTAACCTCTTTGAGCTAGACCGATATAAATTAGCATATTGTAAGATCACCCAGCCTGACCTAGTAGTAGTTCAGATTCATCATGTCAATTTTCACATTTGGAACCTAAAAACAAGATTTTGTAAGATTTTTAAATTCCAATGTATGTGGTACGTTCTGATAATTTCTGGTAACGGTTATTCAAACATTGTGAAACAGCCGTATACATATACGTATAAGATATACTTACCAATAATAATAGATACTTCCTTGAACCATGTTATACGAACTACACTAAACATTTGTACAATAAACAGCAATTCTGATTATTTATTGTACAATTTTGAATAACTTCTTAATATACTGTATGGTAGCGATTCCCGTAATTGTTTGCACAGGCCCTAAGTAAAGTTTACCTTTTTGATGGAATTTCATCGTCGTTCAGGAAAGGTGTCGGTTCCGGGAACATAATTCGAAGTGGCTTACTAAATGATTTTACTTTGAATCCCATTTGTATTTACCTACAGTGTCTGCAGAATTTAGCTTGACTTGAAATTACATGTAAAAAGTATTAGTACGTGTACTTTTTAATATGTGGTTAAAAGTTTTTGTGGATAATTATACATTTCTCAAATGAAGAATTATGCAACATCGCAATTCGACATTTAGTAATGGAATGTCAGTTCAAACATTATCTATTATTAGGACTTTATCAAGTCTAAATTTGTACTGTTTTTATGCTGCTAAGAAAATTTAACAGAATGTATTACTTTATTCCCATTTCCTAGTAGGTTAGTTACGTTTCGTAAAAAGTTAATATTTTATGTCGTACCATTCTACAATCATAAAATGTTTGCAGTGCACCAGAACTACATCGGGGTTGATGGATCTAGAGAGCCGTATCTGCTAAGTGTGGTGCAAGAAGGTGGAGCGGGACTTTTACGAGCCATCCTCTTCAATAAAATGGTGAGAAGTGCCACTTACCTACAGTAATAGCAAGCGCCCTTCAAGATTTCAATCATTTTTATTTCGAACGTCATTTGTAAATTACGACGCTATAAATTGGGTCTGACCCAAGACTATTCGTGACTGAATAATTAATTTGTTGGCTCGTGCAATTTAAAATACTCGATTCCATCTTAATTGATTGGCCCTTTTATTATCAAGCTATTTAGTTCTAAACTTATATTATAGGGTTCTAGCTTAAGACACTACAAATAAGTTGAATATAACAAAAGTTGGGTACATCGATAGACCAAATATTTATTGGTAATAATTGGTTTTAGGGTGCCCATAAAATATATTTACCACCAAGCGCTTGGAATAGTGGAGGAGGGCAGGCCCCAACAAGACCAACGGTCAAGCAAATTTTAGGACAATTTCCATCAATGGAACGAGTTGATAAGGTTCCAAGAGAGGTGAGAAATGCTTTAAAATCTCAATTAAGTTATATATTATCCACACTTGAAGCTGAATATATATATCACTCACACGTGAATGAAATAATGAAATGTTTTTCTTGAATAGATAACATGTGCCGAATTACAAAAAGATGTGCTACTACTTGAAGAACAGGAAGGATCTGTTAATTTTAAAATAGGAGTAATGCTTATGAAACCTGGCCAAAAGACTGACGACGAAATGCTTTCCAACGGTAAATATTACACTCAAATATTAAAAGCAAAATATATCTCTTGAAAAGAACATTTAAATGTTGGAAATCTTTCAGAGAAAGGCGACGAGAAGTGGGAGAGATTTATTTCACTTTTGGGAGATAAAATTCGATTACGAGGCTGGAACCGTTTTCGAGGGGGGCTAGACGTCAAAGGTAACATTCACATTTCAATTTGTTACAACTTATTACACAATAAACAAACGGTAGAAGGTTATTTTCTATGGCCTCGAGGTTACACGAGTTTCAGCGAAGACTTTTGTTTTCTCGATAAATCCAACCACCATGTTTGCCTGAGCTCAAAAGCTCGTTATTTTTGAATAGACACGGGTATTTGATAAAGCCAAGTGTAAACTCAGCAAAACGATAATAATTTGCTGAAACACGCAGACGAAAATATTATATCGAATCATCTTAATTGTGTTCCTTGTTACAGGAGACATGACTGGGAGCCATTCTATCTACACGATGCACCAAGGCCACGAAATTATGTTTCATGTCTCCACAATGTTGCCGTTTTCCAAGGATAATAAACAACAGGTGAGACCAGTGAAGTTATTTTATAATTTATTTAAAAGTAAAGAATAACCGTCATAAGCTTATTAAATTGTTGATAATATTTTTTAAACTTTACAAGGTTACGAAACTGAATTATCTCTAAGTCTTGCTTTTGATAAATCTGCAAAAGAATGAAAGTTCCTAAAAAGATAAAATTTTGCTCGGAACTTGAGTACCTACCTAAACTTATAACCAAGAAAACGAGCTTAACTTATTTCATTCGAACTTCGGATCGAAGATACGACTTTGTGAAAATTTTGAGGTAACTTGCACGTAGCTGTTTCAAATTATTATTAGAGATTTACGACTTGATATGAATATTGTTAGACTGGTCTTATTTTGGTTCTATTTTCTCAGTTTAAATTCTGTAAGAGAACTCAATGAGTGGGTATAGCTACAACACAGCTGCTAGTAGAATAAGTGCGCCAGTAATTTTCAATAAATAAACTATTCCAAGTATACTTTTCAATAGTTTTATAAGGGAATTCCTTCACAGTATTTCAATGAAATCTTAGTACTGTATGTAGCAGTAGAGAAAGACAGGCGAGATTGATTCTATTACTCGCCTATATTGAACCCTAAAAGCAATTTGTTGTGGGGGTTTTACTAACACAATTTTGAACAAATAACAACGTTCTCTGAAACAGCAAACAAAACGAATAGTACAAATCAAAGTTAAAGGTCGAAGTTTATTTAGAAGCTCGGCTTTGCATACAGGTCGAAATAGAATTGTGAGTTTCCGGTTCAAAATAATTTAGGGTATGGAGCGAAACCATTTCGCATGTCGGGCTGACAGTAACCCAGTAGTTACGGCCTTAATAAAACTTGCAACTTTACACCCATTGCAGTTGGAGAGGAAACGGCACATCGGCAACGACATCGTCAACATAGTGTTCACAGACGACTCTGTGCACAATACCTTTAATCCGCAGTGCGTCAAAAGCCATTTCACACGTATCCTTTTATCAATATTTTTCAGTCGCTACATATTCTGTATTTTTCATTGTTCAATTTTTAGGAGGACGGTCGGCGGTGACTGGAATTTTTAGTAGCATCGCTTTTTCTTTTCAATTTATGTTTTTATATATTGTCGCAAAACATTTGATACAGGGACTTGTGCTCTATTCTATTACGACATTTTTTCACTAGCGAAGTGGATATTTTCCTTAAAGCGAAAACAGATATATTCGCAGTCGTTTCAGAAGTGGAGGAAGGATACAAACTTAGCGTATACAGTGACGATACAGTGCCACCATTTGGTCCTTCATTACCTTGTCCACCAATATTCAACGACCCACAATTATTTAGAGAGTTTCTTTTGGTAAGTGAAAATAGATTTTTTTAATATTTTTCATTACAAAAGTGGGTACACTGCCCTTGTATTATTTTCTATACAATTTTTGTATACGTAGTCGTATCCATTACAGAAGAAAGTTGTATAATCAAAGCATCGTTCTGTTTGATCTTTTATTAGGTACTTAATTATTATTTTCGTTTTTACTTTTCTGTTTTTAAAACAATAGCAGAGACAAAGACGCTCTAATCAAAGAACGGGCTTTCAGATCTTTTTTCGACATTCAAAACTGGAGTTGGACATTTATTTTTAATCATAATTTAAATTCGCAGGTAAAATTGATGAACGGAGAGAAAGCGGCCTTCCAAACGCCTACATTTGCATTGAAACGACAACGAACCTTGGACACGCTGATAAGGGACATCTACGCGGAACACTGCTCGGACCATAAGGTGGTAAGTCTCAACACAGAATTTGTACATTTTGAACGTTCTTCATTATTCTTATAGTTTTCTTTTTCAAATAACGATTTTCTGCATTTAGTTTAGACTCGACTTGTTCAGAAGTTTTCAAATCAGGGCACCGATTCAAGCTATATCTGCAGCTTAAATTGAATACTTTGGCTTTCTTCCAGGGGATAAAAGCATTCATGAATGACTGAAAATGAACTCAAATTTACTCGTACTATGTCGTAGGTTAACCAATTGAAATTCTTTAGAAATACATACTGCAGTACTGCAATAATAATACTTCGATATATTTTTATTAATTTAATAAATCGAATATGTTATATTCATGTTTGCTATTCGAGTAGAACTATTCCCATCGAGGATGCTGTGAAGACCAAAGACATCAGTTATAAATATCGTGGGCCATAAGCAGTCACTCCAAGTAATTTAACTGTACCTACTACCATTCCGGCATTCTAGTTTGTGCCCTACTTTTAGTCTTCCCCCGACCACATATCAAGCAATGCCGTAAGTGACACGTCATACGCTTGTAACTTTAAAACTTCCAAGTTAGCAGAACCGTAGTAGGTAACAAGTATTTGTAGTTTGTAAAGTCTTGAAGGAGTGTTTGTTGCGAAATATTTTGCTCGGCTTTTCATTCAAGTTCTGAACAAATCAGAAAAGCTTGTAGTTTCAAAAGTAAAGCAAGAAGAAAGCTGCCATTTCTTTTTACATGTTTACATCGGCTTAATTAAATTATTGAAATTCCATACTTCTTACTTTTTATGTTACTATACTTAACTAGGCTTACACCCAAACATAAGTATTTCATATAAATTGGTAGTTTCGTATAATTTATATTATTTAATCAATCCAATTTCATCGCCGCAAACCTTGCCAAACTGTGCATCAATCTAAAAACATGTTTTCTTTCGCTTCCAGATCATGTTCATATCATTCTCATCAAGGCCCAAGAAAATCTAGTAAAATGAGACAATCAAATCCCAAATGATAGGCGACGAGCCGACAGCGACAGACTCGGAACATAATGAGCTCGACCTTGCGACCAGTTACATAAAGCTCCAAATCATGTTAAGAGATGGAAGACACGTATATGCTCGAGCTTTGCAAAAAATCCAAACGAAAAATCTCCTACCTTTTCACCTTCTGTTCTCCTTTTCCCTCTTCTTAGATAAAGTTTTGTCAACCCTTCTTCTCAATAACTTGAGATTTATTTTCTTATAGCCCATGCTATCACGGCGAGCCCTCTCAGACGTATGGTCGGGCGGCGCAGGCGCTGGTGGAGCCGGCGCTGCGCGGACAGAACATTTCTTGCACGTGGGGCAGGCGCTGAAACTTGATGCTGTCCTGCGAGGCGATGCTCCCACTAGTCTTGTTTCATCAGGTAGCTAGTCTGATATCCGACTTAATCAAATGATTAAAAAGTTGGTAACAACATGCTTTTTCGTAATAAGAAATTCGCTAATGAGAATTTTGCATGCAGTCGAATCTTAACTACTATCGTGAATGTTCGTTGCTGTAACTAAACTAATGTGTTTAGGATGCGGCGGTTCCCGACGAGCCCCTTGGGAAGGTAAAGTGTGGCGCGCTGCACCACTGCCAGCCACTCCAGTGTGTGCGGAACAACTCGCTGAGGGACGCCTTTTGTTATCTACCACGTCTAATACATACATTTTAGAAGGTATTTTAACAACCATTCATTAGGTGTTATTTTGTTAATTAGCTCCAAATAAGTGTTCGGGATACTGAACCCTTGTTTAATTTGTACAGAGAGCGGAACCACTCGTGTAGTGTTAAGATGGGAAGGCTGTGTCCGCGCAGCTCGGGTGAGTGAGCGAGCTGGTCTGTTCCGTGTTGGTGCGCGAGTGGTGGCTGGTGGAGGGTCAACGACAGGGGGCGCTGGTGGCGCGGGGCTGTACGCGCTTCCTGTACAGGAATTATGCGCAGGCGCCTGGGCCATGCGCCCGCTTCAGGATTGCAAACACGCTCGGCTTCCAAGGACTAAGACTGCTCATTATTTTGATCTTCTAGAAACTGGTAAGTTCTTACTAAAAAAAAAAAAAATTCCATAGGATACTTGAACAGTTCCGAACATACCTACTCGTTTAAACATTGACAAATTTGTTACTGAGATGATGAAATTTAGTCATAACAACCGTGGTGGTTGGTTTTAGGCGAAGGAGGCAAAACAACCTTAGCGGTAGCGATCGGTAGAAGGGTAATGCTTATGATTGAAGAATCAAAGACTGACAACGAGATGGGTTTTGAATATACACATATCAAAGTAAGTTTTTTATCTGAAACTGAACTATTTATTAAGATCTACGTCCTTAAAACTGTTTCAAATTCCCATTTCTTTCAGGATATCCAACTAAGCGAATCCCCCATACTGATCAAGCTTATGGATGGAGAAGTAGGAATTATGGTAGTTGGATACAAACATCATTGGGAAGTTTTAGAATCTGGGACAGGCCAGGTAAAGACCTAATCTAAATTATGCCTAATTTTAGTCCACAATAGGAGTCATTTTAAGGAGTGTCTTTTCTTTATAGGCTGTAAAACGGGCAGAAAACTCTGAAGATAGTGGACCTCGTCGTGGTACTCTCGTCAATGCTTTACGTATAGGTGACGAGAGGGACGGACAAATTGTTTTATGTTATAATCGTAAGTACTTACCAGCTGCCACCTCAGTGCCTATTAGTGCGAGTAAGGCGCGTAGTAAGTAATACGTATGACGTTCGACGGTCTGTTTGGTCTTCTCCACGTTAACCAACCAATCATAGGGCTAAACAAACGCAGGGACGTTTTAATAACGATAACTTAAAGCAAACTCGCAATTGAGAATCTGCTTGTTTCTTTACCGAACCTGTGTCACTGTTTTCTTCCATGTTGCTTTTGTAGGTACATTTCCACAGCTCTCTTAGACTTGCCTCGCGTAAGAGTCACTAGCTGTAGCAATGGAAGTAAGAAACTACTCATTCACCACTTGCATCTGCCTATACATAGTATTTCAATAGGCTCTCGCTCTACCTGACTACTGCGTAACGATTGGTTTACTACCCGTCCTTCATCATTTGTATTATTCGCAGATACGTGCCATTTTGAAAGACTAACAAGTAAAGGACTGGAAAGTGATACTGAATACGATTTTCATTGGACAACTGTGCCTGCAGCAGTAGGTAAGCGAAAACATGAATCTCACATAACATTCAACGATCAAGTTTAGTAAAACTTCTACAGTCGCATTGTGAACAACAAATGATGTCAATTTTTGTTTCAGTATGCGCTTTCCCCTATATTATGGCATTTGCCGAAGATTTATTAGAGATACGACTAGTTGCTAATGGATCCTTAGTACACGCAGCCTGCATACCTGGACTGAAATTGCTATGCGGGCGAAGAGTAAGTACTTACATTGAGTAGATCACTATTGAAAACTAGATCTAAGAATCCAACAACGCAACTTTTTGCGGTAATTTAGCACCTCATTAATCGACATCGACGTCCAAAACTATTCTTAGGATAGATTTAGCAAAAAATATGTGCCTAAGAAAACCTTAAGCTTTTAACTAAAACAAAAATACTAAAACAATCCATCTTGCTCTGATCTTTCCAATAACTCCGCAGGGAGTCTGCTAGCGATTTTTCGGGGCATTACTTTTTTCGTATAAAAAATGTATTGAACATATTTGGCATGTAATTGGAAATTGATCCTTAATATCGTCTATGAGATTGAATTTAATGGATTATTTATTTCTATTTAACCTTTATAACGCAAAATAAGTTTCAGGATATATTCTATGTGGCATGCGCACCGGAATACGTGCCTTTAAGTCGCGAGATAGACCCTTGTCTCAGCTTACACGACGAGCTAGTCAGACAGATGAGCAAACAATGTGGACCTTATTCTCTTGATGAAGATGACAATCACGACAGGTAAGCATCGCTTTTGAACTTATTTTATTAAATAATAAGCATTACATCAATACTGTCACCCAAATGTATCTATTCTATTGCCTTAATTATGTTATATCCAAATAATTCTTCGGATAATAAACAATCGGCTTCGCCCATGGACACCAGCAACACCAAAGGAGGTACAAATGCGTAGCTGGCTTTTTGGGGTAGAGCGAAAAGAAGGATTAGGACTCTGGTAACCTAATGCACGCGGTGATACACAACGCTGGGGCTATTTCGCGCCGTTTTTCAGCGAGGCCGTGGTGTCATTCCGGTCGAGCCGGCCCATTCGTGACGAAGCATGGCTTTCCAAACTTAAATTGAAATGAAGAGAACCGTCATATCTTTACAGGGGAGACCCTTACAGCATGAACCGTACTACTACCGCCGCTTCAGAGAATAACTCAGCGTCTAGCAGAAGCAGTTCTATTTCATCAGAACAGGAGAACATAAGACCACCGCTAACACGAATGGCCCCGATCTCCCCACCAACTTCACCCCAAGGTTTGTAAAATAACTTATGAGCTTTGTTAGTTCAACCCCAAACTTTTAAAGTTTGAAAGATAATTGATAATAACTTTCTTCTGTTTCTGATTTCAAATAACCAAAACTGAGTTATGAGTTTCGACTTTAGTTCCCGAAACACAAAACTTTGCATAGGTATCAACTTTCGGAACAGCGAACTTCAAAATTAATTGACAATTTTATTTTACATTTCCAGTGCTCCCAGAAAACAGCGGAAGATGTGTGAGGATCTACAAGATCCCACAGAGTAACCTGAGCGCGGGAGCATACCAAAGACAGTCCGTATCCGCCGACCAAGTGGTCACTTCCTATTTTTCTGACAGGTAAAAACTAATTTATTTTTGATTTGTTTCTGCCCTTAAACATTGTTTTATTAACGAACTTCGTGACTAACGGTTTCGCTTTCATTAGGCTTTAAACAAGTTAGCTGATGGCCGACTAGTTCTACATCGTTGTATAATAACGTCAATAAAAAACGCATGAAAAATATTATAATAGGTACCTATGTAGGTAATGACTAAAATATTATGCAGTAAGTACAGGGTAACAATATTTTGTCCATGTATATTAACTCAACGTATTACTGATTTCAGGCCAAATAGCATACGGCAGAGGCTAGCAGAACTGAGACTAGACAGTAAATCAAGAGGCGGAGGTGACGACGAAACTTTATAAGTGATATGTAGACAACCACTAACTTCGTAGCTTGTTATCGAATACGGAACCAGGTGCACAATTTTAATGAGTAGCTAGATATACAACTGTAGGTACCTATAGGTATTGAGTGTTGGAAGTTGGGGACACACGACAAAACTTTCAAATCGCACAGAACGTTCTAGATAACTTAGTTCAAGCGTGTGTCGTGTTACACGAACATTTAATGTCTAGATTAAAATTTAATCTCAAATGAAGATTATTTTAATTCAAGTAGATATGTTACAAGTAGAAATAGTACGAGTAGATACTTTTGAATGCAAAGATGTGATATAATAAATATGGGTGATGCGTAGTGAACAGAAATAATATGTCGTAGTGCATAATGAACAAATAAATTATGAAGCTATTTTACATTGACAAATATTCTACCATTGTTGCAAAATTTGAGATTTATAAAAAAGAGGAAATATATAACAATAGATGTATTTATCATTCCCACTACTGAAATAGGAACTTTAAGAATAATTTAAATGTCTATATATACCTTAATTGCTCTGCACAAAATATATGCTCAATATAAGGAACATACTGTAAAAACAAAATTATATTTAAACTAACAGTTACGATTTAGTCGTTCAATGTTAAAGTAATTTATTGGATAAGGAATTTTATGAATTAGCAACATTTTTACAAAAATATACAATGTACAGTGTAACTACTGAATGAATTCAAATAAAATTAATAGTAATAAATAATTTAAATGAATCTCATATTTAATGTAATATTCTAGTCACTTGACTTCAACATGTAAGACAAAAAAGTGATGTAAAATAGTTCTCTTTAGGATTAAACGTATTATGATGAAAATAAATATTATCTTTCGAAAGTCTGTTTGACACCAGAAAAGAAGTGCCATCCAACTATTTGGTTATCTTTCTAGACTTAATAGTATAAAAATCTGTAATATTTTGCGATGCAAGAGAATTGAAATCTTATTTAAGTGTTAATACAAATTATCTTCAATGTACATAGAGGTTTAATAGTAGTGTAACATTACAGATGTATTCATTAAAGATACATATTTACTTGTATTACAGAAGCTCTAGTAGTGTATTGAATGTTTCAATGTCGTGCGAAAATGTATAATACTAACCAAAGAAAAGAACCAAACTGATAGGGATAAGATTAAATCATAAGGATTATGAACGCTGGCAAACTTCGAGATTTAAAATTGTGTACTGTACATTATGTAGTCATAAAGTTTTGTCCATTTGAAAATGAAATTTGTGTAACTGATGTCTATTAGAAGTTAAGCTTTTCGATAGTGTAGTACTAATCTATTTAGACCCTTCTTTAGTTTCTTTACTAAAATATAAATGTTAAAAGTACGTGTCCCAATATGTATGTTGAAACATTAGTGTAAATAACTTATCACATAAGATTGTACGGTTTTATAATATTTCTTGGTTTATAAATAACTACGATGTGTATTGCTCCTATATTATATAGGAAAGTTTCCAAACATAATAATATTTATTATAGAAAGTGACATTATATGTTAAGCAGAATTGGTATATAATATAAATATTTTTATTACCATTTCCAAACTTACGGAGTACAATTTTTTGTCTGTGAGAGATATTCGAAATACCTCGGAAAGAAGAAATATATAATGATGTTATAGTAGTTCACGGAGTTTATTGAAAAATCTATATTTTACATAAAAGAGCGTTTGAAATCCGCATGCATATTAATGACAATGTCATTTTTGATGCATTTAGTTATAAAATGTATGCGTATAATATGTATGTATACCTATGTTTGAATGCACATAATTCTAGTCTCAGTATTAGTGTGAAAATGTGTTTTTACTAATATGCATGCGGCATAATTATCCTAAATCATGTTTCAACAAAATGTGATAATTGGATTAAAAAAATAATAGCACATTATATGAAATAAAAATTTATTGTTTATATCATACATATATGTAGACAAATTAATGTATATTACTAATAATACTTCATAATAAACCCGAGATACTGAACAAATATAAGTGTAATGTAATAAACAAAAGGTTCCAGTAACAAATATACCTACTTATATAATGTAGGGTTTTACTCTGTTATTTTCTCTGAGGTTTAAATAAATGTCTGTTCAGAACATGGCGTCTATTATTTTCTTGTCAAACACACCTAACATTATAGCTAAGTAAGTCAACTACTTAAAAATCTAGTCCAAATTAATACATATAGGTAACAATATTGTACAATAGTCTTAAATTTAAAAAGAAATAACAATGCAATTGATTAGAAATACCTACCTACAAAAACTTAGGTTGCTGTTTCAAAGCAGTTATGTCTAAGAATCGTGGCATCTCACCAGGAGAAGCCGACTTCGAGGGTTGTGGTATACCTGAAACAAAAAATAACAACACTCTTTCATGATCTCACTATGATACACTATTTTATTAAATCTTAACTTAGCCGGCAATGTTCGTGCCGATACTTAGTAGATTCCCCTTAGTAAGGGGAATCTGGGCATTATGGGCTACTAATTACGTATTTTAGTGCAACACAACGACAGCAGTTTGGTACCTGATACAACTCTACGATCCTGATACATTTCTATCAACACCTTATGGCCTGATTTTTATGACTAGTAGGCAACTCAAAACATTATGAAAATTATTCATTCGGTGCGTCTTCACGCGTGATTTTGTCCAACCTTATAAGCACTGCTCCCCAACCCCATATCGGTACCATTGGCTCTACCATATAGTATATTTGTTTACTCATTATGTACTCGCTAAATTTATTGCATGGTATATTAGCTCCTGCCACTGGCTTTGACCACAGTAACTAGGGTAGCCCATGTCTTTTTTCCATACTTACAGACTTATGCGTTTATAATAACTCCTACTACTACTCGCCTTCCGTTAATTTTTTTACCATTCGATAAGCAGTTTAACCTGCCTAGTATTACCTCTCGTTCTCGGCGAAGCTGCTTCCCCTTTCTGCGAAGCATTCATGCTCGCAATTAAGGAGGCTAAGTGTCTAAGACAACTATCCTCTTCACGCCTTAGCTGCCGCCAAGGCTCGCTCGCCGTCCGCCGTAGTACCAAACTACACCAGACCAATCCAAACCAGAGCAGACAACACGTAGGGTATCGCGCGCCTCAAACAACCAGTTCAGGTCGGCAGTCGACTTTAAAAGAAAGAGTAATTACCTTGCAACAGTTTATGTCGCTCCATATAGTTCCTGGTAGCAAAAGACATGTCAACGGGAGCAGTGGCTGGTCTCGGCGCGGGACGTTGTGGCGCTGCAATCGGTGGCCCGTTCTTCAGGTACTTGGCGGCTAGCTGGTTCATTTTTAAACTGGTGTCAGTAGACGCATAAATATGCGGTTGGTGTAAACCAAGAGGATCGTCGCCGAACTTAACTCTAAAATAAGAAAATCTTAAATTAGTAAATCTAAAGAAACTATCTCAGGCCTCAATTTATTTGTTTAATTAATAAAATCATTTAAAAAATATGTCAATCTCATTAGGCTCAATTTTTGGTATTTCTCCTGTAAATGTGTTGCATTATATGTAATACTATTTCTTTTGCGTTGCGAGTCATTACTTCTCTCACCCTGGGCCCACCCAAGGACTATCGGATTCCTACTGACTACCACCCGATTATTTTTCGTGCTCGAAGCTGGGGCCGGGGAACATTATTGCGCTTGCACCCACCCAATAGACCACCACAGGCGGGGGCCCTATAGGGCTGATGTTCAGCCGGGGTTACGGGGTAAGCGCAATGAGGCATCGCGACCTCGGCCCAGAGCAGGAGTAGGAACAAGGTGTTTTAGTCAATAAGAGTCTGACACTCCCTCCCGCCCGACCCTGGGCGGGAGTCGGCAGTCATACGATGATTTTCTCTTCACAAAAAAACTGAACATTATAGTGCTGAAGACCTTTATGCTTGAACACACTCATTAAGAACTATCAGTGAAATGAAGAAAATATATTTGTGTTGGATAATAAATTAATCGAGAAATGTTTTTTTTTAAACTATATTAATATGTATAACATAACCCAAGAGCTAAGCAGTGGATGAATCTGCACAGTAGTAGTTAGTACAAAGATAAATGTGATACTTAAATGATAAACAATTTTTTTACTTTACCTTTTAGTAACACTAACATTAGTCTTGTCTATATGCATTTGTACAGTCTGCAGCTGTTGTCTGGTGTTCCTGTATAGGGCACTGGCTGAAGACGGCATGTCTGAATCTTGCAGCATTCCATTCACATGAGTCTAAAATAATAAAAAATATTTCATTACTTCTTCTCTTCTTGTTCTCCAACTGAGAGATTCAAGCCATTGCATGAATATGTCAGCTCTAATGGAGTAGTATTACAGCCTCACTGAAAACCACCATGAAACAACTACAGTATCGAGTTTTGCGGGTTATTGTTTTGAGAGTGAGGTTCCTAGAGGCCCAATACTTCCCTTCCCCCAATCCTTATATATCCGAAATCTTTCTCCTTAAAAGGCCAACAATGCAATTGTATATTGTGTCTGATGAGCCTTGTATAATATTAAGAAAAAAATTGTGCCAAAACTAAAGAATATAACTATTACCATAACTTTGTTGTAATATGTCCAGCCAACATTTGATTGGTTATCACTATCTGCATCGGAGCTGAAAATGAACAGGACTATTATTATTCTGTTACGTTCAAATTGATAAGTGGGAAAACAATCAAATCATATTTCAATAATAAAACAAAAGATAAAGAACTTACTCGCTGTAATCTCTCACATCTAAATACAAGCTCTGTTCTGGTGACATTAGTGGTGTGGTTGCATTATCTACTTGAACATTACACAGGCTCAATTCATTTAATGTTTTCTCTTCAGTCACACCTGCAAGTGGAAGCACACAACCATTCATTGGAGTGTTTGTTAAAACATTCCCTTGAGCCTCAAACTCTGCCCTCATAGTATCACCTACAGGTGTAATACCATCTAAAAAGTTTGGATTAGGTGCTTGCCCCTTAGATACAACCTCTTTTATACTAATTTGGGATCTATTGCATTGTATTTGTGCATTGTCATTTGTTTTTAAGATTTCCTTATTTATTACTGTTGAAGTTCTGACCATTTCAAAACTAGTCATGACTCCAATTGATATCTTATGCTGCTCACTCTCAACAGTTTCAATGGCTACATGTTTCTGAGCAGGTACTTGTGTTTGTTGGCTTGCTGTAATGAACTTATCCACTTTCTCTTGAAGTAATTGCAACTGTTCATTTTGCAGTTTTATTATTTTAAAAAGATCAGATACTGTTGGCTCTCGTTTCTCTTTGGAAATATTTGTTTGTTTTTCAACCTCCATTGAGCCTGAAGTTTTGCTCTGCTCATATCTTTCAATGGCCCAGGTCTTTTTATCAACTGCATTCAAAATTGGACTAGGTGTTTTGTCAACACCACATGGAATGCACTGGCATTTTCTAGCAGGTGGTAAAGGAGTGCAGCAAGAGCATCTAGGCTGTGGTGGCAAAGCACATGGGCAGTGACTGTGTCTCATACCATTTTGGGCAGTAGAAGGAGAACCATAGTTAGGTCTGGGGTGCTGAGGCAGTCGATCATTCATTACATGTTGAGTGTTTGTCAGAGTAGCCTTTTTAATACAATGGTGACATCTGCAATCAGTGTCTTCAAATCTAGTGGGCTGAGGCTGACTTTTCACATTTTCCTGCATGTTTATAGCTGCTACTTGCACCATTTCAGACTTCCTAGTGAAAGGATCATTTTCTTTGTCCAAACTAAGCTTGTTAAATTGCTTTGTTAATGGATTCATATCTAAATTAAATTTATCTAAGTTATCCCTTTTGATAAAGAAGTCGTCATCTTTAATCAGTATGTTTGGAAGTTTCGGTACCTTGTTTTCAGTCAATATCTTTGGTGCAAAACTAGTTTCAGGAGTATATTTCATTGTATGGTCATCAACAGCAATATGGTTAGCATTAGTAGGCTTTAAGATTGATCTACAAAATGTAGGCCTTCTTGGCTCATGATAGGAAGCATCTAACATACTTAGTTCCAAGTCGTGAGATGGTGACCACTCAGGGGATTTCTGATAACCAGGTAACGGAGTCTTTGTCATTGTAGGAAATGGGGAACTATTGCTGCATTCAAAAAGTTGCACTGGGTCATTACTGTAAGGTAAAACTTTCACCTGACTGTATAAATCAGGTGCATTCGCATGCATCTGCCTCTCTACTAGTGGACGAGGTGAATGACACTCGCGCTCGTTCATGTCGAAAGATTGGAAAGCTTTAGCAGGACTCTCAAATCTAACTTTCTTCATTAGCCTCGCACTTCTAAAATATACCACGCAACATCAAATATATAGTATAAAATACCACATAACACTTTTTAATAAAATACTATATCATATTCGATCAAAATGTAATGCCTACACAAAACTCAATTTTCAAAATTCAAAATATAAATACAAAACTAATGATTATTCCCACGAAAACAACACAAGTACACAACAAAGTTTTGAAATTTGTAAACGTTAGATAAGTGACATTAGTGACAATAGACAATGACAGATGTTTAGTATGACAGATACCACATAAACCAAATATTGGCAAATGTGCGTTAAAAAACTTAGCAATCCAAGAAATAATCATATAAAAATAATCATGTTAAGAAAATTAACATCAGTATTCATGTAATTTTATAATAAAATTGGTGCAATTATTTTCTGAAAACTTTCTGCCTCAGCGGCGGTATAACCGAACTGATACGATCTTCAAACCATCAAGAAACATGCTTAGGTGCTCCTTTTAAAAGGCTCCTCTGTGATGAACTGTGAATCCTCTAGTGTTGCAGGTGTCCATGAACGAAGCTGATCACTTACCATCGGGTGTGATCCGTTTTCTCATTTTGCCTCCATTTCCATAAAAAAAGCAGTATTGCCCCCACGGAGTAAGAACATTGCCCCATAAAAAGCTCATATTTTATATATGGCCATATTCTCGCATGAAGAGTGATGTCATGAATGTCAACTGTCATTAATTTCTAATATGTCACTAATAGGAGTTATTTTCATTTGAGGTTATTGTAGTCTTCATTTTACATTAATTTTATAGTGAAATCAAAATGAATGGGCAACTGTTAAAGGTGTTAAGCCCTTTAGTTTCGACAGTTAGAGCTAAAGGATATAAAGCACCAGGTGGGATTCGATACCCAGGAGGCATCGTGTACTACCCAAGGTATCAACTTAGTTGGAAGCAAAGCCATTTAAAATTTATTTACTTACGAATTTATTTCACTTACGAAAATAATAATAAAACTTTTTAGATATCCCGACCACAAAGATCCTGAATATACCCCAACTAAGTTATTTAGAGTTGAACGAATCAAACCCAGTAAACACCAGCCGCATTACCTCAAATCAATACTTCGGGAATTCAACATTTTGGAGGAAGTAAGTGAAACTTTATTTGGAATTGGTCAAATCAAAACTATCTATTTATGTATGAATGGATTAGATATGATAATCAGTTTGAAATGATTTTTACAATAAAAAGATCAGAAAGTACATTATTAGTTAATAGACTAACATTGTTTGTTTCAGTGTGAAAATCATGTTACAGTAGTAAAAAATATTCCCGAAATAAACATGAGACTATGGAAAATTAAACATTTGATAAAAATTACACCCATTGTTTTTCCATATGGAGAACCAACTAAAGATGACATAAACTACACAGTTCTGAAGGAAAATGGTCAATGCATTGTCACAAAGACAATTGGTCCGAAGCCAGAACAAATTGAAGCTCTAGAACAATTTGAAAAAAGTGAGAAGAAAATGGATTCTGACACATTGAAAAAAGATTCAAGATATAAATGGAATAATGCATTTAATGGAGGATTCTAAGTATATTGCAATGTAGATTAGTGTTTAGTGTATTAAATAAATGTTATGTATTAACTTATGTTTATTTCAATTATGTACTTACTTTGACCTTAAATGTTGGACCAGGAGAATGAATAGGGTAGGTTTTAGTAAGTAAGAGTTTGTAACTACTTCTTGTCCTATCTAGGACGGAAAAAGTCAGTCATTTGTGTATCTAATATTAGTGTGACACTTTTAGTCTGCCCTGAAATAATGAATTCTCTTAGTAATGCCTCCTGCCTTATTTTGCATTGGGGTATTTGTCCCTAAAAAAAATTTGTAAGCACCTTAAATAAAACATTGTTAGGTATTTCATGAAAACATTTATTCAATAGCTTATAACATTGTACACTAATATAATAACAGTAGAAATTCTAATAGCTAATGCAATAAAGTATTATAACACTAAGAAATTAATCTTCGGGTTTTTCAGAACTCTTCTTGTTCAACATATAGTTAAAATGTTCAGGTGTTTTGAAGTAGTTTTCTAATATGATTCCATGTTTATTACCAAGAGAAAACCTAGCATCACCCCAAGAGACAACAAATGTAGGACTTAACTTTTTAAAATCTTTCAGGTGAAATTTGTGAGTATTTATACTATTGAAGAAATGACCTCTAAACACTGCCAAGTATTCATCACCATCTTGATACATTCTGATAACATACTTTGATATTAATACTTTTATAGCAATATGTAACGCAATGAAAGATCCAAGGTAAACTAAGCACTCAACAGGGCTGTTGGCTATCACCACATTGTCTCCAATTACCACTGGGTTATACATGTCTGCTTTATCAAATACAAAAGCAGCATAGTACAAAGAACTGGCTCCAATTATACCAGTTGATACGGTTAAGTAACTAGATGCATATTTGAGTGCAGTATCCATAGGAGCTTTGTATATCAACTGCCAACGTTTTGATATTCCATCTCTTTCTCGCCACATTTTTTGGGTTTCCATGTAACGGACTGGATTGTTTGAGGCATGTCTAGCCAAAGATATTTGAAACGCCCAAAATGTTTGCCGTTCGGCTAGTCGCATCAACCGCAAGCAATTCATTATTTCTGCTTATTATTTAAATTAATACACTATAAATATATAAACTCTATTCACTCATTTTTTCCACTTCAGAGAGTATAATATTTATATCATAGTCCGGTTGATTTGTTTATTCTTTTGAGGTTATATTTCTGTGACATTTGAACGGACAGCTGATTACGACATTTCATGTTGCGTTCAATACCTGAACAGAAAATTAAATAGTAGCGTTCATAAACTTCGTTAGAAGCTCTATATAAGTTTAATAGGTTGGTATATATTTGATTTGATATTCTTGTCAATATTATCATTCATAATTCAGAACTATATGCTTTATACTCAGGCTTTATATTTACACAAACAAGTTTCTGCCATCGGCTCCGCTCGCAGTACCAAGACAAAAAGTAGCCTATGACCTCAGCCTATGACAGTAATCTCATTCAGATCCGTTCAGTTGTTTCAAAGTGAAAAATATTAAACATCCACACCACTTCGCTGTCTCTGAAATAATATTCGTAGGTTGTATCTATGAAGATACAACCTATGATATGTCGTGGCGGCTCGGAGGTTAAGGATATGTCGTGGTGGCCCGGAGGTTAAGGAGCCCGCTTCTCATGCATGAGGGTGTGGGTTCGAAACCTGGCAAGTGACTTGTGACTTTTTCTGAGTTATATGTACTTTCTATGATTATTTAGACACCACTGACATACGGTGAAGGTAAACATCGTGAGGAAACCTGGACTTATAATTCCTATTTATAAGTTTGAAATCGCCAACCCGCATTGAGCAAGCGTGGTGATTAATGCTCTAACCTTCTCCGTATGAGAAGAGGCCTTTGCTCAGCAGTGGGCACTTATAGGCTGATGATGATGATGATGTATCTATGAAGTATTCTCATAGGTAAGAAAGGAGGAGAAAAGAGAGTTAAAATTTTAAAGTATAATTTAGTAAATGATATTAGATATAACTTAAATATTTGATTTACAGAAAACAATACTAGTGACAGTCAGTATTTATACAAAAACGTGCATAATTAATTATGTATAAGAAAACTTAAAATATATGAATAAATTATAAGTATCCCGCGAAATAAACTCAACATAATTATTAAAAAAAAATAACAACATACAAAAGCTATATAAGTTTTGTGATAGTTACAAATATTACAACTGCTAAATAATATAGCTAATCAAGTGATAGTTATTTAAGTAACATGAATTTAACCGCTAGTCTGCCGGTATATGAGACACAATAGATAACACATTGTGTCTCGCGTATATCTGCGCTCCGGCATACCACGGGTTAAAAAACAAACGCAACTGGAGTTTATTCAACCCAAATTATTCTCCATTGTCAGCAATAAACACTGATGAAAATAATTATAAACTAGGCAACAAATAATTACATTGAGGTACAACTTCTATTCTTTCACTTTTCTTCTTACACTTAAAATAATGGACTGTTGAAACTCAAACAACCCTATTTCTCTTTTCGTAGCAGGGCCGGCAGCAGTCTTCGCCCTGCTTATGCAGCAACCTTAACATCTTGTAATAAAGTTGAAAATCTAGTAAAAATTAAATTTCTGACTACTTCTGACAGATTATAATCATAAAAGTCTTAAAATTGCCACATAATCGTATTACATCTTGATAAAAAACCTTGAGACTAGTTGTGATTACATTATATTTTATAATATTGCTATTTGAACAAACACATTACTATATCTAGTAGTAAATGGAATATTGCATATTATATAACAATCTTTCTACAATCACACACACAGCCAAGGCAGGTATATTCAATCTGGCTTAATTTAACTAAGCTAGTCAAAAACTATATCTCTATGCATTTTTTTACTTAGGATTAAGTATAATATAAATAAATCTGTGACATATCTATATATCTACGGATAAGGGTCAATTCATACTAGCGCGGAGTCGAAGCATCAAATTGAAATGCAAAGTACCTTAAAGCACCTAATCAATGGACTTCGACAATACGCTTCTCTGAGTTAATCCCAAATTTTCACAAATAAAAATTCGACACGTTGTAGTTTCGACGTAATGAGATCTATATAAATTCTATAATAAATTCTATTTCATTTATTTTATAAACATATATTCGTAAGATATTGGTGAACAGAAGATGGCGATGATAATTAAGTGTGACATAACTAAATTATTTGTATGTGGTGTGTGGCCAATATACTCATTAGGCTCGCCGTCTATTGTCGCAAAAGGCTATTTTAGACTGAATTCCATCAATCATATTTCGATCTATGCGAGTACCCTGAACTTAACGCTACTTCAGCACCTCTAGCAGCGCGAAAATAAAATATAAAAAAATTGTCATAAATAAAAAACGAATTATACATAGTTAAGACGTATTAGACAATAGTCAACATGAAACAGGTTCAATGACGAAGCGATAGCATTTTGATTGAAAGCTAGTTCCACTTATCAGGCTTTTGAGCATAGATAAAAAATATTGAATATTAAATTATAGTCACGTTGAACTTATGGTGTTATTGTAATCTTTTTCTCGACAGTTTTTTTGCTACGAGACCTTTTAGTTGGACTATCTTTAGAGTTTTCGTACTTAGAAAATAAGTACTGGGCAAATAAGTCATCTTTGCCTATGTCTACTTTATTTGGCACATTTTGGTTTTTTGAATAATTCGATATCCTATTACTAGCATTTTGTAGAAGATTGATATCGATATTTTCATTGTTTGTTTTGTAGTAGGTTGAAGTATTCTCACGTTTCTCTTCTTGTTGAACTGTTGGGTCATTGGTTGGTTTTCTTAAGCTTTCTGGCAGCGCATCCGATTTTAACTTGACTAATGTTGTGTTGACAACTGAGCAATCGATCTGCATCAGCGTTACGTGATCGTTCATTAGAGAATCTGTAATTAAACATGTAATTAGACATTTAACTTGGTCATTGCATTCGACAATATTGTTAAAACATAATATAGAAAAATAATTGAACTTACCATTACCACTCCTAGCGGGCAAAATGAGAGCCATTTTCGGTGGTCTAGTAACATTATGTGAGACAGCTGGCAGTAATAAATGCTCGCCTTTACCAAAACCTACAATATAGAATGTGTCGTCCCGCCGATGTAAGGCTTCAAGTAAGGCATTCCATTCCCCCAAATCATCCATATTAAAATCACTAACGGATTTTCTCATAGGTTTTCGGTAAAGAGTCTCATAATCTATAACAGCGTTTTCTGCGAAGTCTATGTCTTTATTCCTTCTCAGGCGACGTAAACGAGACTTGTCCTTGACGGTCTTCGCATGACTCCTTAAACTTGGGAAGTCCATGAGGTTGTTTTCTAAATGCAGTTTATTGAAAAGCCTGTAGCTTTCTAGAAGACCACCTGCAAAAAAATGTTCTATATTATGTAATGAATAATTTTTCCTCATAGCTTTATTACGAAACCACACGACCTTTGTAATTTTCTCTTTTACGTTATTAATTGGATGCCATCGTAGGCTCACAAGCTTGTTTTTAAAGCAAAAAAACTGCGGATGACCGCAACGCCATTAAACAGAAAGGTAATAATGAAAGATGGTGATAAACACGACTGACATATAAAAGGGAGGGCAGCGGAGTCTTAATACTCATCATCATCATCAGCCTACAAGTTCGAACTGTTTTTTAGCGATTTCAAACTTATAAGTTCCAGGTTTACTCTTCACCATTTGTAAGTAAACTAAGAAAGTACATACTTACCTATAATTCTAAAAAAGTCACCTTATTATCTACTAGCCACGAACTCGCTCCCTCTCGTATCTTCTTAGTAATAACACGGTTCCCGTTTCACCATTTGGTATTGGAATTTTAAAAAGTGTTACAACTTACCAGCAATCTTCTCTTCATTCAGGTACGCCTGTCGTTTTTTCCGTGGTACATCGTAGGTCCAGTTCAACGTCTTCCCGCCTCCAATCCATCGCTTCAGCTCGCCCGCTATCCGTATGCTCTCAGTCTGATTGATGTTCACGAAGTCTGTCGCTCTCACTGTCGCATTCTGACAGTCCGTTACGTACGTACCGTTTGTTATATCATCTGAAAGCAGGGTAAGAAAGGATGGTAATGTAGGTAGGTTGTCAATTGAGTTTGAGACTTATTTTTTGTGCAATAATGGTTATTTTAGTAAAATTCTAGGCTCTAGATATCAGTATTTTGATCTTTATCGTCAATATGGAATTCTGATTATATAAAATGTTTCTTTATGTATATAGAAATTCTGAATTGGTTGCATAACCTTTATACATAGTATAGTAACTCTTTATAAAATTAATAATGAAAGAATTGTATTATTTATCAAATATTTCATATAAAAATTATTATTTAACTACATCGCGCAGTTGAATAAATAATAACAGAGGTGAAACAGTGAACAGCCTCGACTACATGTCGCATGATTTTCCAGTTTCGCATAGAAATAAAAAAATCAATACAATCAAGTCTATGCACGTTTAACATTTATAAAGGTCACATACAATTCGTTGTTTGTTTCATTTCATTCTGATTCTAATGACAAAGATATTAAAGCTTAAAGTGGTCTAAGGCTGTAAAATACCATATTGTGTATAATGAACTAAAATTAATAAGGGTATTTATTTTCTATTTCGGTATATTCTAATGATTTTTAAACGTTAGTTCCATATGATCTTGAAACATTATGTATAGTTATTAAGGGTCTGTTTCACTATCATATAACATAGCAATACAGTTACAATGACTCATATTTTATCAAACATAATTTTTTAAATGACTAATATGCAATGGAACAGACCTTTAAATGATAAATAATGAAAGGAATAAGGGTACACACCATTTACAATATCTACAGCGGTGTCTTCTGACCATAGTAAATGCCTGGTGCTCCTGTGTGGAGCGGGGGGCCCGACAAAAGGCTTTGAATTCCACCTTTAGTTTAAAAAAACAAACAAATTGTTAGGAAAATGATGGAGTATGAAGAAAATTGTGCTTAATCCTGCTAAAGATAATTTTATTATTGTTAGTTACAAAATGAAGCAATCAATTAAATATGTTCACTTGCATTCTCACGTAACTGTTTTGCGGGATAACTCGACTAGTTTCAAGTCACATGAGGGGCTCATATTTATGATATGAGCAACAACGCGCGACACATAACACAATTAAGTGAGTAAGCCGAAATTAAATATGTGTCACGAAATTTATTACTTATACAAATCAATTTACAGCTAATGGTATCCAAATCATGTATTTATTAGTTTTGAGGAAAATTGAATAAAATTAAAATGAAGTTTGTAAGAAGGTAATAGGCAAAATTGATGCTTCCTTGCTTGATGCATACCTGTGAATAGTGGATCACAAATATTGCCACCAAACTATTCAAACATTATTTTTCCTGTTAATTTATTAGTTACTTGTGATTTTGGATCATATTTAATGAAAAATGAGCTTGATATTTTAATCACTCATTATTATGAGATATTTTTTTTATCATCGTTAACAAACATTATTCAAACAAAACAGTATGGAAAATAAAGTATTTTTCTTACCCAAGAACATTCCAGTTTAGCGATACCATAAACACCATAGCAAATATAACAGCTATGTTCTTCTTGGGTATTAGAAGCGAGGCGTCGAGTCGCGGCATCTGTTACCACATTATCCAGGTGTCACAAAAATGTAGGTAATGAGTTTATAGTTTTATAAGTAATAAGGTAATAACAGCATGTAGTGTACATAATAACTAATACTAATATACTATATTGTGAGTTGAAGGAAACAAGGTCAGATGAACACCTGTACGCTGTAATAAGCTATAGTTTGCTCAGCTTGTCAGTAGAGAAAATCGAAAGAAATTGTAAGAACAGAAGTTACTCTCGCATGATGCATGTTTCACACTGTTCTCAAGTGTAATTTCGATAAAAAGAAGACAATATTAGCTGGGTTTGGGGTCTACTGCGGCCTCGGCCTAGAGCAGGAGTAGGAACGTTGTAGTTTTGTAGTTAGAGTCCCAAACTGCACTGGCCCCAACAAGGCGAAATAGTGCAACTCTCAAAAAAAATATATCAATCATTTTTTTTTCTTATAAGTATTCACTATAGGCAATGAAAATGAGTAGTACATTAGTCTCCACATTTTTTATAACTGTTTTATACCTGCACGTGACCATTCCCATATGTTTACAATTTTCGCTTTTGACTTCTGTCTGCACTCTCTTACCTTTCGACTCCGCCCGCCTGTTTCAAGTTGATCCCGCAGCAGTTTATTCTCCAGTCGTAACCTGGCGATCTCTTGTTGTGCTTCAAACAATTTCTGTTCTAGCGCAGTCACATACTCTTTCTTTTTCTGCCGGGATTGACATGCTGATTCCCTACAGAAATAGAAATTGTGAAGCTAGAATATGGATCCTTTTGATAAGATATTTTTATGCAATTCTAAAGTAAACATTAGAATAATTACAATTTAAACTTTAAGAAATGGTGATAAACTTTTTTTAAATGTTATTTCTGATAGGAATGTTATCTAAATATACTAAAATAAAATTTTAGGTGCTATTACTAACTAAAAATTGATAAAACCAGTTGATAATATGTAGTAATTTGTAGTAAACTTTTGATTAATTAAAGGTGAAGGCAGTTTTTTTACAAATATGAAACATTAGTATTTTTTAGTTGTTAAAAAAATAGAAGCCAAAATTTTATTTCAATGGGAAGCATAGAAGGAAGTGCTACTAGTTGAAAGAGTTAATATCCTTTACTGGCTCAAATCTCGCTCATACACAATCGCTAGACCAAGATGGCCATTTTAGACCTACTTTCTTACAGATTAAGGTTGATTTTATTATTGAATATTGGATATTCTTACCTATTTTTAATCATCCTCTGTTGCTTCTTGATGGCCCGAATCTCAGCTTCACTGAAGTTTGACATATCTATCGTAGGACTGTTTGAACCCTCACTATCAGCATATGGAGGTATCACATGGTTTTGTACTATCTGTGGAGCAGTACCATTGGTGGATACCGTCATTTTTGGATTGATCACGAGGTTGCTTCTTGGTGAAGTTACCTGGAAATAAATAATGTCTTAGCTTATTCCTTCAATGACAGCGAGGTATGTCTGGACGAAATAAATTTTTAGAAAAGTAGTTGTGTATTTGGTTTAATTGCGAGGTATTAGGTCATCCATGCGAAGTAAGGGCGAGAAGCTAATATAGTAAATTTACTAAGTATTAAAATTGTTTACTTTTGTTTAGACTAAACGTATAAAGTGCTGGCATGTATTCAAACAAATGTCTGGTTCACATCGTTTTATTTTGAAATACTTGTATTGTTCAGTATTTCACATAGCCTTCATTTTGTATTAAAAAAGTTGTATATCAAATACTCACGTTGCATAACAAACATTTACATTAGCATAATAATTTGCATATAATTACATATCATGATTAATTTAAAATAGAAGTAAATAGACTTCAAAAGTCTTCATGAGTCCACAGGAGACATACTAAAGCAAACAATCATAAGAAAATAAAAACACCAACCTGAACTTGACTATCCTTGGCACCATTATACTTGGTTTGTGTCAGCGGCGATATGGCGATCTTCCCACCAGTTGTGCTCTCCGCCGGAATTATAATACTGGCTGGCTTCGTGTTCACACTGGAATGCCTTTTTAAAATACTCGGCACCTTCTTCTGTTCCACTACCAACTGAATCTGACCGTTTACCGAGATCTTATTGTCGCTGGGAGGATTGCTTGTGTTTTCATTGACCACTTTGAAGTAGGAATTTTGATGGTAGCCGTTACCTAAAAAAATATAGGTAGTTAGTTTACACCTGCAGGATTTTAGTCATAAGTAGGTACCTAACTACGTACACTACTATTGTAAAACTTATAGTATTAGGTATGTCATTATCGTTTAGGACACCATTGCGTTAGTCGAGGCTATCCTTTATTAGTTGGGCCATCTCGTTTACTAGCGGACTAATGGGATTTACGAAGAATGAGATTTAATTTCTTTACTTTACCTCCGTTACTTACTAGAAAATATATCAATAGAAAAGTATAACATCACTATGTACTTGTAGTACGTACCTTGCAAGATACAACACCCGCAAGTTAGCTATAGTTAAATTGGTGAATTTAAATGTATTGTTTCTATATCAAAATGCTATCTTCGCTACATATATTGTATAAAACAAAGTCGCTGTTTCTGCCCCTATGTCCCTATGTATGCTTTAAGCTTTAAACGTACGTAACGGATTTCGATGCGGTTTGGCTGCTGTGCAACGTGTCGTGCATGAGTTTGTTAACACATTAAAAATACAGGAGAAAATCCTAGTACATGTACCTAGTTATACGAGTACACCAGAATAAATTTCAAACAAGAGAAGCCAGGTAAGAGTCTTCTGAATGAAGAATATTTTTCTCACCAATTCGTCATAGGTACTTGTCACTACATCAACAAACAAATATTAGATTTTTTTCTCCTATCTACCTACAAATATTTGCACAACTAAATTGTTAACAAGTCATTGAACCTATCCTTAAAGATTACAGTAATGCAATAGAATACAATGAAAACTCACCTTTGTGTACCTTAGAATAAGAGTTCCTTATTTCACTATCACAGTCTTCAATCTCCATTTTAATGCCCTGAAATTGAAGAGATCAATAGATGATATTGTTTTTAGTGCAAACAAGTTTTATATCATTATTTTTTAAAAGAGTGCACAAACAAACAGTATACTCTTGTATCTCTAGTTCACACTCAATAAAAAAATGGGCAATTATAGTGAATTTTTGCTATTGTAATGCAAACTATGTAAATAAAGGCTTGCTACTCGGAATTTATTAAGCAAAGTACAGCTAGTTTCATAGTTACAATAGGACTCATATTGCAGAGCAGCATGCATGATGTGATGACTGATGTTGGGCATTCAATGTCTATTGACCCATTGTTGTAACTTGAAAGGTTACAGTAGCACTTATCTCAGTTGCTTCAAGTCACTATGCCTTTTTTTAATAAATATATTAATATATACAGAAGAAATCTTATATTCCCAGTACCTTAATAACACCATTTTCGATAGCCATGACAGGTCCATTTCTTTCAGGAGATTTTCCATTTGTAAGTGCTTTATGTAAAGGTGGGTTATCAGGATTTGGAGCTGTTAACAAACATATGTTCCATTAAAATACACACATCCACAACCCACCACATCTATATGAGGAATTGCTAATAAAATATTACACCAGATTAAATACTTAACATATGATAAAAACTATAAGAAGACAGATTGAATTATAATAACATGTTTTAAATCAATTGAAAAAGAATCTTATATGAATGAGCATATGTTACAAAATGGTAAATCAACATACCTGTTTTTTGTAGAAACAGTTCAATATCTTCAAGATTCAAGTTATTAGTAGGTTCCTCATTAAAATTAGTCCAATCAAAAGGTGATTGTGATGATTGTCTAGCTGATGTGCCACTGGAACTGCTAGAGAAATAAGTACAATTCATCATCACACTAGTCACAAGATAATTTAAGCTGTGATATGGTCATTGTTAGAAAACCTTAGATACTTTTTATATTTATTTATACAAAATAAGCACAAGAAAATTCAGATTGTTAAAAACAGTACAGGAAAATAATTATTCAATTAATATTATACAATTTTACAATATATTTGAATAATTTCCTCAATGTCTGTGAAACAGATATAATCATGATTTACCAATTTAAATTGAAATTCATTCATCATTTGTTTAAAAAGTGAAAGTAGTAGTAGATTATTTTGTTCCAAAAACTTATGTAAAGTCCAAAGTTTTGTGTGAAAGTTTCTGAAAACCTGATTCTTTAATTTCATACTTGATTAATTGGTACTGGTATAAAGACAATTATCATAAAAAAGACACTGATACTCTTACTGAAAATTACGTTTTTATCAACATCATTTCCTAATATGTTTACTCCATTAGTTACTAACTTTTTAGAATCATCCTCGCTGCCAGAATCAGAATTGCTACTGCCTTCTGATGACTTTATGCTCAAAATTGGCGATATCGGCGGTACTAGGATAGGCGCTGCATCAGCCAGGATCTCGCTCGGTGAGGCGTCAGTCGCATCCAACAAAGATGACCATTTGTAGTCATTCGACAACAACTGATCGAGAAAATCCTCACCTAAAATAAAATTACTTATATGTACAATTTATTTCGTGTAAAGTGCAAGTGACAGATCTTATCGCAAGTGATAAAAACACGATATAACAACTTTTATGACTTTACTACGCTATTTAATTGAAACGCGTAAAGCGGGCGGCGTTTATAAACGAGAAATCCTTGTTTGTATATAATTAATTACGCACTATGAATTAAAACTGAAAGTGCATCCAAGGACACGTGCTAACACAAAATACTTTGAGGGGTCAATAACATGATTCCATCGAATCAAATTAGCAGCACATTGTTATTGTAAATTAGCCGGAACATAGTATAAAACACAGAATCAAAAATTACCATATAAGTAGTCCTTATTCTCAATCAAAATATCTGTATCCATTGGGATAGTAACAAAAGACCCATTAAATTGTAATAACAATAATAAATTGCACTAAATTAATGCGTAGGTAAAACACATTGTTCACATACAATAACACGACGGCAATGATTAATATTTTTTATCTGTGAACATTTTAATCAATGCAGCAGGTGCATTTGAATACCTAACTCGGGAGTGTTTTTTGCTTAATATTATAAATAACACTTAGACGAAAGAATCATTCATCTGTTTATTTATTGCAGCTTAACTTGACATTCAGTTGTGTATTATAATATACATCTTCCAGTGATGCAATATAGAGATAAATTGCATTAAAAATATAAAAAGTGTCATCAAAACTAGTATATAAAATCAGAGTTACGTTTCAGAACGAATCTCAATGACGCCCAACGAAATCCTACGTTTCATGTTTCATAACAAAAGCGAGTTCTGTACAATACACAACAAATTTTCCCTCAATCAAATATAATATTAATATTTCATAAATTTAAGGTCACTCCTATTGATGAATAATAAATAGAAAATATTTTTGTTTTCGTTAATTCTCCGGTGTTAAAACTGTTTTATTAAGAAAAAATTATGACACAGCTGATTCTCGAAAACTGGAACGTGTAGAATTTGACAGTGTTCTTCGGGCCGATTGATTTGTCGATTCTTGTTTCGATGTATTATTATAATATTTTTTACTCGATATTTTAGAATGAAAATAAAATAACGATCGATTAAATTGTAAAGGCTTATTGTTAAAGTTTTTACAAAAACTTAAAATGGGCGTGTGAATTTATCAAAGGCACCGGTTGCGAAAATGTCTGTCCCTGAAGATCAGGACGATTTCATATTTCGTCCTCAGCTGCATTTAGATGCAAAATGGTTAAATCCTGATTTACAAGAAGCGCTTCATAATCCTGATGGTTTGTGCACTCTATTCAACAGTCTTTTGCAAGACCGAGAAATATATTTCGAGGCCGGAAACGGGCTCGTAAACGGTGCTGGTGTTACTTCTAAACTTGGTGACAGTGGAAAATATTACTGTGGTCTGAGGGTATGTATGATATTTTGTACATTCAAATGATAATTTTGAGACTAGTTTCTGACTGGTTTCTGGTAAACTGGTAAACTGGTGGTTATTTAGTTATGTTTTTTCATATAATATAAATAAATAATAAATAGTACTAATAAGAAACATAAAACCCTAACAATAACATTATTTTTTTCCCAATAAGATTCTCACTTGCACCTGTTGCGATGGTCTGTGTGGCCCACACTCTGGGTGTGCCTGCCCACCATGCAGTACTCTGTCAGCTGAGGAGGAGCTCAGAATCTCTATACAGTCTAAGCAAGTGGCACCACCTCCATCCCATCAGATAGTTGATGATCTAAAGTGGAAACAAGACCCAGGTATGCTTTCATTCATATACAGAAATGTAGTGAAATAATATCATCACTAGTTCCTTTGTTCTACTTAGTTTTATTAAACCTACCAAAATTGTTTTGTTGACCTCTTTTTTTTAACTTGTGTATCCAGGTCCAGAATGCCTGCAAAGTTTAATGGAGGCTTTGGTCTGGGAACAGCGAGTGAGAGCAATCAACACGGCTGTTAGTTGTCCATTCATATCTCAGATCCGTCGACTCATTGTGTTGTGCAATAGACATCTTGTAGCTGTTATTAGGTATTGTTATTTTGTTTTGTATGTTATTGGATACTGTAATGTTTTTCTAGTACATCATCAAATGTTGACCTACTAAGATATGACTTATCACAATGTCATAAGGTTTCATTTAAGACCTTATTATTAGCAAATTAAATTAGGGTACTGATTATGACATTAATACCTAAAAAAAAAATAGTAAACTACATGACACACATGTGGTTACAAAATTTTAAAACACCATAAATTTAATTTACATTTATTCCTTTTTTCAGAGATCAAAGTCAGAACAAAGAAGTGAAAAGAGTGAGGATAGAAAGGAAGCCACCTCATACAGTCAGTAACAGGGCATTGAGCAATGTGGTTGGTACTCTGAACAAACCTGGAGAGGGAACTGACACCCAGGATGACACTGAGGAGCAGACTGATGACTCAGAGAGGTAAGTGTCATAGCTGTTGTATTTCAAGCAGTACACAGAAGCATGTATGTATAGAACTACTGCAGTTTCAACTCTTTTATGAAAAATTGGTCTTGCAGGAAAGCTAAAAAAAAAACAAAACTCTTGCTTCATCATTACCTTTTTAGTACTTTGTTTGCACTTATTTTACAGTAAGTAATTACCTTGAATGCAAGAAGTTATTGGTAACTAAACAGGTAGGTGCATGATGTATACAGGATGTTTCATAAATATGAACTGTTGCTTTATATTTGTGAATAAATTTATTTGTTTTGTGATTTTTAACTAATCATAAGGTTTTGTAAATAAAAGAAAACCTGAAGCTGACTAGAAATAGTCATATAATATTCCTATCAATGGATGTGCGATAAATGATTCGAAAGTTATAGCTTGTCAAATATTAAACAGACCAAAGTTTGTAACCAGCTGCACAACGCAATGTATAGTTGTACACTTATTGACTAAAATTGTTATTTGGAAATTGCGCATGGTGAAATCTTTCCTTTATCATTATATAATGATAATTATAAATATTATATCAAAATATTTTTATTACTTGCAACCAATTTCTGCATTGCAGTGCCATCGGTCTCGCTCGCGTCGGCGCCCGCGCAGCCCTGCGCTTGGCACTATCCCTCGTCCGTCGCGCGTGGCGTTGTGGTGAAGATGCAGATGTATGCTCTGCGTTACTTCGGGATGCTCTTGATGCAGTTCGAGCCCTGCCAGATGCGGGATTGTTCGCTGGTACGGGGCCGACAACAGCCCCAAGATCACAAAAGATATGGGCTGAAGTAGTTGACAGTGCTGCTAAATTCCTTCATCAAGTTGTAATTGGGTATGTGTTTATTAAATAAAAAGGTCGTAATATATTTAATCAGTTTCAAATTAGGTTTTTTATTATTATTATCATATGTTTATTACTTTTACTTATGAAAGACAAATCAGTAACATTTGAAGGTAAAACTTTTTGTTTGTGGAACTTTAAAAGTCGATGCAAAAGAATTTGACAAAAATATCCCAATATTACTCGTAAAAATTGTGTTTCATATTTATTTCAACAGAGAAGTAGGATGCAACGTGCCACAAGGCGACTGGCGGACCTCCCTGTGTGTGTGGGTAGAGCTGTGTGCAAGGAGAGCCGAACTACCCGCTCTGTTGAAGGCTGCCGACGTTCTAGTCACATTACCTCCTAAGCAGAAACGACAGCCCGACAATAGGTAAGTTTTTTCTCAGACTTACTTACCTACATTTGACAGTTTAAGAATTTGAAATAATTTTAAACTTTACCCGTTTCTAATATGGGTGAATTCTATCTCTTGTTCCTTGCGGGAATTCAACTAGCATCATGCTTACAAAGCAGATAGCTATAAAAGACTTTTGTGACAGACTAGTTATATTATAAGAAATGTGAAATAAATTAAAACTATTTTTATTCTAATTTATAATGAGAAATCGTTGTTTGTTCACCAGGATTGTTCTAGAAGAATGTACAGCACCATTAGGACCGTTTTTAAGACGAATGGCGAAAGTTACAGCTCCAACACCCATTCTCAACAGTGAACCAACTACTGAACCCAATCTTACGGAAATGTTTCTCAAGTAAGTCGCCTACTTATAAGCGATAATAACCTTAACGTTATATGAAATAAAGTGGCTTATTGAATATATGGTTTCAAAGAATTCTCTATTCTTTATAGTGACATCAACAATCACCTTTACGGAGTGCAAAATAAAGTTGTAAATCGAATGTTGTTTCAGGGAACTAAATATTCCAAGTGGTGATGGGTTGATGGGAGTGAGGAAAGCTGGTATTGCCTTATTATGTCACCTGGATAGACTAGGAGCTCCCCTTCTTCCGCCTTTGAAGGGATTTGTGACTGTAAGTAGACGAAAGATGGCTAAAATATTTTCTATTCAAAAGACTCGCAGCATTGTTCTCGGTAATTAAAGATTAGGAGATTTTGGAGAGAAGATACGGTTGAGGAGTTTAAGTCTCCGGTAACCTCTCCCAACGACGGAACAGCGCGACCGTTGTTTAGCCTGGAGGGCGTGTCACTCCGATTGTGCCGACACATTTTCACATTGGCATTTAAGGCCCAAGTATGTCTCTCCTACATTTAAACTTAAGCAGTAGTTACAGTTGTGAACTATTTGAAATTGAAATACTATAATGATTACTTTTTCTTTTCAGTGCACAGAATCAGCCCAAGAAGTAGTATCAGTTGGTTCAGGGTCCATAAATCTGGGTACATTACGGATACAGCAAATATCGTGTGCTGAGAAACTAGCCTTATTGCTGACTCAAGATGGCGTTGTTTATACACTGCCTTACGATACTATGACACCGCAATTAGTTCCAGGTTTGTGATTCCTATGTAGTTTAAGTATATTTGTGTACTTAAAAGGATGTTATGTAGCTAGACATAAAACCTTTTTAGTTAAATGACCTGAAAAGCGATATGTTGCCCGATAAATAAATAAAGATTCTCAAATACTTTCTCGACTTAGCATTAATATCTCTTGGATACTTCATATTGATAGATTTGTAGTCGATGTATGACTCTTAACCAATTTCGGAAGACCAATACAAGATTAGTACATATTTAGCCGATCTCAGTTAAAAATAACACCTTTTTCTACTTATTCTACTTAAAAAAAACTAGTACAATATCATTTTGCTAACCAGGTCTTGAAAGTAAGACAATAACGCAAGTATCATGTCACCCCGCCGGCCGGCATTACTTGTGTTGCTCGTCTTGTGGCGGCGCGTGGTCCTGGGGGGCTGGCGATGACGGCAGGCTGGGACATGGGGACACAGCGCCCAGAGACGCGCCCGCCCATCTACATCATTTAGCTCACCATGAGGTCGTTAGAGTCGCTGCTGGGGCTGCTTGCAGGTATGTGTGCAATAGTAGATCAAGAATATAATTAATTCTTTGTTACTATTAAGTTATTAATTCTGATATCAGATTTACAAGGATAACATATTTTTGTAATCTTCAAATAGAATCTGAGTAAGTTAGAATAGTAATAGATTCTTTCATCATCAGCCTATAAGTGCCCACTGCTAAGCAAAGGCCTCTTCTCATACGGAGAAGGTTAGAGCATTGATCACCACGCTTGCTCAATGCGGGTTGGCGATCTCAAAATTATAATTAGAAATTATAAGTCCGAGTTTCCTCACTATGTTTACCTTCACTGTATGTCTAAATAATCATAGAAAGTACATATAACTCGGAAAAGTCTCATTGGTACTTGCCAGGTTTCGAACCCACACCCTCGTGCATGAGAAGCGGGCTCCTTAACCTCCGGGCCACCACGACCATTTAGATTAACCAATAGATTCTTTACATCCTTATTACTTGCTGGAAATTGGCCTCTTTAATCCATCAAACCCCAAGCGAACGCTCGTTCGTTCTTTCACCTCTTGTTTTTTTTTTGTTGTTTCTCGAATTACCACAATTTAAAGGTTAATAATAATCCACGGCCCTTATCAGATGATAAGAAAGACCAGATGTCTTCATATCCAGAAGGCACTTTGATCTAACTAGCTCGGTTAAAAATATGTGGTATTTATTTTTTGCAGTGCGGTAATAACGTCTCGAGGCGCGTTATACACCTGGGGACGAGGTGCACAAGGTCGACTCGGTCACGGCACCATCGAGAACTGTCTCACTCCTCAACCTGTCTCCTTCAACGCTCATAACATTGAACGGGTTATTGATGTCGCGTTAGGTAAGTTATACAAAATTTTGGACTGAAACCATTAATATGAATTAAATAAATTCAACAATGTATTTTATTTATATTATGCAACTTTCATTTCATCTTGAATTGGAGTAAATATTTCGGTATAGCAAATATAATATTATGGATACGCCCTCTTCCTTATAAAATAGAGAATTTAAAAAAAGCCCATTACAGTTCTACTCAACAGTTGTTCCGTATTTAACCAGATTGCGCAAGTTGCGCAAAATCTTTGCGCAAATTTCACAAAGATTTATATTTAAAATAATTTTCCTTCATTTAGGTTGGGGTGAAGCTCATACGTTATGCTGTACATGGGAAGGTGCCGTGCAAGTATTCGGTGACACGGAGGCTGGAGTCCCTCGTGCCCTGACATCACTGTCTGTCTTGAGGATTACTCGCGTTTACACCGGAGAACATTGGCATGCTGCACTTACTGATGCGTAAGTTTTCATATATGTCTTTTTTGACTAGAGTGTTTATAACATAATGTCTTAGTTTCGTAGTACGATTTAATGTATTATAACGAATATTACACACATATCATTCAGTAAATACTGTACAGAAGCTTGCACATTTACTTAATACATTCTCAACTTTATAGTTTTATAATATAATCGAAAATCCAGTGGTGGTTTGAAACATAGAATATTTTTGTTCTTCTTAGCACACATTTCGTTATATCATCTTTATTATTTTCAGCGGTCAAGTATACACCTGGGGTAAAGGTGATAACTATCGTTTGGGACACGGTAACCTTGAAAGTGTGAAGATTCCAAAGTTGTTAGATGGTCTACAAGGTATTTAAATACTTTACTACTTAAACTTTTGTAAATTATAGCGATTTTCAAAAATTCTCATAATTTATTTCTATTTTTAGGTATAAGAGTAGTGGATCTGTCTCTGGGAGCGACGCACGGCATCGCTTTGACGGCAGATGGCGCTTTGTACGCTTGGGGCACGCACGAACGCGCGCAAATTACAAGACCTGTGCCGCAACTGTTGCAAGTACTCAACCCGTCTTTTAAGGCTAATGGTAAGTTTATTGAACTTTGCATATGCTTATATTTACTAAGCAAATTATTTTGTACATTGTAAGCATAACTTGTTTAATGATATTATTATGAATACAATTGCAAACAAGCAGACACAATACCAGATTTGAGGATTTAGAGATGGTAGGAGAAGATTGTGTCTCCGGTAACTTCATTTATACGGCGAAAGTCAACGAAAGAATTGATTCACCTCGGTTTCGTCTTAGGCCGTTGTATCACTCTGGTCGAGCCGGCCCATTCATACTGTACATACGTACCGTAGCATGGTCCTTACCGGCCAGTCCTTACGGCCCAGAGCAGGAGAACGAACAGGGGGGTTTTTAGTCAGTAAGAGTCTGACACTCCCTCTCGCCCGGCCCTGGGCGGGAGAAGTCATTTGTTGATTTTCCCCTCAAAAAAAAGCATGGTCCTTTCATACTTAATCGAAAATACATTAACTCATCGAATTATATCCAATATTAATATACCAATCCATTGTATAGCTTAAATATTAATCAGTTGATGTTTTACTGACTGTATCGCAGGTGTCACTAGTGGAGCATCACAGATAATAGTTTGGAGCGAAGAAAGTCCAAGAGATCTACCGTCTTCTATGCCATTCGTTATAGATTTGTCTGATAGCACTTTCAAGTAAGTAACAAAATCACATTATTATATTCTAAATTCACGATAAGGTATGCCTATATTAATAATTTAAGGATAAATAATTTCTAGGAATTATTTGGCTCCTTAAAAATTACTCATGTCTTTTTTTACAAACGAGTAATCAAAGGAAAAGGAACTGACATTTTATACTCGTATTCATGCTTCTTTTGCAGACTTCTAGAAAGACTATTGAGGATAGTTGTAGAACAAAGCAGCTCAGCAACTATAAAAGAGGTCGAATGTATGGCTATATCGTGTCTCAATCTCCTGCGGTTACAAGTAAGTGAATAAAAAATGTTTAAGTGTTAAAAATGGTTTTAAGTACTTAACTAAAAGTTTTAACACTAACACTTTTTTTTGTATAGCTCTCGCCAAACTTTGTGGCCGCCCTGAATATAGTCGCAAGTCCGAACTTGCGCATGGCACAGTCGAGTGTCAATATTAGTATATACGTAATCATGTGTTCATGCTTATTTTGGAAAATTAAAAAGACGTGTCAGTCTAAATAAACATTCGCTATCAAAATCCAGGTGCAAGCATGGCAATGTTCCCGTGGCTCAGAACCAGAAGAGGTAGAGGGCGAAGCTCGTTCGTGGTGTAATGGCGTGCATACCGCGCTGGTTGCGTTAGTCGAGGGTCGCGCGGGCGCCGGGGCCGCTACTGCAGCCAGGCGCGCGCTGGCCGCCGCCTGGCCCATACTCCTGCCTACCCCACATGTACGGGCACACCATCTTATCACGCTGTTGCCTCAAGGTGAGAATGTTAATGCTTATAGTTTAGTTTTAACATTATGTAATTTTGGTAACGTTTCTCTGTCTTATTCGTATTTTTTTTCTAATTAAAACGTTATTTTTTTCTAATAAAAACAAGTATGGTCTAGTGTCAATTGCACTCTACCAATGCGAATTTGTAAAACTTATCTGTAATACAAGTTCAAGAATCTAAAAAAACTACATTAATTACTTTAAAATGTATGCTACAATAATACAACTATTTAGTAAAGGAACCATTGAACCTCATATGTAAAATTTTATTCAGCATTGGTAAAGTGCAATAGCAGTTTTGACCCTCACTGTACATTTATAAAAATACACAAGAAATCGAAAGCATGTTTATTATTATTTATAAATTATACAAAAACGGATCAAATTGGATTGTAGCATCATATATAGAAATTAATTAAAATCAAAACTTATTTTTCACTAATATATGCAGGTTCAGTGCCAGCCAGCGCAGGCGCACGTTTCATGACTGAGCTACTAGTTTGGTCGTTGCTCGGCGGCGGAGGGTTACGGGACGCGCTACGTAATGCGTTGCAGGATCAATCCTCAGACGCGTACAATCACTTGCAGCTTGACGCGTATGTTTATTTATTTATTTTAATATGAAATAATATTTTTTGCATATATGAGTAGTATTTTTGTGGACTGGTATATTAACGTATAAGCTTTATTTTGTAATCGTTAATTTTCTTTGTTAAGTTTCGCTGTGAAACTCTTTATTGCATTCTCAAACCCTCTATTCCTTTCTCTATAATCACAAGTAAAAATACATATACTTATTGATTAAATGGTTTTCAGGGATTATGATCAAGTTGATATAGTGACCGGACAACGTGGCCCGCCCCTTGCAGCGACAGGGGACGACAGTGACACAACAATAACAGCAGGTTAACAATTATTATACTTATCACGATTGTTTTAAGGTAGTTTTTAAGTGAGCACTATATAATAAAATTGTGTAGGTCTTAAACATACGTTGAAGTTCTTTGAGGGTTTGAGAATTGGGAAAATAACTGGAACCTGCTTTAACCTCAATTACATGACGTAACACAATGCAAGTGTTGTTTCACACCGGTGTTGTTATGATTTCTTTCATAGGTTGTGCTGAAGAATACCAGATGAATAATGCAGCAGCAAGCGACAAAGGAGCTTCTGTGCCTTTAATGCATTTGGTAAGTTACTACAAGAACATATATAATGCTTATCGTTAATAACTCATAAAGGTCTCAAAACAAGAACAAAGTTAACATTCTATAATGAAGTAGGTACCCATGAGAAATAGGTTCTTACCTATAGGTAAAGGTAGAAAAATATGGCAATGGTAAACAAGCTGAAGTATCACCTGATTAACACTCGCAATACCAGGGACTGGAACTTGAGTTGCCGACTTTCTTTGATATTGAAAATTAGGGATTTGCGAATTGCAAAGCTGTTGAAACTCTACGATTGAGTAGATTCTATTAAACATGGCTCTACCTTACTTTTGTATTTTTTTTTTATGAATTGATTAGTCTATAGTCATTCACTCCAGGCCAGAGCATTATTATTATTATACAGTATTGCGCTTGCACCTGCAATCCCGATACCTCATGGTGGCTTCATCTCCAATAATAACTAAAAATTCGCTTAATTGTTGTGTGTATATCTTGTTACCAGGTAAAGCATTTGATCCGCAACACATCCTGCCAGACGCAGATGCATATAAACGCAATAATGCACGGCGATACCAGTAAGGCGGACGATCCTAAAGGACATGATACTGTCAGCCCTAGTTGTGATCTACTCATACGGTTTCAAAGGTAATTCTTTATTTTTTATTAAAATGTATGTAAAAATTATGGTGCTCGTTGTGAAAAAGAATTGAATTGAATTCAATTGAAAAATATTGAATTCGAATACCATTGAGGTCTAATAGGATTTGTCGAAAATAACAAAGGATTTAGTTGATATACCTACTGAGATCTCTAAGTATTAAGTATTGAGGATTGATATTTTATAATTATCTAGGAAGCCTAGTAAAGCAATTGACACAAAAGAAAGAGGGACAGAACTGAATGGCTATATAAATAATGGCCATAGACAATGGTTTCCACTGGTGACCTACTTAGACAAAAATGATAATTTACACTGTTTGTTTTACACAAAATCTTTGCTATTTAAGACTTGATCATAAGTTTTCCAGTCCTTTACCTTCACAATCAGCCCAATACCTGTAAAAACTAAAGGAAAAATAATTAAGTAGGTAAATGAGAATCCACTTTCGAACCTAGGATACTATGTTGTCGAAAACGAGTTTTTTATTAAGCGTCTTTTTGTTTACCACAGAAAAAAACAAAAAAAAGTCCTGACGGAACATGAAAAGTATTTATTTTTATTTCATAGGTTATTATTCTGTGAAGCAATGTGGTCGCGTGGAGGGCGCAGTACCCGCGGCGGGGTGCGTGCTCTCATCACTCAGTACATTGAACTACTGGCAGAACATGTGCAGTCCACTCTGCGGTACTTCGCCCGAGCTGTGCATAGAGCTGATAATACACAACTTGGGTCGCTGTGTGAACTTATTACTGCCGATATTGTTGGTAAGACTAACTGAAAATTTCTTTTTAAATTAATATTATTATATTTCAATTGTAACTTTGTATTGTGTGACATACTAAACTTTGTGAAAACATCGACCTTCTACGTGTATGAACTAGTTTCAAGTCACAACGTAAAACTATTCACGAGTAGCGTGCGCGTTGCGGTAACGTCGCGAAGTCGTTATGTGACTTGAAACTGTGACAGCTTTTGTTCGTTAATTCATGTAAATAAGTGGAAATTTTCTAAAAGTAAATCATGATTAAGTTTTTAATTATATCCTTTTTTAATTTTTTAATTTTACTGTAATTAGATACAAATTTTTATCGTCTACTTCTCTATTCTTCTTCAGTTCACTTTTGGTTTTGTTGAAACAACTTCTTTCGTCAGTTATTGGGTAGTTTTAATACAATAAAATATTGAAAAATAACTATACTTTTATTCATCGATCGATCGATACACTAAGTTTTAGATATTTTTAGCTAATTTTTTAAAAATAAGTAAGCTATTTGACGCAAAAATGCTATGACGTCATAATTCAATGTTTCATACAACTTTCATAGAAAAGTATAGTTTTTGACATTTGGATAAAAGTATTGAATTTGACTAGTTGCAAACAACCGTATTGCTTTATAACTCTCCACTTTATTGTTTTTAGGTTAGTTAGGCATTTATGTAAGTTTTTTAATAAGGTGTAGCAAAAAGTACGATAACACAGCTCTCTAAAACTTAAAATTTCTTTCAGGTCGTGTAGTCAGTGAGCTGGGTGCTTGGATATGCGCATGCGCAGCTCGTTCCCCGTGTGCCCTAGCGGACTCTGCGAGCTCTCTAGTAAAGATAGCGCGCGCTTGCGATGACGCAGCTAAGGCTCTGCCATCAGCTGCCAAATTAGATGCAGACCTTCTCGGATGGCCAGGGCTCGTATCCAAGAAACAGCAATCGAAGAACAAGATTATTCGCAAGTAAGTAATGTTTGTAGTTGAAGTCCTTAGGAGTGTATGTATATATTTTATGTACATATTACTTATGTCATAAGCATTTATGCAAGAAACGGTTTGGTTAAAGTAACTTTATCATCTCTGGTTATAGTAAATTAGTAACCGATTCACGTAACATTCGCTTGTTTACATTTTTTAATACGGTAGGTATTGCCTGCCTAATTTGTCAAATACTGATCAACTATTGTTGTCTGATAAGAGCACAAAATAGTTTTCCATATCAAAGTGTAATCGTGATTTACAAATTTTAAAATCCTTACAGCTTAATTTATCAAATCTTCGTTTTTTAAACTATAATGTATAAAAAAATGCCACATTCCAGATGTGACCTCCAAAATCATACAAGAGAAGGAGGTTCATGGGTCGTAATAGCTGGTCACGTGTTCGACGTAGAAAACTTCGAGTGCGACAATGCAAGTACAGTGGAAATGATCCGCAAGCTCCGCGGGTCGGATGCCACGGCCGCTATGAGCGTGGATCCACACGCCGCGTACCTCTCGCGGGTCACCGAGAAATGTGTCGGATTGTACTCCGATCAGATGTACGCACATAAGTGTCAGGTTAGTGAATTTGACTTTTTCCTCGAAATACCTTGTTGGTCGTGCCTCTAGATCACCTGACTGCTTAGTGCAACTTTGTTTTACTTAAACGACCTCGAAATGTTACTGGTTTTGGTCCTCTGATTGGTTTGTTAACTTGGAGAAGACTAATCGAGCGCTGAATGAGAGTACCGATCTTCTAGCTAAGGCGTCTGAGTGTTTGCCTTCCGTTAGATTTATTTTTTTCTATTCTGAGGCATAGAAAAAATAAACCTACCTTCCCCAATAGATATTCATAAGACTTGAGGTAAAATTATTCATTTTCATTAGTAAAATGAATAGGAGGGTTTTACAATGTAATTTTAATTTAAAATTAAGCCTAGATTTACTGTTATTTTTTGCTAATAAGCTTGCACCTATAGTATCGTATGGGTGTTTATGCGGTATTATAACTAACATAACAATCACAAAATAATGCTCTTTATTTACGACATTGAATGAATTCTACAGGAAAGCACAGCAAGCTTGAAGTGTCACCACATTCTCTCGACTTGCGCATTCAACGTGGCAGTCGGGCTGACACAGTGCGGGTCGCGCCTGGCTCGGTCGCTGCCCGTCCAACAAGCTGAACGTGACGCCGCGCCCTATGCCGCCGCTGTCTTCCTAAGAGGGGGACTACAGGTTTGTGATAACTTGTATTAAATATAGTAAAACGCCTTTCATAAAGTTATTAAGCAATTTTTGATGTGTGGTGTATTAAAAGAAATTAGTCTTGTGGGACTAGCACCTTGCATCTCTGGTAAAAAAAAAACAAGTATTTGTCTAATTATCACGGTTTTCGCTGTCTAGAAAAAATCGTGATGGGATGATGTATTTTTTTTATTTCGAACTAACAGCCGTTGCGATCGCTTCTCCGGGTGAGATAATAGGAAATAGTTATCTACTTCCTCTCTCCTGATTTTATTTTGCTGTGCCCGACAGGGGTCATGGTCATCTCATATTTTATAATCTACAATCTAAGAAACATATTGTAGAATGCAATATATAATTGAGTATTGAGTAAAGTAGCGTAGTTCAAAGAAGTTTTTTTTGTTTTTTTTTTAAACGTTGTCCCACACTAGGATTTTGTCCTGTGTCGTGGGTGCGTTTACAAACATACAAATTCACATACACATCACACCCAGACCTGGAACAGCAATTTGTAAATCACACAAATAGTTGTTCCGTGCGGGAATCGAACCCGCGACACGTTGCACGGCAGCCAGTTGCCCAGCCACCGCGCCAACCGTGCAGTTATATTATATCTGATTATTTTCTTGCAGGTCCCTCAACTAACAAATCCATTTGACGAGGAGAAGGCAGAGGCCCGCAGTGGTTCCTCTACTGGAGGTAACAGTCCTGCCGGCGACGCTCCAATACCAACGCGGACGTCACGACCCCCTCGCCCTCCGCCTCGGGCCAACGTTGCTCAATCACCAGCTAGAGCTGAAGCATTGTTATTCGCATTGGCTGAACCTAAACTACATGTAAGTTGCGTTTTGCTAAGATGGAAAATTGTGTCTAATTCTCGATGTAACTGCCTTGTTATTGGAGTAATGATATTGAACTTTTGAATTTATACGGTTTTAATGCATATCTAATTTGAATGCGCGTTTGGCGTAGTTTCAGTTTGTATATGTGAATCTGTATGTTTGTAGACTCAGACTACTCACAACGTAAGAGAAATTGCAGAATGGGGCAACGTTTTAAAAAAAATATATAAGTAAAACTCTCTTCATCACCTTAAGGTTGACTGTTGAGAATGCCTATGCCATAAAATCCGCCTTTATAATTCTATGTTGCGTAAAGATTAATTCAACATATAAATAAAGTATACATAATTAATTGTAGGCTAACCCTATCCATTTTGTCTTTCTTTAAAATATGTCTCTTAATAATTTTATTTTCGTCTTTTCCAACGTCATTTTATCCCTATAGGATCCACTAGCTTTGCACTTATGGTGGGCATGTGAAAGACGCGAAGGTTGTGCTCCTCACTTTCCACCGGAGCATCCTTTGGAAGAACTCCGTCGAGCGCTGCTTGCGGCTTTATTATACCACGCGGGGTTAAAGGAACATGCGCTAGCCACTGCTATGGCAGGTAAGGTTGCATTCGAGTTACATATCAGCCTTTTCTGATTTGTCGACTGTCAATTTGTATGGTGTTGAAAACAATTTGGAAACCAATTTTAGTTAATATATTTTAAGCTCGCATCCATTCGGTAACCTCACAAACACAGCGACGCTCAACGCTGTGGGTTTTTCACGCAGTTTTTCTATGTGTATCACTCCGGTCGAGCCGATAAAATTTAAATCTTTAATCTTTTTTTTTTTATCTTCATACTTCAGAAATGGAAAAAGGCGAAGTGAAACTATCGCCTGCTATGTCAGAAATCGTGAAGGCTGTTCAGCAAAGCAAATGGACTCTTATGAGGACCAGGCAGCAGCTTTCTAGAGGTTATAAGGAGGTATGTTGGTATTATTTTATAATTAACCAAATTTTTTTTGTGGCCATGTTGGTTATAAACGTATACTAATGAAGCGCTTACAGCTTAGTACATTTGGTATTATTATAGTTTATGAAGGGCTGACAATTAAGGGAACAGAGAGTAAAGTTGAATTAAAATCCTCCTGATGAGGTGATCATGCCTGGTGTCCAAAAGTTGTATGTTGGGATTATCTATCGATGTTTTTTACGTTATTGACAAATGAAAAAATAACTATTTTGTTTACTTATAGGTTTGCGCAGCGCCCCTAGAAAGAGCTCGGTTCCTTCTCCACGAAGTCCGTGCTGCTATGTCTCCTGCAGTGTCAGCGTTATATTCTCGACCACCATCACATAGGCCTCCTACTGCCAAGAAAATATTCCAAAAAGTTATGCGAGCATCTAAGACGCCTGGGTTTAACAAATGGTAACATATTTTTCTAGATTTTTCATTATAATTCTTTTATTAAACATTCATCAATAAGTACATTTTCATTGTTTCAGTTTCGAAACTACCAAAGATCTCAGAAACAGACAGAATAGTCTTAGTAAGAGCATGTTCAAGGCCACCAGTAGTCTTCTACAAGGCGATGCACTTCTGATAAAGTCATCTATTGCTCAAGCTTCGAAAACTCCCGAAGACGCTCCCTGCATAATAGTTGAACCTTCCAGAGTACACAACGAGCCTCCCACCGCCCCTACAAAAGACACTTTACTTAGATCTAAAGTAACCTTGAAAGTAAAAGATAAGCCGTTAGAAAAAGATTTAAAGAACGCATCAAATAATGATGATATGAAAAACGATAGTCGCGTCGACCGAGACAAGGATAGAGGCGACAAAGACGACTGTCCCGACAAAGAACACGACGACAAAACCCCTACGAACGAAATATCGATTAGCTCAATCAACGATATGACCGATAACTCGATTCTTAAAGAATCGATGGAAAGCGAGAAGCAAGTTATGATACTAGCTGAAGATTTGAAGACTGATTTGATTATGGCCGACGAAGAAAAGGATGATGATAATTCTGAAAGAAATAAGTTTGTTAATGCGTGGGTTTCGAGGCTCGCGTGTGAAGAGAAAGGTAAGTTTTTTACTCAGCAGTGACTACCTTAGTTTACTTCTAGGTTAACGTGGTGGTTGGGTTACAACCGTTTGCTTGACAGTGTGTCGCCGGTTCGATCCAGGGATTATTTCTATGGGTCTGGGCATGGTTGTGTGTGACCTATATGTTTGAAATCGTTGCCACGACACAGGAGACAATTATTTGTCAGGCAATTTTATAAATAGAAGAAATATAAACAGAAAGTGTAAAATTTCTTGTCTAATCTAATGTTCAATGTTTCAGATCTGTATTGGCTGTTAGAAGAAGTTACTCAAGAGCAGCAAGCTTTGACAGTTGCCATCATTGACTTCGTCATGACTGAAGACCCCTGTGATATAGACATACTTAGGAGAGCTTTGTATTGTCAGGTATGTAAATTAAACCTTAACTATTTTGTAATAAAGTTCATTTTCACCTTCCTACATTTACACGAGTAAATATAACCTCTAAAAGTCTAACTATACGGTTCAATTTCAGGTGCAAAGAGCGGAAATGAGAAAGAATGGTTACAGTATGATTAATAGTATGCTGAACTCGTCACAAACGATGTCTGACAGCATCAAGTACGCGGCTCTCGCCGGTATATTAGGCGCTAATATAGCGGAGTCCGTACCATACGTGGCCTTAAAACCAAGCATACCATTAACACATCCTTTATTAGGCATAGAATCTGTGATACCTTACTCAAAGTACATGGTGTTGTTAGAACGGTCTAAGTTGATGGATTTCATTCTGATCGAGTTGAAAGCGAGAGTGTTAGAAGGAGAACAGACGCAGGCGCTACCGTTGAAAATGAGCGCTAATTATGGTGCGCACGCGTTGCTTAATCGACCGTCTCGAGCTAGGTGAGTTTTTGTGTTTTTTATTTAAATTTTGATTCGATATTAACTTAAATTTTGTTACTACATTTGGTGGTATACACGTTTTTCGAAAAGCAGAAAATAGTTGTTACGTAAATGTCAGTTTCTAGATACATTTCACATGTTATAAGAGCAAAAATACTGCTCACTTAAATCAATGGTCATTCTGCGATACAGTTTATTATGAAAAAATGCCAATTCATTAAACAGTTTTAATATTTTTATAATGTTCTAACATTTAAGATACTAAAGATAAACAAAGCTTTCCTTAGAGATTGGGGAATATTTATTTCCTTAATATGTATTATTCTTTTAATAAGCCACTAATATTTTATTACAGATTCCTTATAACTTTGCTATCACTTCTCATAGAAGGATGTCAGGGTCCTGAATTAGAACAGTTAATAAATGGCGGAGCGCTAAGCTCATGCTTAACCTTACTAAAACAAATCGGAGGTGATACGTCACAACTGACGTCACTCATTTGCAATGGGCTGAAGACGAAATGTAAGTATTTTTGTTAAAAAAAAACTTAAAGGACTTAGGTAGGAAATAGATATCTCTTCTACAGAGGGTCATAATAATCTCCTTCATTAGAAAAGATAAAGAAATTCTAATTATTTTTTACCGTACTTCTAGATTTTATAGTATTGTTCGGCCGCCAGCAGTGTAATAGATTATAGACTTTACTACACAGCGCTAAGGTTAGAAATGATTAAAAACTGTGTCCCAGTTATTTAGTTTCATATTTGAAACAATGCGTGCCAAATACATTTGAAATAGATAAACTCTAAGAAAACAGCTCCAATAAAAGTAGTTTCGAAACTTCCAGCGGATTGCCTAATAATATTCGAGGATGAAAGACTAGGCGCCCGCGCACGTGGTGCGTCGCTGTCTGGCCCTGAACTAGCTTCTTTGATGAAGATTGGTACTCGCGTAGTGCGTGGCAAGGATTGGAAGTGGGGTGATCAGGTAAATACTATTAACTAATATTAACATACACTATTAATTAATATTTGCTAATAACACAGAATTTTTTTTTGCTGTCCTAACTCCCGGTTTCCGAAAGGCTGATCAATGTTAAAATCAATTTAATCTCTTGTCAAGTCATCTGATTGGTTGACTGAATTATCATCAACCAATCAGATGACTTGACAAGAGATTTAACAGGAGATTAGTTAATTTTAGCGTTGACAAGCCTTTCAGAAACCGGGTGTTAAACTTTTTGACGATTGAAGAGTGAGTTATTTTTTCCTTGTCATCTATACTCGACCTTAGTGGTCACTGTAACCATCTGATTTTAAATCATTTATAGTAATCGTTATAATATAATTTCAATTATAATAGTTATTATGAATTATTAAAGCATAACTACAGAAGTACGATAATAACTAATACATATTGTTATAAAGTATCATGTTTTTATGTAGGATGGCGTACCCGGTGGTGAAGGTAGAGTTATAGGAGAGTTAGGAGAAGATGGGTGGGTACGAGTGGCATGGGACGCAGGTGGTACAAACTCTTATCGAATGGGCAAAGAGGGGAAATACGATCTCAAATTAGCCCGATCTCCATCACCTCCTCCTTCTGTAGATGAAACTGTGCATGGAAATGGTAAGAATATCTTAAATTATAACTTTGAAGTAATCTCAAATAATAAAATTTAGAATTTTTAGTATTCCTTAATTGAACAAGAGAATTATATTATAAAAATATTATAAGTACCAAACCTTGGCACTCAGCGAAGGATTGGAACTATGCGCAACGTTTTGCTCAATATGCGCATCATTTTGCGCAATATCAGCAACGTTTTGCGCAATATGTGTATAACGCGGGTCGCCGGTTCGATTCCCTCATGGTACAAACTCTGCGTGTAATCCAGAAATTGTTGTTCCGGGTCTGGGTGTGATGTGTATGTGAAATTGTATGTTTTTTAACCCGACGCAGGAAAATATCCGACTGTGGGGCAAAGTTCTTTTTTTAAAGCAAATTTTGGCAATTTTTTGCGCAATATATGCGCAACCCTCATTCTTCACTTACATCTAATATTCTATTTCTCCAACAGCGGTAACAGACAATAATGTAGAATGGTGGCCAGTTAGCGAAGTCCGTGCAGCTTGTACTGGAGCTATTCGAGCTCTGTGCGCCGGTGCAGGCGGTGCACTCGCCAGTGTTGGTACCGTGGCTAGAAGAAATGTTGCTGCGTTACAAAGAAGACTTTTGACCTTAGCGCATGCGCACTCTACACCTCCGCCCACCGCGTTTGCTACGCATTATCATACTGCGTTAGCGTTGTTGCGAGGTGAGACCTGTTTTTATTTGTTTTATATTTTTTGTTGGCTACAAGGCTTTGTGAAGACTTGATCAACATTGCCAGGTGATGACGTTTTAAGTAGGTATATTTTGTGTTGGCTACTAGACTTTGTCCATGGTCAACATTGCATCCTTCCCGAAAGATGATGATTTTTGGGTGGAGACTGGATTTTGAAGTACTCTGTCTCGATCGCGTTGCTTATTGTTTAACCATATTTAGTTTTGTATCAATACATAGTATAAAACAAAGTCGCTTTATCTGTTCCTACATGCCTATAACGTTTAAATCTTTAAAACTGCGCAACGGATTTTGATGCGTCTTTTTTAAGAGATTAACGACCGGTTTCCGAAAGGCCGATCAATTTTAAAATCAATTTAATCTCTTGTCAAGTCATCTGATTGGTTGTTGATTATTCAGTTTACCAAGAGATTTGACACCTAGTTAGTTGATTTTAACATTGATCGGGCTTTCGGAAACCGAACAATAGTGATTCAAGAGTAATGTTTATATGTACAGTAAGGCCCAAAAAATAGTAGACAAATTTTTTACGAAGTCAGAACGGATCGTAAAGTTGAAAGTTTAAAGAAATCATACTTTTTCAGCTGTTATAAGTTATAATCCTTAATTATGTTACAGCAAGTGCACAAAGCCTAGAGATGCGCATATCTTTATGCACGGATTCGTGGTTCGAACTCTGCTACAGTATTATCTCGGCTGCTGACAAGCCAATCACACAGGATCTCATTTATTTACAAGTAAGTTGCACATAGTTCTCGCTTTTTATGTTCGAACCGAAGACCGTTTGATATTTGGCTGCACAGTTGGCACAATGGCTGGACAACTGGCTGTTGTACAATGAGTCACGGGTTCGATTCCCGCACGGAACAACACTTTCACCATAGAATTGATTTTAATAAAGTTTCAATTCTATCTTTATTTGGTCATCAACGATGAAAGATGGAGTATGTTTTGTGATATACATTTCTGTGTAGCCATAAACTGCATACCAATTTATTTTCCTTAGATTCAGGCACTATGGCTTCTTCGCCGCGTTCTAATAGAGCACACAGGCCCGCCTGAGTGGCGGCGTACGGTCGGCGCTCAATTGTTAGCGCTGATTGGACGATTGTGGCTCGAGACCCATTCGTGGGACCCCGCCTTCAAACCCAACCACCAAGCTTTGACCAATAACACTGATGAAGAGGAAGTTGGTAAATATATAGTTGAATAAGTAGAATTTTGGTGTGACTGACTTCTTCAGAATGGCAGAGGTTTTCTAGTATGCCTTATACTATATTTTTATATTTACACTAGCGTATTTTAATTAATAATAGTTTTTATACAAACATGTTTTGACAAGGGCCTTTGAGATAAGTGTTAACTTTTGTGTGTGATAAAACACAGTATTTTTGTAAACGAGTTTACGAATTCTTTATTTACTGTCGAAGTATCGGGGTTATGGTCTTTAATAAAGTGTGTGAGAGATTCTGGTGTCGGTTCGGGAATTAGTGAGTAGATACAGTAGTATCATAACTACTATTGTGTAATGATGAACAACATAGGCATTGGCGCATTTCCCAATTAATAATGGTTGAGTTTAGCAATGAGCGTGTGATTTGTTATTCAGAAAAAAAAAATATTTTTGTTGTTTACGAAAACACTACCAAACGTTTATCAGGATCAGATTCGGAAATTCACCTGATAAAAGTCCTACAACCTATATGAGCCATAATATTTTTTTTTATATTCCACTTTAGAAAGTTTTGTACCCACTTAACTACCAGAATTGTAATATAAATTGTTGTCTCACAGATAATAGATGGCGCGCCCCAGCGACTGCGAGCTACACAGGAGCTACGTGCGCAGCCCTCGTACAGTTGGTCAGACAACTGCATTCAGCGGCGCAGTGGCACAACCCTATTACTACTTTACTGTTGGACAAATTGCAGTTAGCTGCACAGACGGTAAGCTTGTTATAAGAAAAGTTTTCTATTTTGACTTACTATTAGCATTTTCATAACCAAATGAGCACTCAAACGGTAGTCGTTTTTAAGTCCACTAGTTTTGATAATTGCTAATCTTTGCAAATTTGAAAAGAACCTTGGTTTTCACTATTGTCCATTTTTTCTACAAATCACCTGATTCAGCGTCGCCAATGGACATCCATAAAAACTGATGAATCACGAGTAAGTTCCTGTCCTTTTAGAGATCAGGGTTTTTGAGATTTTGGGATTGGGGGAGGGAAGGTCAGGGCTTGTGTAACCTCCTCACTTACATGGCGAAACACAACGTTGTGGTAGTTTCACGGTTTTCTGCTAGGCCGTGGTATCACTCCGGTCGAACCGACCCATCCTTCCCGAAAGCATGGTTCTGTAACCCTTGAAGATGAGAGTGAAATAACTAAATCAATACGAAGCGATCAAAGATTTAGTATCACTCTTGATTTTTAATAATCGTGTAAAGCGAATAGCAGTCTCTTGCTTCATATTACCTTAAATTAGTTGGAAAAAGTCAATATAAAAACAGTTTCCGAATATTACAATATTCATCTACGTTCACATATTTCAGATTACAACCGACTGGCATTGGTGGCCTCACACAAGTCAAGATTTGACACAAACAATGAAACCTGCACCTCCAAGCCTTGAGAGTTGTCTCATTGGTAAGATATCAATGTCATACAATATACAAACATATTTTGTTACGTGATACGACGCCATACGAGCAAACGGATTACCTGATGGTAAGCAATCGGCGCCACCCATGGATACCCACAACTCCAGAGGAATTTTTTAGTGCGTCGACTTCTTTTGGGGGATTTAGGGATTTCGGAGGGATGGGGGAGGGATAGAATATGGTAGTTTCTAACTAGTCAAATTCATTACTTTTATCCAAACGTCAAAAACGATACTTTTCTATGAAATTTGTATGAAAAACTGAGCTGTGACGTCATAACATTTTTTCGTCAAATAGCTTACTTATATCACAATAATTAGCTAAAAAAATCTAAAACTTGGTGATCGATCGATGAATAAAAGTATAGTTATTTTTCAATATGTTATTGTATTGAAACATCAAATAAATTTATTTTTGACCTAGGAAACTACCCAATTGGGGCTCTGGTAACCTAAGTCCCACGAGGAAACATTACTCCGGTCGAGCCGGCCCATTCCCGCTAAAGCATGGCTGTCCCACACAAAATACAACTCTATATCTAAGATGCTAAGGTTCGTTATCATTTGCAGCTGGTGCACTGGGAGTTGTTGGCGGCGTAGAATGGCGTATAAGATTAGGACAGCGAGTAACTGCTGGGTCACCGCCTCGGAGTGCTATTGTAACTCAACTATCGCCCAGAGCGAAGATTACTCTAATACACGAAGACAATACTACTACAAAGGTAAGATTGCTGAAATAAATTGTACGTTATGGTGATATTTATAAGGTTTGTTTTTCATTATTTAATTAATATTAGTGATCGACGATAGACTCTAACGTGAACTAATTTCAATCTGTTAAATGTAATTAACCACTAAATCAAATGACCACTATAAGTTAATACAAAATTTATCTTTATATCGTTGAGAATAAAGTCGTTATTCCTCTGTTCACCAGACTGAACTTAGTGGTATTCAGAGCGCGGAAAGTGACCGGCTCTCCCTACCGCTGGGTGGAGGGGAGAGCGCATTACGTGTTTGCGCTGCATTGCTCGGAGCTGGACCTCAGGCGTCGCCCATGCATCCACATCATTTGCCTGGTAAGAACATAAATTTATTTTTAATGTACAAAAAAAAAAAACAATTAGGGAACATTTTACATAATATATTCTTCATTGATTGTGTTAATGACTTATTATAGTTAATAAAAACGTACGTACTTACGGACTCAGCTCTTTTAATCAATTGTTTTACATGTTCTATTGAATCAATTGTTTTGTGCTTCATTTTTTACAATTCCATACTTAGATGTTTTTATGCTGCCAGCTAATATGGAGGTAGTGTTCATACAAAAAGTAATACTTTTTGTATGAACGAAAATAGGATTTCGATATAGATAATTACACTTATTACTACTTATAGAAATTGTATTCATTATTCAAATACATTTTGGTACCTACGTAAATAATAAAACAAAACGTGAACTCCTATGGATCTTACCTTTTTTCTCTGATTGCTATCGGTTAACACATTCAGTGCCCCCGACGCGTATGTGCGTTTCCTCGCACGCACATACGCGTCGGGGGCACTGAATGTGTTAACCGATAGTAAACGATCGGCGCCGCCCATGTACACATGCAAGTGCTTAGCTGGCCTTTTGGGGATAAGGGGTTTCGGGAGTTATGGATTGGGTAGACATGGAGAGACGTGAAGGTTTGGGTCTTCGGTAACTTCGCTCGCACGGCGAAATACACCGCTGTAGTTATTTCCGTTTGAGGCCGTGCATGGTTGCAGCATGGTTCTCCCACAACTAAAACAAAGTGCACAATGTTCACAAAGTGAATTGTTTAATTTTTAGCTGAAATCGACATCTACGGCCTAAGGAAGCAACAGATGGAATTGCTAACACTATGCGCCGTACGTGGACTTCTCACCACAAGGACTAGACTACGGAAGGTTCTGATGCAGCCACCAGACCATGCGGGTATGTTAACAAAATACTTCCATTATAATTGCAAAAGTTATGCCAAATGTAACCCTATCCTTAGTGTAATAAAGTTGATTTTCAATTGTCACTTCAACATGACTACAACATATTTATAAGTACAAAAGATTAGGAAAACTCAACTTTGTTCGTATGATTTGAAGTTGCTATTTGCTTGTCAATAAAATTCCTGTGAATTTTCTCCAGGTAACGTAGACAGAGGAATAGTACTAGGTACTGAAGGAACTCTCCTCAGACGCCTACTGGCGCTAGCGACTCGGCCGAGTCCACTGGCCGCGTCCCACTCTCCGCGCGAACTTGAATCTGCGGCACTCACTATTGTACAACAGTTGGCTGCGCATGTCAATGGTAAGGACGTTAAAAAATGTTATTTAGTATGGAAGTATATCCATTAAAATGAATAGTCTACATTTTTAAAAGAGCTTCCCTAAAGAACTGTCAGAAAAGCATACAAATTTTGTTTTCTTAAAAAAAATAAACATCTCTCGCGTGGTTTCACTCGCTGCTCGGCTCCTATAGATCGTGCGTGATGTTTTATAGCCTACAGGGATATTGTAACTATATATCAGTGAAAGAATTTTGGAAATCCGTCCAGCGTTTCTAAAAATCACCCCTTACATACACACTTACAAATTACAAATTTCACATTTTTCTAAGATCTACATTTTTAAAAGTGCTTCACTAATGAACCTACAGGCAACCATACTCATTTTGTTTTAATCAGACTTTGTGCCAGTGTATTTTTTATATTAGTGTCTATTTTCATCGCAAATTGAAATTTTCTATCACGTTTACTTGCTTTTGATAAGCAAGCGCCATTTTCTCCATAAAAATATTATATTTTTTACAGGAGATGATAAAGATCATGACGCGCCACCCGAAATGCCGATCATAGATAAAAGCAACGTAATGCAGTTATCGATGGGACCATCTACCAGTACAGCATCATTATGTAAGAATATTTAACTGTTGTCATCAGTTTATAAAGTACCCACTGCTGAGCAAAGGCCTTTTCTTACACGGAGAAGGTTTGAACATTTCATCAATATTGCTCAAGGCGAATTGGCGATTTCAAAATTATAAATTAGAAATTATAAGTCCAGGTTTTCTTCAGCGTATGTTAGTGGTGTAAATAACTCGGAAAACTTACATTGGTGCTTGCCAGGTTTCGAACCCGCTCCCGCATGCATGAGAACCAGGCTCCTTAACCTTCGGGCCACCACGAATCCTTAACTTTATTAAAATAAAGTAATTAACTATAAATTATACGTCACCTTGAAATCCTAAACAAACCATTTTTATTTGTTGGAATTGTGTCGTGAACTACAAAATAATATTTTTTCCTTTTAGCTCGGAAAGATCTCAACACATGGGCGAACTCATCACAAGTGCAACAAGTTATAGAAATGGGGTTTTCTAGACATGCTGTATATGCCGCTATTCAAGCCTTAGGTATGTGCAACTTACTGCAATTGAATTTGTTCTCTAACTGCTAAACCATAAGGTTCGGTATTCCTTGTACTTACAAGCCACAGAATCGCGACTCATTAAAATTTCAACTCTAATGAGTTAAAAATATGGTTCAATATTCCTTTCAGGTGGTACTAGTCTACCTTCAGTCGAGTCTCTAGTCGTATATCTATTAGAACTACCTCAACATGGTATGGACGATTCGGTGTTCGAAATGCGACCTCTTAACAAGCCGGAGAAGAAACAAACTCCGTACAGGTGGCGCAGTTGTTTTGCTTCCGAAGAAGAGTACGCTCAATACTTGTCTGATGTCATAACTCCTGGGATGACTGTACGATGCTGTAAGGCCGTTGAGCCGGTAAGTAGATTAGTAGTTAAATAAATAAAGTTTAGCTATTATAAAATGACTTCCGATTTTTCTTTATAAAAGGGATGATAATGAATATGAAACTTTCGACATTTTGAGTACACAATAGGGTATTAAACTAAAGAAGTGGGCTCTCTGAGTAATAATTAACTTATTATAAAAAGATTTTCTCCGTTAGTTCTAGTATTTAGTTTCATAGGCCGACTAATCTATTCATTTGTCAGTGTTAAAAACGTATTTATTCATCATCCCTTTTAAGTGCAGATAAGAAAAAGTAAATATGTAATGTACGGATGTAAGATGATTTCGCTTTTGGTCTTAAGTCACGCGATCACAGCTAGATGGAGAGCTATACTTATCATCGCAGATGCCAGATACACATGCTAAATGCTATAAAAGTTCATCACTTTCTGCAAAAAAATTGCACATATACACACTTTTTAACAACAATATACAACATATAATAATCATGCATACATTGTAGCTTTTTTGAAATCATAGCTTCTTATCAGTTATTAGGCAACGCGGCCTCGGCCTAGAGCAGGAGACGGAACGGGGTGTTTCTAGTCAGTAAGAGTCTGACATTCCCTCTCGCCTCACCCTGGGCGGAAGAAATAATGTGATGATTTTCCCCTCACAAAAAAAGCTTCTTATCAGTTAGTTCTAGACACGCTTGCTTATGTTATTTTGAACGTATTTTTACAGGTTGCTTTAGGAGATGTCGGACAAGTGCAAAAAGTCGAACGTGATATTAAACAAAACGTCTTCTTACACGTAAGTCATCGCCTTTATAAGCCAACCTTATGTCGATGATAACAGTTGCAAAATGAACTTTATTCTATATGTCATTAGGTTGCATTTAGTTTAACTGTTCTCATTGACTCAAGGTCGTTTTAGCAATGTTAAGCGTTAAGCGTTAGTTTTATATTTGTTGTTTTAAATATACGCGATTATCACCAATCATCCCTCTGTTTTTTTTTATATCAAATCATTGAAGTGGGTGTTAGGACACATAATTATCTGATTATTTTGCATATTCAAACACGTAGATGTTACTCACCCAGTTTTCTTCCGCGGAAAGGATTGATTTCTTATTTCAATCTAAATACACAATCTTCCTCTTCTGTAGATTTGGCTACCAAGCTCCTTTGAAAATTATGTATAAGTTCTTCCTTTAGTAGTAAGGTAATTAACTTCGAGAGGAGCGTCTTAGAGCTAATATGATGACTGTGATAAATCAAAACTTGTATCTCTTTCAGTCAAATCTACAGATAGAAAGATAGGAAAAGATGTTTCTGTAGTAGTTAGCAGTTCAAGACAACGCCGACATGAACACCAGTTCAGAATTTGCAAGCTCTTTGGGCAGCTGTTGTACTGGTCCCTTAATAAGATATTGAGACTTTCCCTTAGAGCTCATTTATGGGGATGTGGTTCGTTGTACATTGACTATAATGTTTGTCACTATTAGAGCGATGACGCGGCTCCCTGCGTAATGTACGACGAACTGAACCCTAAGAAACTTTACATGTTTCCTTACTTTGATATACATTGCGCAGGTGGAGTGGCGCGGTTTAGGCCGTGTGTTTGGTGTACGCGCATTGCACGCTGAAGTGGTATCGGGAACGCCCCCCTTCGCGGTGGGAGATAGAGTGCGCGTTCGCGCTGCCGTCACTCAGCCGCGGTACAAATGGGGGTGCATCGACCATACCAGCGTTGGGACTGTTACTTGTACGTATTTTTTTTATTAAGACCCACCAAAGTACATAGAGACAGACATAAGTTTAATATGACAAACAACAGTTAGTGTATGCTCTTAAATCTAAAATGTTGGCACAACATTATAAGTTAGTTCAAGAAAAAACATAATTAAAATCAATGAAGGAGTAATAATGAAGGATTCGGATAGGAAAATTATAAGTCATTCTAATATTAAAAGAGTAAATATAGCAATTTGAGAAGACTTATGTTTTTTATCAAGCTAGCTTCACTGATGAACAGACTGACAGATAATTAATCTATTTTGACATATCAAAAGACACTATTTATGTATAAGTTGTAATAAATGATTTTGTTGATATTACACGCAAAACTATTACATATATTTGGGATGTTTCTTATTTCGTACGGAGATAGATAATATTGTCTTGTATAACGCATTGGATACTTTTATATAGATGAGCGAAGCTGCTGGCGGAAGCTAGTTTACAATAATTTTATAATTCGAAATGCCTATACCTAATCTTGTTACGCAATAATCATAAATTAATGAATCACTTGAATATAATATTCCTATTTTTACAGCAATCTCAAGTAACGGTCGCGATCTAACCGTAGACTTCCCTCAACAACCTGGCTGGACAGGACTAGTTAGTGAAATGGAGCTTGTTACTGATCAATGTGAGTACTTACGATGTTATTTCTAGAATAATTTTGAACTTAACCTATCTGTATCCAATAATATTTTGTTCCGTGAGGAAATCGGTCGACGAGGTCACACCACCACAACTCACGACACAGGAGAAAATTCTTAAGTGTTAACGTTTTTAAACAAATAAAAACAAGTTGTCAAGACTATTATTTTGTTAAAACAGCGGAGTGGGGCGAGAGTGCGGGTGGGACGGCGGTAGGCTGGCGCGGCGCAGTGCGGGCGGTGCGCGTGTCCTCGTGCCGCCCCGGCGCAGGCGCACGCCGACTACTCGACTCGCAACCACATACGTATTGGCAGAGTTCCAGCGGGAACGGACAGGTAAGACGTCTTTATGACATGACAGCTTTTTAGTTATGAATTTAAAGTTATAGATAATTACTTAAAGTATAAAAGTTCTAAAACACCAATTTAATATTACCGAACCAGCTAGGCTAACAAATTTACCAGCCGCCTGCTAAAATTTTATGATGGCCTTTTCACAATGTTTATCTTTAGAGTTTCACTGTACTTAACATTAAAAACACACGCTAAACAAACCTTACAATTTCCCTGAAGCTAATTTTTTAACCTTGCTTTACTATGGGACTATAAAGTCTTACAATGTATACCATGGCAAGTCTTACCGTGTTACATCTTTTTTGTTTTCATAAAACTTACTTGACTATCTTACGGAATTGTAAATAAAGCCTGTATTACCCAGCACTGGATCCGTGTGGAGATGCGTAATGGAGTGCGCGTGCGCCGGCTAGGGCTGGGAGTGGGCGGCGGGGCGCACGGGCCGGCCGCGCTGGCAGTACGCGCGGGCGCTACCTTCGACGACGCTGCGCTTGCGCCGCTGGCCGCCGTACCTTGCACGCCCTCTGCCCCTACAAGGGACAGACCCCCCGCTCATTTAGCTCAAATACAGTTGCTGGCTGATTGTAAACAGGTGATTTTTTTTTATTTGATTCTGCTGCTTTTCTGTTTACTCTGATACAATATTTAATAATAATCATTGTCATTCCAACGAGATGTCATTTAGACTTCTGTTTGATGAGATTTGAATTCTGTTTTATATAGTGTTATGGGTTAATGTTCCACACCAAATTATATTCCATCCAGTACCTACATATTATATTTCTTTGGTGATCTTTTTTTTCTATGTCGTCCTTATTTTGTTTCTATACGTAGGTAATGTTTTTTTTTGATGGGCAAAAGTTTTCGTTCGTCTTCTCTGGCTTAAGAGACGGAGCGTCAAATCCCACATTGTATACATAAATTAATATAATTATTACTGGCACCCGCAACCCCGGCTGAACATCAGCCCTATTGGGTCTTATCTGTTGTGGTCTATTGAGCCTTTAAATAATTCCTGTAATGATGTTTTTTTTTTGTTTTCAGTATTACGCTTGCATTGAGATCGGTATAAAACAAAATCGGAACGTGAACGCCGATTGCCGTGTTCATGGTTTATACATAACGGGCTTCAGACCAAATCCGCTGTATACCGAAGTGTTGCAGGTAAAAATCCTAAATTAGACTCTAGTTTTATAGTTCTAAGAATCAATTTTGATTGTGATAAATGTTTCAGAGTATGAACTTTGTAGCTGAAGATTGGATGGAGAAAGATACTCAAACGGGTTCTGTGTCAGCTGATAATAATCCACCCGCGTTACCAAGTGATTCGCCAAAAGTAAGACTTCTTTTTTTTGCATATTCCATTGTTATTTAAGAATTCTATTGTCTTAATGATAAGACTCAATTTCCAATAACAAATTTTGCGATTACAATTTGTGTTTTTCGATCTATTCCATCTGAAATAAATTGTACGTTTTTTTATTCAGGTATACGTTTGGGGTTTAAACGATAAAGATCAACTTGGTGGTGTGAAAGGATCTAAAGTTAAAATTCCCGTCTTCTCGCCCAGTCTCAGCGCTTACCGACCAGTTCATATCGCTGGTGGATCGAAGACACTGTTCATTGTTTCCCATGATGGAAAGGTACGTTTTAAATAAAACTTAAAGCTATAAACTTGTGTACCTATGCTTATAAATTATTTGTATGTTTTTTTAGAACCTATTGTTAACACTTCTCTACATCACCCTTGCGGTTGATTGATAGTGAATGCCTTTGGACATTAAGTCCGCCTTTGTATTTAGAAAGTACATAAAGTGTTAATGTGTATAAATAAATAATCTAAAGAAATTTAAAGAAGGAATATTTATAGGTGTGTTAAAAGTCTTTTTTAAAAATGATGATCCTATTGCCTTTTTAAAGGGACTTTTATAAAATCACTAGTCGTTGCCGGGCAGTTTCATCCGCTGCTTGAGTACGACGCCGTCTTAGCGCGATGTTTTTTGTTTATAAATGGACTTTAAAACACAAAAAAAGGATTGATCAAATTAAACTGGTGATTCTGGATATTAGAGCGTTTAGATGATAGTTTGACTTTAAGTTAATTAGTTAATTGAACTTATATTTATTAAAATATAACTTCAAGTAATTCAGAAAATCAGAACTGGCTATTAACCAAACTAGTCTCACTTTATGACTGAAACTTATTTTTTTTTCTATAATTATTTAAATATAATAAACAATTCCTTAATAATAATACCTAATTTCATTCCCAACAGCTGTTTGCATGTGGCGAAGGTACAAACGGTAGACTGGGACTGGGTCACAGTAACAACGTGTCCAGTCCGCGCGCCAACCCGTACCTCGCGCACGTACTCGTACGCCGCGTCGCCGTACATTCAGGCGGGAAACACGCGCTCGCACTTACTGCTGATGGCAAGGTAAGATAGGGATTTAAGGAAAGGGTGCTTTATTTCTTTCGTAATACGGTTGTGAATGTAAAGCAAAATGAAGTTCCTTCATACACCTTCATACACTTACCGCGTCACCGTACATTCAGGCGGGAAACAGGCGCTCGCACTTACTGCTGATGGCAAGGTGATATAATTAGAAATTATAAGTATTTCAGTGGTGTCTAAATAATCATAGAAAGAAAGTAATCATAGAAAATTATAGAAAGTATATATAAATCAGAAAAGAAAGACAATTGATATTTTTATTTTTTTGTTATTATTTTTTCCATTTTATTTTATTTTTATTTTATTCAATGTTGTCATTCAAATTACTTGTGAATGTTTTGATCTTAAAATAATTATGTAGGAGCTAAACATTGACATAGGAAATATATGGACTTGAAATACCTACGAAAAAAAAGGCCTACCTACAATCCAAAATGTCGCATAAGATGGCTGCCCTTGCTAGGGTTGTGCCGACTAAGTATTTAACGAGTATCGATACAATTTGAGTAAAAGTTCTACGTAGGTATAGTTTTATTAACGGTCTGATTAACGGTATTTTTTATGGGAAATCATCTAATGTCATCTCCGGCCTTTTTCGGGACAGACCGTTACTGACTAAAATCAACTCCTGTTCCTACTTTGCCGTCGGCCTAGCTAGAGCCCGGAACCCGGGGTTAACTTGGTCTCTTGATTGGCTAATGATTTTCTCTAGTCGAATTTGTATTCATATAATTCTAAGCGTCTTTTAAAAAAATAGGACTGTGTTTATGAACAGCGTTTAATGGAATGGTGAAATAGAAAAAGATAGTGTTTGTTAAATGTTTATCTTTATATATGTGGAAAACCTGTGGGTATTTGTGAAGTGCTCGCGCACAATTTCGGCGCGTCTGATTAAACGATGATATCTTCGAAACTACGTTAGCACAAAATAGATATGTAGTGAAGTCAATCTTATTGTATGTATCTCACTTTTTATTATTACGCTTGGTGGTCGCACTGGGATCGTCGCCAACGCCGCTTTGTCAATCGCGCCCGTATAATTATAAAACATGATAATTTGAACTTCTACTTATGTAACCAAAACCAATACCAAAATAATGACGTCTTACTTTAGCGTTACACAAAACTGCGGAAACATCCATTGTTAAAATAGATTACTTATTTAGTATAATATATGTTGAATTTTAAATGGGAGATTATATCGATACTTTTGTGAAATGGTACGTAACTATGCCATATTGACATATTATTGTAAACAACAATTTTTTACTAAAACTGTCTCACAGACAGAAATAAAAGTAAATATATATACTTTGGCAATAGATTAAAGTATCCGTGACTTTTTTTTCTATCTATGTGGATTATTCTAAGTAATATTTGATGAAAACTGTTTACTAACCTATACAAAGACAATTGGGGTTGATTTTCGTTCTTTTTTGCACCACACTGCACAATACAACACACAGGCATATTGTTTTTTTGTTTCACTATATATATTTGAAGTTTAAAAAAATGGTTCTTTGTAATTTACTGAAAAACCGCAATAATTTAAAACATAAACAACCGTTTGACAGGACAACTACCATGAAACTCAGGTACTCTGAGCGCTTAAGATGGCGGACATGGCACTTACCTACAACTTTGCTAATGTCAAAATGATTTGTTTCCATATTAAGCAACAACTTAAATATTGTTGTCCCTTTTGTCTAATACAATTATTGCCTTAGAAAGAGTGAGAAAAAATGATATTTCATAGTTTGTTTCATATTTCCCTCATATTTGTATAAGCATGTATACTTCTATAGTAACACGGCGCCTCTATATATTTTCTATCTCAATAGAGCTAAACTCTAGTCTTAACAATAATTTATGGTGCATACATATCTCATCTGTTACCCTAGAATGTATTCAAACTGTAACTTATCTATGAAAACTGTCATACAGTGAATTTGCAACTCTAAATCAAATTCATAGAACACAATTTTCCTCCATTCAGGTCTATTCTTGGGGTGAAGGCGAAGATGGAAAACTGGGTCATGGTAACCGCATCACTCTAGAAGTCCCGCGCCTTATAGAGACGTTGTCTGGAGAGAGGGTCGTGGGCATTGCGTGTGGGTCGGCGCACAGTGCGTGCGTGACTGCCCGGGGACATCTTTACACGTGGGGCATGGGCGAATACGGCAGGCTTGGACATGGAGACGATATGACACAACTTTACCCAAAAATGGTAAGCGTAATTGTAAATTTTATAGTATGTACTAGCAACCTAGTGGTGCCAACCATGTTTGGTGACTGGGCTTCTCCCAGTTGTACAGTCTCTTCTGTTCCTTAAGTCCTAAATCATTCTGTCCCTTGCATTAAATATACCTAAGGAAGTGCAAACTATTTCGTTTTCTCTCCTCTTTTTCGTCCCTGGGACGCGCTGGACTTCAGTGCCGGTGTTTTCATTGTTGTATCTACTGTAGATCCTGGCTTACAAGAGTTGCAGTTTTGGGAGGTTGCGGAGGGCTTGTCCTATAAAAAAGGACTACCATCCTGCCGGCTTCTTACTAATTAAATACATAAACGTTCTTCTTCATTCGTTAAAAAACTGCATTAAAATTCGTTGCGTAGTTTTAAATATTTATGCATACAATGTGATATGGGGAAAATCGATTGTGCTTTACGTCTAACTTATGTAACAGTTCAGTTGCTTAATGACCCTAAAGCGCCTAATGTTGCTCGAAATTTGTTGAGTTACCTTGTAAACAGTTAACAGTTCCACAAGTAAGACAAGAGAATAATGGTAGTTAGTATATTCATTATTATTTTTTTTCATATAATTTTTTTATACAGGTTTGTAAAACTAATTTGCTTCATTGTTAATATAGTAATAATATTTTGTTGTTCTAGGTGGAAGCTCTAGCTAACTTCAGAGTAGTACAAGTCGCGTGTGGATCCCGCGATGCGCAAACATTGGCTCTCACTGCTTGCGGCAAAGTATTCTCTTGGGGAGACGGTGATTTTGGCAAATTGGGTAGGTTACACCAATTTTACTCTTAATTTGAACGTTACTGTTTTCGAAACAAAGTGCATAATGCCAGCTTATGATGTTTTTGGTTTGTTTTTAGGCCGAGGGGGCTCCGATGGTTGTGCAGTGCCAATGAACATTGAAAGACTAAACACTCTTGGAGTTATTCAAGTAGAATGTGGTGCTCAATTTAGCTTAGCTTTGACTAGAGATGGAGAGGTAAGTTTATTATTGTCTTTATCTGTTTATATAAAAGTAATGCCACTTTTCGCTGTGATTTTATAATTCAGGAACAGACTGACGTATTCAAATATGTTTAGGCTTTATTCGGACTATAACTTGGTCTGATAGATTATATTCGTTTTCCCATTTTTTTTAAATACACTCCTAAATTTTTTTCTCATTAGGATTTTCTCCTGCCTCGTAGGTGCGTTTACAAACATGACACTCAGATCCGTAACAATTTGTGGATAACACAAAGAATTGTTGCTTGCGGCATTCGAACCTGCAACACGCGTCAGGTGGTTGCCCAGCCATTGCGCCAAATTTGCAGTCTATTCTTAGAAGTCTACTATAGTACATACCACTCAAAACATTCTATTTTACACCCTAGGTCTGGACATGGGGTAAAGGCGACTATTTCCGTCTGGGCCACGGATGTGACGCACACGTTCGTCGTCCGACCCTAGTGGAAGCGCTGCGCGGGCGCCGAGTCATACACGTAGCTGTTGGAGCATTGCATTGTCTTGCTGTTACTAGTGAACATCAGGTACGTTTGGCTAAAAGTGATAAGGTAAAGAGTCGTCTAAATAAGTATAAAGAGACAAACTCAATAAAAAACACTTAAAAAAATTTTTATCTAATTAAATTTCAACTTTCCGAGATTTGGGAGTTCGGAGGAGGAGTTTATTTATACCAGACCTCATATAAGTTGTCTACGCCGGAACGCATCATTCTTCGTCGTGTATGGAACGCATCCGTAGCGCGAGCGAGAGGTTCGAGCTGCGCGCCTTCCGGCCACTGCTATTCTAATAGTCGCGACGAAAACACACTCAATTATTGTAAAACTTATATTATAATTAGTGATTAAAGAAGTACATCTGCAAGGGGATTTACTTATTTATATCGAACATAGGTCAAAATATAGTAGAAAAAATACGCATTACAATGCTTTTACCATAACATGTATATTAGATGACTAAGGGGCTACTTCACTAATACACCAAATTTTGAATATTGATCGTAATTTCTAAGAAATGATATTTTGTACCATATGAGTTTATCGTACATACGTGTAAATAAATACACTTTTCCTAGGTATGGGCATGGGGTGACAATGACCATGGTCAACAAGGGAATGGTACAACCTGTGTTAACCGTCGGCCGGCTCTCGTCGCCGGCGTGGAAGGGGTACAGCGGGCCGCCGCCGGCTCCTCTCACTCAGCCGCCTGGTCGCTAAGACCCTCTGCATTGCAACACGATACTCACACTGCTCATGTAGCTCCACTACCTTTTCCAACGTTAAAGGATCCTTTGGGAGCACAGAGTTTAGGTAAGTAGAAAATATCATGAATAGAAATAAACAAAAGGATAACTGTTTTGTTTTTTTTATTTTATGAAAGAAAAAAATAAACACTAGGAAACAGTTAAGTAGCAATGCCAATTAAGGGCAGCAAACTATTACCAAAAAGTGCAGGGAAGCTAATTAAAGGAGTATTGCATTGCGCAACATTTTGCGCAAGTCACGAAACATTTTGCGCTAAGTTAAACATTGCGCAATTGCTTTTATATCACTTCCTATCAATTTCAATAATAGGTACCTGTGTAAAATAAGTCCAGTTTTGTTTAATTTCTGTATTTTTTCACAGGATTATATTCAGAAGAAGCAGTTGTAGATGAGCCTCAAGGTTCACGAGCGTCTCTAGCTGCTGCAGCCTTGGCTTTGGAGCCGCCTGTAGCCGTACAACATGCACTGTCTTTAATTCTACTTGCTTTACATATAACTCAGGTAGGCTAGTTTAAATAGATCTTCATCTTATAGGCTATTAATATATGGCATAATTTTTATCGATCTTTTGGGAAAACATTAGATTCGTCATCATCATCAGCCTGTAATTGCTCATACTGAGCAGGTCCCTCACACGAAGAAAGCATGAGCATTAAAGCTTGCTAAAGGCTGATAACCAATTTTAAACTTACAATTTGAGTTTGTCATTGTCATTGGTGTTTACATAAATTTAGAAGTTGCATATAACTCGGAAAAAGTCACATTGGCATTCACGCATGAGACGCCTTAACCTCCGGTCCTCAACGGCAATTATTAATACGATAGTAATATAATCAAAATAAATCAATATAAGTTCTACTCAACCATATCTATTACATTTTATAGGTATTTCGATTGTTACGATTTTACCCCATAATAGTGTTCAATACAAAAATATTTTTCCGTTTTCAATAGATTTCTTCATTGCAATCAAATATTATGTTGTTCCAATTACCAGGCGCGCAGTTTACTAGTGGAGGCTCTTCGTGCTCACGAGGCTTGTTCGACGGTGGCGCCCGTAGTGGCTTCAATAGACACGGAGGACGAAGATGCTGAGGGTGACGCTCGAACTGGTGGCGGAGAAGCCCCTGCTGATAGGGCTACTTTACCTGTGAGTTTTTTATTTGTATCCTTCGATAAATTTACTGGAAATTACGGCTAAACCACACGAAATTCTAAACTATTTTGAAATCACTACGTGAATCTTATTCTTATTGCTTTCGGTAACTTAAATTGGTTTTTTCTTTTATTATTTTTAATATCAAAACATTTGCTCTATTTTGAAGTCTCAAGCGTAAGCTTATACCGAAAAATTACATCAAGTATCAGTTGAGTGTATTCTTATGGCGCGTCACATTCAAACAAATTCATCACCACCCTTTATTATAAAAATGATTGCTCTTTATCATGTTAGCGCAAAACTCTGCTTGTATCGAATTTCGACTTCTTTTCCGTCCAACTTTAAGTTTGAGAGATAAGAAACTAGTAAGTCTTTTCTCAGATAATTCACGGGAGTAAGTCATTATGTTCAATAAATTTCGAGTTTAAATTAGAAGAAAACGCTTGAATATTCCAACACGGTTAACCATTATACCTATAATAAATTCCACAGAGTGGAGCAAGTAGCCCACTGAGCGGTTCGATATCGTCTCGTCACTCTGCAGTGATGTCATCAAGCGCTGTTTCTGTAGCGGCGGCCACGATGACTGTACAACAAGCTGAGGCTCCTAAGGTAACATTACGATCATAATTATATCATAATTGGTTATCAGGTAGTTTTCTCATAAAAAAGTGTAAAAATAGCCACGATTTAATTTAATGATTTGAAGTTTTACTTCGATTTTTAAATAAGTGTGGTACATCATGCAAAAAGGTTTATTTATTCCAAAAAATAATGGAATTTGAGTAGTTTACTACTATAATACCCCTAGTATTATCCTCACCACACTGTTTCCGTACTTTACTGGGTAAGATAGGATTTCTCTAATATCATAACGTTATGTTACGCGTAACATTAATGCCAATATTGCGCAACCATTGCGCTTACGTCAACGTGTGACTGTTGGCGCAAATAAGCCTAACTATATGCTTTCTTTTATTAACAAAACATCTTAATTAGTAATACCCGCTGCAACTATTTTAAGTCAAAAAATACCATTCTTAAATGAAAGTATTATTTGCAGTTGGTGCTAGATGAATTCACATCACAACTTGGAGAGTCAGACGCAAGGGCTCTCGTTGATTTATTGAAGTTGGCGGCAGCTGGAAGGATTCCCGACTCAAATAATGCAGTGAAGATCATTACTGATGTTCTTATGGGTGAGTTGATAAGCAACAATATGATACACTAGATATTCTCGCGCAGTTCCACTCGCTGTTAGGCTCCTACATGGTGTAGCGTGATGTATTAGAGCCTATAGCCTTCCTCGATAAAAACTTCGGAGTAACGAACAAAAAACAATAAATTATTGAATTCGAAACTGTAAGTAGTAGGCAGTATTTTTGGCGATCTATTTATACCTAGTACCACCATCTCACACTCAGCTTTATTTTGGTTTATATCTATACTAATATTATAAAGAGGTAAATTTTGTAAGATTGTATGTAGGGGGTAATCTATGGAACCATTGGTCGGATTCCCAAAAGTCTTTCAGTTATTAATAGCTACAGCATTCCCGTTTCCAGTGCTACAGGCTATAAAACATCACGCTACAATCAAATCAAAGATTCCGATTCCATGGGATTTTCCTATAGGTATATTCTATCTTCCTATTCTAAGTTGTTTTTGTTCGTATTTTATTTTTTCTATTATCTCCTCAATCTGTCATCAGCGTGCTACTAACGTTACAGTTATCAACTTATCAATAACCCAAAATAAATGAACATAATTATTCATTATTCTTTGTCTTCCAACAAAGTCGATGACAAGTTCGACTTTTTCACGGAGCTCTGATAGTTTTCGTTCATTGTCGCCTTCTACATTCGCTGGTTTTTAAAACCGAGTATTTAATAATTAAATTTTAATATCATCTCCCAGCTTTGTGCGCCAGTAAGCCGGCTGTAGCGGACATGGTGGTAGAGGTATGTGTGTGTGAGCTGGAGGAGGCTGCCGCGGGAGGAGGGCGTGCACCCCCTCAGCCCGTCACTGTGGACAGTCCGCATCCGTATGCTGATGATACTGATATATCAGGTAAAAAAAGAGTTATTTATGATAAATTAAGTAAAAAATATTAATTGCCATTCGAATATGTGATACACCGCTTTAAGAAACCTTGACTAAGTTCAATTTTTATAATATTAAGTTCCATCGAATATGCAGAATGTGCACATCTGCAGCCAAATTCAGCTAAATCCATTGTAAATGATGACAATTAAGTCTCGCGTAATAAAAAACCTTATTTAAATAAATTTCATCCAACCTGAAAATAACAGACCTCTTTTCTTAAGCTACATACAAAACATACAATAAATGATAAAAATAATATTTTTCTCTCGTTCCATTGTTTTTTAACTTAAAATTTTATAATTTTAATTTATGAAACAGGCGTAGTTAAAATCCCCGGCGCGATATCTCTTCGCGTGGTCTTCGAGCAGGGATGTTCAACAGAGAGACGTAACGATCCTCTCACTATATCGGATAGTACCGGTCGGGTACTGGCCACTCGATCGGGACGAGAACCAACTGATTGGGCGCAGGAAATAATCGTTAACGGTAAGTTGCGCTAATTGCGCAAACTGCTTGCGCAAATGTTTTTGTGATAAAATTGATGAAAAATAAAAAGTTATACCAAATTATTTATTGAACTGTTAAGTTATAAATTACTCAAGGATGAGATATTACACAGACTATAGTTGTTATCAATGTATTTCTTAAAAAAAATCAAAATCTAAGTATATTCCTGTTAGTTAAAGATTTCTGTGGAAGACATTGGAAGGTGTTAGGGACATTTCTAGAAATATGTCCTGCAAGTTTCAAACTACTCAAGAATCTATTAAACATATAGGCCACATTATAATTATTTTCATGTCATATTGTTCCAATTAGGTGATGAGCTGCGTTGGAGGTTTACAAGCGATGGTTCTGTCAACGGTTGGGGCTGGAGATTCACCGCTCATCCTATGTTGCCCGCACATTCTGTTACTGTGAGTAGACAAATACTTATTGTAAGCAAACTTATACACCTGAACCTCTTGAAGCATTCTATCGTTCTATCTATAAAAAACCGCATCAAAGTCTGCCATGTAGTTTTAAAGATCTAAGCATACGTATTGACATAGACCACGAATTTACTAGACAGTGAAACCATTTGTGATTATTTTCCAAAGAAGTTGAGATTCCCTTTATTGATAAGGCTTCTGCTGATTATCATTATAATTTAGTACTTAAATACCACAATTATTTTAGTTAAGTTTCTACACATTTCATTTTTGAAGGGGGAAAATCTTTGCATGTCTTCTCTCGCCTAGGATGAGGCAGTTTCAGACTCTTGCTGACTAAGAAACACCCCGTTACTTCTCCTGCTCTAGGCGGGGCAACCCAGCTGAACTTCAGCCCCGTTGAGCCCCATCAGTTACTGCCTACATCTAAGATAATTATTAATAATAGTAATATGAATTACTTGGTTTTCCTTTTGGTCATCAGGAAAGCGGTTCGGATCGCTACGTCTTGTCATGTCCGTCAGTGGAGTTGGCGTGGCGATTACTTGACGGTCCATTACTGGCAGCGATATCCAATGACCATCAGTTGGCCCCAAGGTTGGCTCAAGCATTGGCCATATGTGCGCAGATGCCGACTTTATGTAAGTTTACAATTATTACTCAGGCTATTCAAAAAATGATTTAATAATTTTGAAATTCTTAGCGATATTTAGCAGCTATTGAAGCTCAATAAGTATTGTTCTGTTTTGTGAATTAAAATAAGATCTTTTTTTGTGGATTTCGTACGGGATTATGCGTTATGGGATTTTTAAAGTTTTTGCACAGTTCCCGCGGCGGCCGTGAAACCGTACTGTGAGTGTCGCAGGTTCGATACCCACACGAAATTTTTCGGCTTTTGTCCGGGTGTGATGTGTGTGTGTGAAATTTTATTACCCACAACCTTCGAAAATATTTATATAGCAGGACACCATTTTATTTATTGTTAAATAACTAATGATGAATAATAGTTTTACTGAATAAATAATAATAATAATAAAATCTACAGCTTGGCGAGCTCGCGTATGGTGCGTACGTCGGCTCCGCGGCGTGGTATGCGGGGGCAGTGGTTGCGGGGCGGGCGAGGGCGGGCCGGCCGGCGCCCCCGCGCCCCCCGCCCTGCAGCAACTGCCGCAGCTTCTACACGCGCAGTACGACCACGAGGAACCCGCACTAAGGACTGGCACGCATTTATTACACACGCATTATCTTAAGGTACACTGTTAAAATATGTTTGTATGTAGGGGGTAATCTTTGGAACCACTGGTCGGATTGCCAAAATTCTTTCACTGATAGATAGCTACAATGTTCCTGAATGCTATAGGCTATAAAACATCACGCTACGATTAAATGAAGCCGAGCAGCGGGTAAAACCGCTCGAGAGTAGTCTTGAATATTGACGGAAAAAGCGAGCTCGAGTGGAAACTATTAAAATAGTCTTTAAATGTATTACTTACTTCAATTTCTAACTGTGACTTATCTGCAAAGGTTACTAAGAGTTATACAGACCCGTAAGTGGGTCAGGAGGGCTTTCAAAGGCCTCTACAAAGAGGCCTTTGCTTAGAAGTGGGCGTTTGTAATTTAATTACGACAGTGACTAAGTAGGTGACGGTGAAATGACTTTTGATAAACTGAAAATAAAAACTTACAGCTTGCATATTATGTGCGAGAAGTTAAAAAAAATATAGAGAAATATTATTACGTGTAATAAATGTACCTTAATTTGTTCGCATAGGAACTAGCCTGGCTCGCATGTGGTCTTCGCATGGATACTCGTGTGTGCGGAGGTCCGGACTCAGCGCGCTGGTCGTGGTTCAAGCGATACTGTCTCTGTGTGCGTACTGCGGACGCACTCATACGACGCTCTCCACTACCCACACCCTTCCTAGCTGACGTACGCAAGAGACTCTCAGACCTCGGCGTCTACTCCGACGAAACCAGCGAACCAAATTACCAATGGGAAGATAACACAAAATTCACAAAGCAACACGATGAACAACTCCTGCATTGGGTTAACAAGTAAGTTTTTATATTTATTATATGCGAGTAATAAATTATCGAAAGACTCAGACTTCTTAGGGTCAATCCACACCGAGTCGCGACGAACCGTTGCGTGAACACTTTGAATGATCTATTCAAAAAACAACTTTACGAGTATATGGCATACGATAAGTAATAAATTTTATGTGGTGTGTCTAGCGGCGGCGTTGGAGCGCAGCGGATCCTTTATATTTCTTAGCGCGTCGCGTCTCGTTGTGAATTGGGTAGTTTCCTTGGCCAATTATAAATTAATTCAACATTTCAATACAATAAAATAACTATACTTTTATTCATCGATCTGCGGATACACTAAATTTTCGATATTTTTTAGCTAATTTCTTAGAAATAAGTAAGCTATCTGACGCAAAAATCCTATTACGTCATAATCTTAACTTTCATACAATTGACATAGTTGGAAACTACCGTATTGACTCTTACTGTCTGAAGTGCATAAATATGTGTATCTTATTTGAAAGTGAATATCTTGATCAGTTGGCGCTAGTGAGACTTAATGTCCTATTAACTTAATGAACCTACTTGTCAAAAGTGATAAGTAAAGTCTTGTCAAAATTTAGTGTTCATTGTACAATAATCGTTTTAAGCCAATACAACAACACGACCTTGTGTGTTGTTCTTTAGTGTCCTACACGAGAGGTCTCCTAGCCTTGTGTCTTGCGCTTTAGTCTCCTAAACGAAAGAACCTAAACGGACTGTACTACGATCTATATAACACGCAGCTGCCTCATTTCATCAATAATGTAAATATCCTATCTAAACCTAGACGTCCAGAAGACTGGTGCGGTTGGTGGGGTGGTGGTTCCCGAGGCTGCGCAGTGTACGGCTGGGGTCACAACCACCGCGGGCAGTTGGGCGGCGTCGAGGGGGCCAAGGTGCGGACCCCCACGCCCTGCCATGCACTCGCTGCACTCAACCCCGTGCAGCTAGTGGGCGGGGAGCAAACGTTATTCGCTGTCACACCTGATGGAAAGGTCTATGCTACTGGTAAGAGAAAACAGAATAATAGTCATCATTTTGTATTAAGTAAGGTTAATATGGGAGTTCTTCTTTATACGTCCAAGAGTTTTATATGGTTGGCAGACAAAACTGACTAAAGACGATAATACTCCATTTTATTTTAATGTGGAGTATTATCGTTTTTAGTCAGTTTTGTCTTATTTTAATGTAATTTTGTACTGTAATCTTAACTAGGCTATTCAACGAAGTGTATAGAAGAAATTGCCTTATAAAAATAGTTCTGTGTATTTTATGTATGTTTATATAAACCTATATTATACTCATAGTATTCTACTTCGCTTGCATCTTTCATCTACTACTGGATTCTCTGCATCACCCAAAGGTCGACTGGTATAGAATGCTCAATGCATTAAGTCCGCCTAATGAACATATTAAATTGTGCATGAAATATAAATAAAACACAAAAAAAAAATTAAGTGAAAGAAAAAAATATATTTTTTGTGTCTTACGAACTAACACTAATCTTGAAGTACGCGATCGAAGGAGATCTTTGTAGGTATATACATGATCCTTATGTATCAGGTTACGGCGCTGGCGGCAGACTGGGCATCGGAGGCATAGACTCCGTCTCACAACCCACACTGTTGGCTTCGATACAACACGTCTTTATCACGAAGGTAACATTTCATAATATATTATTTTTCTTTCTTTTTACTTAATCCAACTAAACCATTTATTACCTGTATTGTTATTCGGAAACGTCAAAATAGCATAATAGTCAGTTAGACTATTCGTTTGTAAAGCTAGATGCTAGATCTAATGTGTAACTTCGTAACTCTTTAAAAAAGTTGGGTTTAAAAGCTCATATATGACCAAATGTAGAGAGCAAATTTATTTTAAGAGCGAGTTTTATTTGTTTTTAAATGTTTTTTTTTTTGTCGAGTTGGATAGTTATTAATAAAATATTGTTTTGGTAGGTCGCATGTAACTCAGGAGGCAAGCATTGCTTGGCGCTTTCCGCTGACGGCGACGTTTACAGCTGGGGTGAAGGCGAAGACGGCAAGCTTGGACATGGGAATAGAGTGTGAGTATACGATTGATGATATTTTTATTAAAAAAAATCCACATAAAAGCCAATACTTTTCGTAACTTTCACGACTTAATTTTCATTCTCATCTTTCTCTATCAATAACGTCCACATCGATAAAACTGAAGTAGTTGCTAAAGAATAATCGCGTGTACAAATGCTTAGTCGTATCTATGGCAAAATCTAAATAAAATTATCGTAGCATCGAATTTATTTTGCTGTTGGTATTTTTAATAAGCAGTTATTCAAATTAACACAATATTATATCTACAGGAGCTACGACCGTCCCAAGTTGATAACAGCTTTATCTGGTCTCGAAGTAGTGGCTATTGCTTGTGGGGGAGCCCACTCTGCGTGTTTGACCGCTCGAGGGCGCATCTACACCTGGGGTAAAGGCAGGTACGGAAGATTGGGACACGGGGATTCTGAAGACCAGCTCGTCCCGAAAATGGTAAGTATAAAATGGATAATACGTTTGGTCACACAAAGTCGACGTAAAGTTTAAAAATATTTTTTTTTTATATATATTTGTATAGTAAGTATCGCGAGACATGAGGTTGGTTGGTAGCTTTCTTTTCAAATAAACGCGTTTAGGATGTTCGGTAATGAAACTGCGATTGTAATAGACTAACCTATAAGTGATATTATAAATATATTAATTTTTTTCTCAAAATAATATACTTTTTTAATTTTGTAGTTGTTGGTAAAATCTTTTCCATCTATAAGTCCCGCGATAAGTTATAGAATCTCGATGCTTTTAAAATTTAATTTTTAATATAAATTTGGTAATACTATTCTTATTTTAGGTGGAAGCTTTATCGTCATACCGCGTGATAGACGTCGCTTGCGGGTCTGGAGACGCACAAACACTTTGTATCACTGATGACGACAATGTCTGGTCTTGGGGAGATGGTGACTATGGAAAACTAGGTAAGAACATCATTAGTCCGTCAGTCACTTAATGTGGGAGAGTCATGCTTCAGCACGAATGGGTCGACTCGACCGGTGTGATATAACGGCCTCACAGTAAACCGGTGTGACACAACCATATAGTGTTGTCTTTCGCCGTGGGAGTGAGGTTACTGGAGGCCTTCCTTCGTCTCCCAATCCTAAAATAAAATGTCCAAATCTCAAAAGGTCGGTAACGCGTTCGTAGCTCCTCCGTTATTGCTGGTGTCCATGGGTGGCGCTGATTGCTTACCATCAGGTAATCCGTCCGCTCGTTTGCCGGCCTATGACATATAAAAAAATAGTTTTGAACAATGAGTGATGGGAATGATGATGAAGGAATAATTTGCACTTGATACTGATGTTAGAAACCTTTAGAGTTTGTTTGTTTGTTATTTGAATGCGCTTATCTCTAGAACTACTAGTTCGAATTGAACAATTTTTTCTGTGTTTGTCAGTGCATTTATCGGGGAAGGCTTAAAGGCTATAGAGTATTATGCTACGATCTATAGGAGCAGAGCAGTGGGTGAAACCACGCTAGAGTAGCTAGTACTTTTATATATTATCCCACAGTTATTTTATTTAGTTATTTTTAATTATCCGGGTCAAACAAATAAATTAATTACAAAAAAAACTTATTTTAAGCACAGTTTCTACGTTTTATGTGATGTAACAATATATATTATTTTTTGTTTCAGGGCGCGGTGGTTCCGAAGGCTGCAAGCTTCCAATGAGGATAGACTGTCTGAAAGGGCTTCGCGTCGTCAAAGTTGAATGCGGATCTCAATTCTCAGTGGCGTTATGTCAATGTGGAAGCGTTTATACATGGTAAGTAGCATACATACACACAGCCCCATTGGTGCCAAATTATTAGTATTTTCTATCTCATATCTTTATTTTCAGTATCGACTGAAAATCCTGATTTGAGTGACAATCTTATTCTAGTCTTATGATTGGTCACTTAGCATTAATATGAACAACGGCTCTCCGTGTGTTTACACGTGGGGACACATTTCCAAATTCAAATTTTGACATTCCCAAAAATTTAATCTACGTTATAATGCTTTTACGATAAATTACTTAATATTTGTATTTTTGTCAATTATTAAAAAAAATGAGTACTATAAAAACCTAACGTCACGTCCCTCCATCACATACCTATACAACTTATAAAAATTATTTTGTCAATTTTATATTGTATTCTATTTTTAATAGGGGCAAAGGAGATTACCATCGACTTGGACACGGCAGCTATGAGCACGTAAGGCGTCCCATGCGTGTCACAGGCATGCAGGGGAAGACTATCGTGTCTATAGCTACAGGTAAATTGCACTTCTAAACTGAAACATAATTATGTAGACTCATTAACTTTAACCTTCTCCGTGTGAGAAGAGGCCTTTGCTCAGCAGTTGGCACTTATAGGCTGACGATGATTAACTTTGTAAAGCCAACGTAAAAATATCAGAAAGTAAAAAACATACGTATGAAAAAGAAACTGATTTTAGCAAAAATTATGGACAAAATTGTTGCTGCTATGAACTTTGTGTGGTACAAAGTTAATTTATTTAACATAATTTTGGCTTAAAATAACTATGAAATCATACTCATTTGATGTAACAGCCTATACATTATGCAGACATACAAAACATCATCATCATGTACTTTAACATCTAGCGACACTCAATGTCAAGTCTATTGTTATTAAACTAATATTTTTTACAGGGAGTCTTCACTGCGTGGCATGTACGGACAACGGTGAAGTTTACACGTGGGGTGACAATGATGAAGGACAATTGGGAGACGGGACCACACTTGCTGCTCAAAGACCCAGACTTTTGATGGCTTTGCAGGTACGATAGCACTTTTTCATTATTGTCTAAATTTTTGTGCTCGCTAGATGGCGTTGATGAAGAATAAAGTCTTGTTTGTCCAATCCGGTACCATAATTTTATTTTAACGTCAAAAATCTAAAATATCGCTAGAAATAATCTAAAAGTAAGTATTTCGTTAAACCAATGACAGAAAGTACAATTATATTTTAACAATACATTGTATAGAAAACTCAAAATAACTCATTTTCGTTTTAGGAATCTACCCATTTATTATCTCTGACGTGCGTACAAGTCATGTGATTTATAAATGTTTCATTTTGTAAATAATATACCTCGGTATATTCTAAAAGACAACAAACGGTATGGCATTAGACGTCTTGTAACCGTAACGATGTTAAACTGAAATTACTCAAAACATATTAGATACACACTACAATTAATATTTCTTAAAACATATCCCTGTTTATCTTTTCTCTGTAGGGTAAGCGTGTGACTAAAGTAGCTTGTGGCAGCGCGCATACAGTAGCGCTGTGCGTGGAAGCCCCCCGAGCCCCGCGCGCCCCGCCCGCTCCGCCCCTCGAGTGCCATCTACTGAGGGACCTACCGCCACAACTTATATGCAACCGACTGGTAAGTTTTAGATTATTGTTAGAGAAAAAAAACCAAAGTAACGTTTCTGGTCTCACCAGTGGTAATAGCTGTCATGTAGATGTGTGTCAGCTATCAAACAGATGTTTGACTGCGAGGCTAGCGCGGGTCAACTGGCTGCCAGACGACGTGTAACGGGTTTGTTTCCCGCACGGAACAACACTATGTGTGATCTAAAATTGTTGTTCCGTGTCTGGATGTGATGTGTATGTGAAATTGTATGTTTGTATACGCACTCACAAGTAATTTTTTTCTACGCTATAGTTCGAATACGGAGTTTAAACAATAATGTTTAAGGTTTCGTATAGTAAATTGAACAGTGAACATGAATAAACGTATATTTTACTTTAAAGTACCTGTAATAGGCTATTTGACTCTCACACCGCCTCTTAATATCCGCCGCTGATAGCGACTGTCATTTATGATGCGCTCACTGAAACTGGTAGTGAGGAACAAATCGCAAACATTTGTGTAATGGATTTCTAAATTAAATAAGCAGAAACGCCAAAAATAAGTCACTAGTATAAAGCAGACTATCATAGTAATATACAGATCAGCTGACAGTCACGCTGCAAATATTAGCCTTATTGTCACGTTATCGCAGTGAGCGCATGCTCCTATATCTTTATTGGGATCAACTTGTGGCAAAAAGTCGCCAGTGACAAAAAATCATAACCATCGGCGGTCAATAGAACAGCTACACTATTACATAAAATCATAAATACTTTACGTTGTTACAGGTACTTCTCCATCAATTTTCGGATCTGGTGTGTCCTAACCTTCCGTTATTGAACCTCGACGGACCTCTGGATCAATTGAGGACTCTGCTATTCTACAGTGTCAAAGAAGCAGCATTTAGGAAGGTGAGAAATACAGAATCTTTTGCCATTATCGTCACATTAGGCAGGCCAAAAGTCGAAATCAAATTATTAGACTATTGCAAGTACGATGAACTACTTGAATATTTCAAATAGACTACAACCGGTACTTTTGAACGTCGAACAAAAAAATAAATAAATATGGAAAGGTTTAACTTTTTGTGTGTCAGTGTACGTTTGTCCTCTAAAGCTATTGGATCGTTTCAAAGCAAGAAACGACATGGCTACTTTTTTAATCAGTTTCATAATCCGTTTCTATGTTACATGTTTTCGTTGGTTATACATATTGTGTTAGGACAGTGTAGCACTATTTAATCAAAGAATCCAAAAATGTAACTTCCTCTTCTTAATTTGTTCCTTTGCTGTGCCTTCAAGACTTAAGTCATTCTGTCTGTAATGAGTGATAACAAATCTAGTATAGCCCATAATAGTGGTAATTGTTTCTCGCAGGCGATAATGTCAACAATGGTACGGGAAAGGCAACACGGTCCCGTAGTGGAACTGTCCCGCGTGGCGGCGCGTCGCGCCCGTCGCGGCGGGGCGGGGCTGGCGGGGCCCGCCGGCATGCGCTCCGTCTTCGGACAGATGGTGGCACGCCTGCCCGCACTCACGCAGGATGCCTTAGCATTGCCACACCGTGTTTGGAAGGTTAAGTTTGTCGGTAAGTACCTACTTGGATTTGTTGATTGTTTTTTTTTTAATTAATAAGGTTTGTATAGGTTACACACGATTACCCTAAACTGAAAACGTCTTCAAGCTTATTTTAAATTAACTCGAAACCGACCATTAACTTGTCATAGTGAAAAGAACATGTGGATCACAAAAAAGTTATATATAAATAAATTCCTTTCTTCTTTTGGTATTCTGTACGGAATTCAAACTCATGGATGCGCAAATTAATCGTCATTTACATTATCGTATATAATACAAATGAATCCAAAAACTACACAACATATTAACCCTATGTATAGGTGAGAGTGTAGACGACTGTGGCGGAGGATACAGCGAGAGTATCGCGGAGATGTGTGAGGAGCTACAAAACGGGTCACTCCCACTACTGATGGCCACGCCCAACGGACGCGGTGACGCGGGCGCATCTAGAGACGCCTTCTTATTAAACCCTACCGCCAACACTCCGCTACATCTCAACTGCTTCCGGTTTCTTGGTGAGTCTTTTTCTTGTATGAAGGTGAGTCTTAATTAAGAATGTCGTCTGCTGAATTTGTTTTGTTAATCCATGTTGGTGCCAATTTGTGGAGCCGGCGTGATAAAACTGACACTCGCCGGCCAACTGCCACGGTCGCTCCAATGTTAGGGCCAATCCTATTTTCTAGATACGATGGACGAATGGCGTTGACGCCAACGTGTGGAGCTGCCGCCATAGTAATTTTATTGACAGAAAAACTAACTCATGATAATTTCTACAAGGAGTTGCCATTGCATAAATTATATCTGAGTTATTTGTGCAGCAAATAGCATATACAACTTGATATTTAGTTGAAAAATTTAATTCTTTTTCAAAATCTGTATTGTAATGTAACAATTAATACGAATTTCCTATTTCTGTTCATTAAACAGGTGTACTAATGGGCATAGCAATTCGTACGGGCTCCCCGCTATCTCTCTCTCTAGCGGAGGGAGTCTGGCGACAGCTAGCTGGCCAGCCACTGCGGCCGCAAGACCTGGCTGAAGTGGACAAAGATTTCTTGCCTGCCTTGCTGTGCATCAGGGATATGACGCCTAATAATAAGGTAAAGACATAATACTTTTAAAATAGAAGGTTTTACAATGACAACAAAAATGAAAATACTGAGAGTGTGTTAAGAATCGGATTTGAGGTACTTTAGAAAACCCAAAGCGTTTGCTTCAGTCTAGCCAGTTTCTTGAACAACCAAGAATAACAATTGAATTCAATAAATGTAAGGCTCGTTTACATAATATCATATGTATTCTTTAGGCCATGTAAGTCAATAATTGCGTTTATTAGTTGTATGTAACGGTCAAGAATCTTGCATCGTGTAAATGGGGCTTTTGTGTATTCTGCTTCAGCCGGGGTTGCGGGTTAATAGCAATGAGTCACCCTCGACCCAGAGCAGGAGAAGGAACGGGGGAGATGACACTCTTTCTCGCCTTACCCCGGGGCGGTACAAAAAAAGTGTATTTTACTTTTTATACCTATGGTTTCGATACTTTCAATTACACTAAAAATGTGCTTTTGATAGTCAATCATTAACAAAGACTTTTCTGATTTCGAAATCGTATCGTTTTACAGGAACTACAAAACCTAGAGCTTCCATTTTCGATCCCGTCGGCGGCGGGACACGAGGTGCCTCTCTCTACGAGACACAAACGTGTCACGCCGGACAATAAGGACGAATACGTACAGCTCGCTCTACATTATAGGTAAAGAAATTTAACATTTATACTAAACTTTATATTAATACTAATAAAACTGAGGTCTTTTTTTTCAACTTTCATTAAACCATCCATAATTTTAGACATTGCAGTCACATGGTAATATTTATCTTTGAGTATTTGATAGAACTGGTTTCGAAGGAGGTTCTGTAAATAAAAACGTTACAATAATTTTAATTGAATACCGAAAAATGCACCTAATTAAATGATGTCGAAATTGAAGTTCTGATATTTTCTAGAACTTTCTGTCAGATCTGGGCAGTTGATATCATTATTCTTTAAGAACTAAACAAAATATTTTCTTTGAGGCTTACACCATCAAGTGTCTTCTCCTGCCGTGGATAGGGAAATTTATTGGGAAGTGAAATTTGTTAGAAATTTATTGGGTGAAGTGGACGCTTAAAATCATAGCATACCAATAACGAATATAACACTTTTAATAACTCTTATATTTCAGACTGCATGAGTTCGACGAGCAAGTCCGTGCAGTCCGCGACGGTATGTCCCGCGTGATACCGGCGCCATTGCTGGGGCTGTTCACCGCTGCTGAGCTGGAGACCCTCGTCTGCGGATCCCCCGACATACCTGTGCATGCGCTCAGAGCCTCTGCTACTTACAAAGGTACATTACATTATCATTATCAGCTCATACATAACTATCACTGCTTTAAAAGGGGCTTAAGGTAATCGCATAAATATTAATAAAAATGTTTTAGAGTCGTTAATTGAAGACCATCCATCCAAGCCCCGTCTGTGGTGCTCTATTGGCTCTTTGAGGCTCGCGTGGAACGTTACGTTTATTTTTGATGTTCTTTTTTAATATTTTAATTTTAAATTAGGTATCGAGCCCAACGCACCACTAGTGCAGTGGTTCTGGGAGGTGATGGAAGAGCTGTCTGGCAGCGAACGAGCACTGTTCCTACGTTTTGTGTGGGGACGGACTCGTTTGCCTAGAGCGCCACAAGACCCTAGGCAAAGGGACTTTGTACTACAGGTTAGATAATCACTTTTCTATAAATTTTATTATTTATTGGCGTGAAATTGCTTTTGTATACTAGTTTATCAAAAAATAAGTATCATTTAACCTTTATTTCATGTTTTATCGACCCTCACTAGGATTTTCTTCACTTCACATAGATCCAGACTCGGAACAAAAATTTGTGGATCACACAAAGAATTGTTCCGTGCAGGAATCGAAACCGGGACACGTTGCGCGGAAGCCAGTTGCCCAGCCACCGCTCTAACCGTGCAGGCTAAATTAGATAGATATAATTATACTACATAAATATCTATCTAAGTTAGCCACGAAATTATTATTTTTGATCTAGGCTCATTTCTAAATTCCATCAAAAGTAAATCAGAAACTATATTATTTGTGTTATTGCAGGTGTTAGACAAATACCAACCGCCAGACCACTTCTTACCCGAGAGCTACACATGTTTCTTCCTTCTCAAGATGCCAAGGTATTCGTGCAAATCTGTTCTACGGGAAAAACTAAGGTAAACTATTTTCAATTATAAATCTAAGTTGCACAAGTTTTCTTTAACATATTAAAACTTGTAAATTTCTTTCGCAGATACGCGATTCACTTCTGTAAGAGTATAGATACAGACGAGTACGCGCGTGTAGCTTTAAGTGCAGCTGAACGAGTCTCCTCAGAAGAATCTGACTCTGAAGCAGATGCACCGACGCCAGTAGTGAACCCCCCACCTTTGTATTCACTAAGTAGAGCGCCCACGTGGCTCTGAGACCGCGCCGATGGTCCTTGGACCATACACGCGGACCTCGCGCTACTCGCCGCCCGACAAGCTTAGTCAATCCAACAATTGATGTCATCGGGCTGATGAGATAACGATCTAAATAATAAAAATAAAAGACATTAACCAGGCGTCAGGCAGTGAATCATTGACTATTTTCGAAATATATTAAAATAATACGAAAATGTAACCAGTGAATATTTAAGGTGTTCTAAACAAGTTATTTTTATATAACTTTACGCTTAGTGACATTGAAATATGTAGCGGTTATTGACATAGGAATAGACAACTTTTCCCAAAAAGAAGATATATGCTTGTTACGGCATGTATTTTCTTTTTGAAGCGTCCGCAAGTTGTATTTATACGGGACGAGTCATTTCGAATCTTCACAAAGCTTGTGCGCATGAGCATCCGAAGCTAATGTCTTCATATTTAGTATTATTAAGGTCACTGACACCACGCACTTGCAAGCGTTCATCCTAGTCGTAACTTCTATATCAAAAAGCAAACGCTTCGTTAGTATTTCACAAAAATGAACACGTCATGTCAGGCTGTTGTGTATTAGCAATATCCTCACTTCGAATACTCTTAGAAATTACTCGTTGTAAATCATGATATTTTAACGCTAGAATATTATACTCGAATGTTCGGACTTCCTTATATTGTAAACGCAATATAAGTCAACGTTACAATTACCGAATCGGATTTTTCAATTCCAGCATTCCATCCATAGCTTAGGTACCGAGCGACTTTCGTACCTATGCGAGAATATGTTTAAGAATTATAATTGTATACAACGATCGGCAACACTGCCACATTCCATTTTAACTTATATTGTAACGCTTCGTAATCTCGTACTACCATCGAAGAATCGTGACCAAAATCAGCCTTTTGTCTACTTCATGTCCGCCAATTTTATATCAAAAGCAAAAAATATAATTATAGTGGATCCTGGGTAAAAGGCTGGTTATGGGCATTTCTTGATATTTTAAGGAATGATAAAAAGCCCCAAGAAGTGGCTTAAAGAGATGGAAAGGAATGTATTGTAATGCATTGAACAATAACGAAAATGCTTGTAAGATGTTGGATGTATAAAGAGGTTCCTAACTTCCAAATTCCTTGTGTATTCAGATTCACGATGTTAGGAGAAGAAAATTGGGATCAATTCAGCATTCTGAGGGAATCGGTTTCATACCGAAACGGTTCTAATATCGGGATCAAGTCTTTCTGAACGTCGAATAGTTTCACGATCACTTTGAAGAAAAAAAACCTAATGACTAAAGAACCAAAAACTCGACTGACTAAAGCATGGAACTGTGAATACTGTGATGTTATTGGCCGACGAGGGTAACGATCGTATTAGATAGGATTTGTAAGTAACGCATTTCGCAGATCAAACATTTTAAACTAGTCACTCGCTGCAATTTGTATATAGTATTGCCAGCGAGATATTCTATGCGCATTGTTATACGATGTAGAATGCTGCTTGGGTTTTAATAAACGTAGTAAATAAAATACATTTTTAACATCTAACATCTTGCCAATTATTATTATTAATTAATAAGTAATTGGGTTCGTAATGCAGGGTAAACAACTCACAACACTGCATTTCAAATGGCAACCCCTAACCAGTATTGCTTTAATGAAAAATGTATTTTTGCATTTTAAAATAATCTTATAATCAAATTTGTCATAAAGCAGTATTTTTTATTGCATATACAATTTATTTTTGACAACATAAAGGGTCTGGTTACTTGTCATACACATAGTTAGGAAATAATCTACATACTCATTAAAAAAAACGTGAAGAGACACCCTCGGTCAAAGCTAAAGTTCGTGAATTATTGAGTTGTATGTTATCAAACCTATTGTCTTCAACTATAATTAATTAAATAATAATTTCACGAAATAGTTGCTTCGCTAGTGTTATTAATCGGTAGGCTTTTGGTGCTAGTTTCACGATTAGTCCTAAATTTTTATACTGAAATATATAAATGCACAAATGATTATTAAATTAAATTTTATGTAATGTTCTGCATTATTGTAATATTATTTGAACAAATTATGTGTTGTATTTCATTATTTCTGCTATAAGATTCAGTAATCTGTAAATGTATGTTGTGTTCTTGAAAACAATATATTTTTACAATAAATCACTGAAGTGAATTGAAATTCTCATTGCGCCTACATGCTTCATTTATATTCTGGTTTTATCATCTTGTAAATCAGATATAGTACCACCAAAGAATATTTATTTAAGAAAAACAAGAATATATTATACCTATGAGATCTGAAACCTGAAGCTTTTTTGTGATCTATCCTATGCAGCATTATTTATTTTTTAATGGCTATAGAATTATAAATTACATATTTATTTCAATTTATGGCTTTTAATTTTCTTTCCTGATTCCTAGAGAAAAGTTATTGGTTTTACGGAAGGTACAAAGATCTTTATCTTCTTTAAAACCAATAATTTTTCTATTGATTTTACTGTGTAAATTATTTTGTCCGTGAAGCAAAAAAAAAACCGTGGAGCGAGCATCGGTTCATTTTTGTTTGAAATCAAAGTCACCATACAACGGTGAGGCGGAATTTTACTTCGCCAGCTGATTGGACAATAAATTGTCAGCAGATTTTTTATTCGACTTTTTAGTGGGTAACAATATTATGAGGGTTTGTTTGCCAATGTGTAATAAAACAAGATTTTTAAAAAGTGCTAAGTTTCCGAATTGCCGGTTAAAGCAAAAAGTTTTCGCTGTCAAGCACTACTTAATTCAATCTTCATCTACCCTCGATATTAACAATAATATGTGTCCAATATAACGCCGCATACACACTACACCGGTTTTATAGTCGACTTAAAATTGTGATTCTGAATTTTTGCAATCACAGGATCCCACGAGGCCGATAGTTGTACTAAACGTGACACCACGGATAGACAAGTCCGGACACAGCTGGCAATGCAGCTGGAATGCATCACCCTCGTTCGCCAGTTATGAGGTTGTACATACCGCGGAAATGTGGGGGTCGAGGCTTTATATATAAATGCTACGACCCTACACAACCGTGAGGTGTGCAAACTCAGAGAATATTTTCTGAAACGGAACGAGAGTAAGCATCGAGAAATAGTCGCAGTGGACAAGGGGATTAACACAACCATTCTTGGCTAAAGAGAACTGGTGCAAACGCGTAGTACTGAGCATCGATGACCGCAAGGATGTATGGAGTAGCAAGGAGCTTCACGGTAGCTTCTTCCGGGCTCCCCACGGGCCCGATGTAGATTTTCTTGGCTACAATTCAGTAATATCTTCAGAAAATCTGAAGGATTTGTTTAATTATGGACGAAGTTATCGTAACTAATAACTACCGTAAATATATTATGAAGGATGGGACGGGTGATATGTCGGACATGTCATAGCCCCGGTGAATCCATCAGACAAATTATTTCTGGCTGTGGTCGTTTGGTGAATGGGGAATTCTTGCACAGACATAATTGGTGGTATTGGTGGAGGTGGCATATTGGTTTGTTGAGTTTGAGTAACCACACCACAAGTAGGTATGTGCCCGACCCAGTTCTAGAAAATAACCATATTGCATTGTATTTTGATTGGTCTAACATCACGGACAGGACTAATATAGGCAATAAGCCTGACATATTAGTGATAGACAGACTGGTGCGACTCGTACGATGATAATCGATGTTGCCATTCCTCATGACGAGAACCTCGTGAAAGCTGAGAAAGATCAACAAATAAAATATCTTGACTTGGCTCATGAGGTTGTTGACATGTGGAGTGTGGACTTGGCTATCATTGTGCCCCAAGTAGCCTCGACAACCACATTAAGAAGCTGAAGTTAGGTGGGTTGATCAAAAGCATACAGAAAGCATTCCTCCTTGAAATGACACTACCAACTGCTCCCGCTGCCAGCTGGCTCCTATTTTATTTCACTTTTAAAGGCATATTTAAAAATGTAATTTCAGTAACTATAATAATAGATAATAGTTAACCTAAATGCCTTCCTAAATGCGTTGGTCTTGGTAACACCTGGACCAATTTTGCCAATTCCTTTATTTGTTTTCCATAATTGCCAGTGGAAGGTTCTTATAAAAGATTTTTGAAATGAAGAAGGAAATTAACAACCAACTTAATGTCAGGTTGTTAGACAGCTGTGGGAAGCAAGTGATATTTTAAAAATAAAATAGCAAAAGAGAGTTCACATGATTTATTGACTATATAACTTACATGTTGCCCTTATGGAAATTAAATGTACTAATATGATCACAAATGGAAAACCATGAAATGCGAATTACTTCTTCGACTTGGGTTTAAGGGTGAAGTATAGGATCATAGCACCCATGAATGCGTAAGTGGCCTTGGCGGTCTGTAACAAAAATTAAAGTGTTTTTACAAAACTAGATTTCTAACAGATTAATTTTATGGCAGGGATATATGTTTAATTACACTATTATAGGTAAACCAAAATAATATAGACAATTTTTTGACCTAAATTGATGGGGTATGTCTATAAAATAGGTACCTCCATTGAATAGGTACTAGGTAAGTATTCAATCAGTCAGAATAATTGAAGGCACAATACGTACAGTTGTACAACCTTAATACAGTGTGCTGTATGTTTAATTTCACCAAGAAAACTTAGGAGACACAGTAAGAAGTAAGTTTTACGTACTTAACCTATAAACGTTTGTAATCTGTTGTATTCTGGAATTTAGTATTCAAAGTACTTACGTTAGCTCTGCCCTTGTTTGTTTGACTGTTGAAGTATTTGGCCAAGCCCTTAAGCTGGGATTCATCGACAGAACTGTCTCCGGCCATTCTACAATAAGAAAATAAAATCACTGACCAAGCACAAAATATATGTCGCAATGAATTTTAGATCAAAGGCTAATTTTGTTACATTAAACAATTAATTTTATACCCTGATTTTATGTGATATTCATGATAATTACCTGACAGAGAATTATTTTAGCCCTTATGTAATAACGCACAGTAGGTATAATTCCCAAAGTCGAGTAACAACTTGGAAATAAATGAAAATTTTAGCATAAAAATGACAACAGTATAGCTTTATGTCTGTCTCCACTAGAGTGAAAGAGATAAGAGAGAAACATGCAAGACAACCTGTTTATGAACGTTAAATTCATCAACTCTGATAATCTACTGTCAAGAGTGTCAGTCAACGTTTTGTTATTACCCCGTTTCATTAAAAAATGTTGAACCAAAGCAAATAAAAAATGAACGTAAGGATTGAGGAGCCACATCAGATTTTTCAAATCTGATCTCACCATTATTAAGCAGCAATGTAGCTTATTAAGCGGCAATGTAACCTATTTTGTAGCACGAATTTTGGATATAGCAGCAAAATATATCTTTAGTTATTTTAATGAAAACTCCTCATAATAAACACTTGGATTGAGAAGCCACCCGGAACTCGTTAATTCATTTATTAGTTATTTCATTCAATTTAGCAGCAATTTTGCATATTACAGTACAGATATTGCTTCAGAAGCTCTAAAATTAAAGAAAATACAATAGGTACTTTTAATATGGCTCCTCAATCTAAACTGAAGAGATGCATTTCTATTGGATGTGGGTGATTAATTAATATATTCAACATAATGATCATTTAGCAGGTGTTGTTTTTGTTCTGTATTCTGAGACCTACACTTACATTTCTTGTGTTTGGACTTGTTTCCTTTCAAGAATTTGAAGTAAACAATACTAGCAGCAATTAAACCCAGGGTCACTTTTGATGTCTGTAAAATAAAAGAAACTAACTAAGATGTGGATGCTTCAACGTAGCTCGCAAATTAAATTTTCCTTTCGTTTTAAAATTTACAAGTTTTATACGTCTGGGGATTTGTCAAAAGATAGGGAGTGTCAGACTCTTACCGACAAAAATTTTCTATGGCCTTGTTTCAAAAATATTCCATTTCATGATAAAAATGGCACTGGAGAGCGGTACGGAGGCGCTTAAATATCTGAAACCCTTATTCCTAAAAGGCCGGCAACGCACTCGTAACTACTTTGGTGTGGCGGTTGTCCTTGGGCGGCGCTGATTGCTTACCATCAGTCAGGTCTAATCAATCTGCGCATTTGCCGATCTATATCTACCATCAGAAATCGGATTTACATTCTATGGAATATCAACAAAACATAAATTTAAATAAAAAAATGTTACTTGACTACTTAGGTATCGGAATAGACCGTATATCTAGATACTATAATAATATAGTCGAGAGACGGAATGCAAATCATGACAAAAGCAAATCACCGAAAAAATCTAAAATGGTTCGCAAAAAATATATGGAAATAGCTGATTTCTCAAAAGGGTACGCCCGGGTCTGGCTGTGGGCGGGCGAGGAGCTACCCTTACTCGCCGTCCGCAGGCCCGCTTACAATGCCCGAATAACGTTCTCGATCCCCGACGCCCGGATGTTTGCCGTGGGACGTAGGGAGGAGGAGGATAGTTGGCTCACGCGCTCCGCCTCCGTCTTCGCGCGCATAACTGCTTCACAGCAAGAGGAGACTGTTCACGCATCAACCGCGTGATCATGTCGGCGGACGACGGCGGCGGCTGAGGCGCGGGCGCGGGGGGCGACACAGCCGGGACGCGGCGAGCGGCGGCGCGGCGGCGCACTTCACTTCGCATTCGATCCGATCGTTGTACACGTCGTTAACCACGATTAAACACATTATTGAATACAGTCCACTCTTTTGTGCATAAACAACCCTGAGCTCCCGAACAAATGGTCCTTCTACCGGGAATAATCAAGAAAAACTGAAAAATTGAATTCGAATGTCGATAGTCACCGATCAGCAAATTCACCGTTGCAACGGGAAGAAGTCAACCAGTGAAACGGTCAAGGACCTCTGTGAGTTCGTTCCAATTATTTACCTTGTTCCTAGACATCCATTTCACACAATATTGATGTGTTTTTTAAAATCATTTTTTCTTCCCACTATCGTTTATTTCGCCTCTATTTGGGACAGACATAAGCAGTGTTAATAATAATTTGCAGTCGTGTTATATCGTGCATGTTTGCTTACGGGTGGCGTAGGTATAAATCTATTCTATAGTAGACATGTGTAAGTAATGCGAGTGATGCATCACGCGTAATATCACCCGAGCGCGTACTGTACCATGACACATTACTCGACTAAAATAAGCATCACACCATTACACTAAACATCACGCGAGCGGTAGCAGCGCAGTAGCTCGCGACATGAATGACTTGCAGACTCGCTCGAACCGAGCCCTGCCGATTACTCCCGAATGCATCGCATCGGCAATGTTCGGTTTATTTCGGAAGTCCGGAACTAGGCGAGTGCGATTTCGTATTTCGCTCGGTCAGGTGACTTAGTATGTTGTTTAGAACTCTATTATTATTGTGAAAAGGTTTATATTTCCTTGACACCACCACCGGTCGTAGGTAAATAGGTACTCAACTGTCCTTTTATTTCAAATTGCAAATATTGCGATGTTTTTTTAGTTTGTTTACTATCTATCGCGGTCAAGGACGCGTCTTTATTGGAATATTTATAAATATCTCAAATGTGTGATAGTGAGTGATAGTGGCTGCGATCAATATAGGTATAAGTGTATAGACAGGATTAGACTGATAATAATTGTGAACACTAAATGTGCTAAAACTGTAAATTAATAAAGACATTGGATTGTGAATGTGAAATTTCTGAACACTAAATGTGAACTGTAAATACAAAATAGGTTAAGACATTAGACTGTGTATGTGTAAATATAATATGATAAGTTCTTATACTTAAATGTGAATAATTATCTTATTAGGAACATTTTAGCTTGTAGCTTTGATTTTCGTTTTATTGGTTAACAATTATGGCGAGTAAGAGAAAATATAGCCCTCTATGGAATCACTTCGATGAAGTTGTACCCAGCAAAAAGGCGAAATGCGGCTATTGTTCCCGCATATTGTCAGTTTCGTCCAGCTCGATAGGAAGTTTAAGCCGGCATATGAAAGCCGTTCACCCCACGATCCAAATAAACAGCAGCAGACAAACGGCAACGGTTGCAACTACAGCCCGTGTTTCGGACAGCGATATGGACAATGTTCAGGTACCTTCATGCAGTACACAAGCTGATACAGCTACTACTGAATTATTGGTTACACATAGGCAGGAGACAGGTCAGCAGGTACCTACAATGGCAGATTATGTTCAAACAAAAAAATGTCTGCCTAGAATCCGCATTCAGCAGCTTGACGAGCAATTAGTTCGGATGATAGCAAAAGGTTACCACGCCCTTCGCATGGTCGACGAAGTTGAGTTTAGGAAGTTTGTCGAAATGCTAAATCCTGGGTATACTTTACCAACTCGGAAGACTCTGTCACAAAGCATTCTTCCAAGAGTTTATAATAAAGTATTAGAAAAAGTAAAAGAACAGATAAAAAAAGCTGCAGCTATATGTATTACCACGGACGCCTGGACATCGTCGGTGCAGGATGGGTACGTAGCTATAACTGCGCATTTTATTGATATTGAATCACACAAATTATGTACAGTAATGATTGGATGCGTGGAGTTCAACGAGAGACATACAAGCCTAAATTTAAAAAACTTTTTAGAAGCAAAATTTTCAGAGTGGAACATAAATCAGTATGTTAATGTGATCGTCAGCGATAATGCTGCAAACATTTTAAGTGCTGTACGATTAGGCGGCTGGCGCTCTTTGTCTTGTTACGCGCACACCATCAACTTAGTCGTGCAGTCAAGTATGGACGCTATATCTGACACAATGCGCAGGGTTAAAGATATCATTGAGTATTTCCACCGCAGCGCTCCTGCAAAAAAAAAATTTGCCGAAATTCAAGAGCAAATGCATATTGCGCCGTTGAAACTAAAACAAGACGTGGTTACTCGGTGGAATTCCACTTACGACTCGCTGCAAAGAGTACTTAAGGTTAAGGAAGCCCTTATCGCTACCCTCGCGATAATGCGCCCAGATATTAGCTTATCTCAAGAAGACTGGCAAACGATTGAGAAGGCGACAGAATTACTAAAACCTTTTTACGAGATCACTCTTGAGGTCAGTGGTGAAACGTATGTTTCCGCATCAAAATATATTGTGTTTTCCAAAATTATAACCCGGGCTTTAAATAAATACGCGCCCGAGAATAATCAAACAATTCAGCAAATGCTTAATTCACTAAAAGGTCAGATGCAACAAAGATTAGGAGAAGTAGAGAATAATACACTCCTTTGCGAGGCCACTATTCTAGATCCTCGTTTTAAGAAAAGCGGATTTAATAACCCCCGCAATTTCGAAAGAGCTGCTTCAGAAATGAAACGAAGGATTGGCTCAGATCGAACCCAGTTTCCGCAGGAATCAGCTGTAGAAGAAAGAGTTCCTCCTCAACCGAAAACTGGGTCCATATGGGATGATTTTGATGAAGAAATTTCAGCTCTTGTTCCTCAAAACCCTACTGCAGCCGGTATTGTGGAATTCGACAAATATATGGAGGAACCACTAATTAAAAGACAAGAAAATCCACTGTTGTGGTGGAAAGATCGGAAGGGCGTGTATCCGCGACTTTATAAGTATATGCTGAAACGCCTCAACATTACAGCCACTTCAGTACCGTGCGAGCGTGTCTTCTCGAAAGCTGGCTTAATTTTAAATGAGAGACGGACACGACTCAAAACAAAAAAACTATCAGAATTAGTATTTATTAGCTGTAATTAAAAATTTGACAGCTTTAAGTGAATAAACTAATAAAAATTGTGTACAGTGTATAAAAATATAGAAATTGTATATAAAAAAAAATTGAAAATGTACATAAAAATGTATATATGTACTTACATAAAAATAAGCATATTTAACTTGTATATAAATAACACGTAATCATTGTACATAAAGTTGATTTTTAAATACGCCAATATTCATGGGTCCTTGACTCCTTTCGTTACACTTTCATATAATATACTTTTAATCCTACGCCTACGAATATTGCCAGTCCTAAGCCTGGAAACCCGTTACTTGTTGATTTAGGGTATAAGTATGAAGGAAAATCAACTTTGTATTATTTCTTTATTTAAATCATAGTGAGTAAATCACACTATTGCTCATTTCATTTAATTAAGAATCATATAATGACGCGGACAACATCGTATCTATTTGAATAACATGTCCTATTACACTAGAACATTGCATTACATAAGAACGCGCGATGGTGTCCTATCGAATGGCGCTACATCATAACATCACGCGTGATGTTTGAAGTGATGGTGTAATGTGATATTACTCGGCGCGAAATGTAATGCCATATCTCATCACTTCGTGGTACACTGTTTTGCGCATGTCTATTCTATAGCGGGATTTGTCAGTGCGCCGTATATACAAACTAGCACAAACCGGTTATCGAATACGGCGACGCATCCTTTTTGTTATCAGCTGTGCTTGCTACCGACTTATTTGTTTTTAATGCAATTTAACGGTTAATTAGTCAGCTGGCTATTCTTGTGAATTGATTTCTTCGATAATTTGCTACTGACATTGAGACGTCTTGCTTAAAATAAACTGTTTGTTTGGCCTTGAATTAATTTCATCAAAACATAACAGGTTTTTGAGTCTTCAAGTTTCAATATTAAGAGCAGCATGGATATCGATAAATTAGTAAAACAGCGCAGTGGCATTAAAGCGAAGCTTACTAACTTTGAAAAGTACATTACTATTCTTTCTTCGTCAAAGCTTATATCCGAACTTCAACGGATTGATTTAGAAGGTCGCTTGAGCAAGTTTGAAGCTTTGTACGATATTTTTGATGCATTACAGATGGAGATCGAGTTAGCATCGGCAAACCCCGAAGACGAGTACGTGGAACGAAATCAGATTGAAGAACGGTACCACTCATTAATCGCCAGCGCGCGCAGCCAGCTCCGGACCAGCGGCTCGCAGCGTAAGGGGTCGGAGACGGGCACTACAATGGACTCCAAACCAGGTGCATCGTTTAAAAATGGCTTTGTTCGCTTACCTAAAATTGATTTACCACAATTTGACGGGAGCTTCCAGTACTGGCTAGAATTTAGAGATACCTTTATATCGTTGATACATAACAGCGATTGTATCGATGGAATAAATAAGTTTCATTACCTCCGGGCATCCCTTAAGGGTCGCGCGGCGGAAGTAATTAAGAATATTGATTTTAAGGATGAAAACTATGTGATTGCTTGGGACTTACTGTGTGATCGCTACAACAACAATCGCCTTTTAATTAATAACCATGTGCAGGCTTTATTCGATTTTGAACCTATAACTAAGGAATCATCAGCTTCTTTGCGACGTTTTATCGATGCCATAAATAAAAATCTACGTGCACTTAAGGCTTTAAAGGAGCCGACAGAGTATTGGGATACTCTTATAATATTTATGATGTCTAGAAAGTTAGATGTAAATACAAACCGAAAATGGGAAGAGTACCGCAATGCATTGTCTGAATCTCCCACATTAACGAAATTAATTTCATTTATTAATGGGAGGGCTGATCTCTTAGAAACGTTAGAGGTTAATCAGAATAAGTCTACTAGCACTAGTGTCAATAATAAACAAAAATCTTTTATTATTTCAAGTACCAAAGATAATCAGCATAGCCACGTAGAACGGGTGAACAACAAGTTAGA